GAATTTTAATATTTAAAAAAAAGATTTATTCTTACTGATGTGCCTTTCTTTCTCTGCTAAGTGGTCGTACTACGTGAAGCGTAAGGAAAATTTCACCGATTGGAAGTGCCAGCCAAAAAAATGGCCAGAACGAAACACTTTGCTGAACGATATCAAAGTCAGTCTCATCGCGCTGTCGAGCGCCACAGCCACGATATCAATTTATAGCACATACTTATTTTGTGGTGGACACAGTTTACTTTACTTGGAATTCAGCGATTACCCCTGGAAATGGTGGATTGTTCAATGGCCGCTGATATACTTTTCCCAGGTATTTAAATTTAGCCTCGGTGCGGAGCTGAGAAGGTATTTTTATTACAATGGTGTGTTTTTATTAAATTTTTAATTTTTGTGTCTTTCAAGCAACTTTATAGATCAGAAATCATACCTGAAAGGTATTTTAAAGAGCTAAAAATTTAAAAAAGTCACCCCTTCCCCATCAAAATCGAGAAAAACACGCAAAAAATTTCAAAATTTTTCAACTTAAAATTACGACGGTCTTTACCTTTTTTGAAAAATAGTCAAAAAAGTTCTAAATTTATATGAATTGTTCTTCAAATATAGTAATACCGATAAACATTAACAAGCCAAAAAAATATCATAAACTCTTTCACCTAGAAGGGATAGAATTTTTTTCTTAATTTCACTTTTTCAAGCAATGTTTTTGAGATTTAAATTTAAAAATTAGACCGAAGGTAGGTATAAAATGGAACTATAACATATACAATTTCTTCAAAAATCTGTAGTCAAATTTTTTTTTATTAAGGAAAAACCCCCAAAAATAAGGTATATTTACACTTTGGCCGTAGTCAGTTTCTAGGTTGCTATGTGTGAGTGAACCAACAGTCAACTGGTAATGAAAATATTTTCATTTTATTGTTAATCACGATAGATGGGTAACTATGATAGTACATTTTTATAGACAGACGATCAACCCTTATCGTAACCACCCTGCACAAGACTAAATATTAAATTTTAAGTACACTATTGCTGGTCCCACGATATCTTCTTAACCGCTATAACTGGTTTGAACATACTATCCACAGATTCGCATCGAAGCGTCTATTTAAAAGTAATTTTATCACTTTCAGTTATAATAAAATCTGTAGACCTGTCACCTCTCCGTCCCCACTATGCCCCGAACACACTGTACTGGCTTTTATTTATCTGTGGTTTTTTTTATTCGTATAAGTTAAAACTGTTTTTGGTTGACCCTCTGCTTTAAATCTAACTGTCACAATTCGATGCCATTCGCCGTTCCTAGCTGCATCCGTTAGTACCCAGACTCCTATCCATCCGAATCCGAGGGCCGGGTGAGCTTATAAGTTCACAGCCAAACCCATTGCGGTACGAAGTTATTGTACTAATACCACGAGTGCAGTAAGTGTAAAAGCACAATTACAGAGTTATGGAAGTTCTGCTTCTTTTAGCTTTTGTAGGTCATCTAGGCTTAAAGTACAGTTATTCCACTACAAGATTAAAGATTCGGTTCAACCCTCTGAACTCCATAATTTGGATAATATCCTCTTTCCGGGAATAGTGTAACACCCTCCTGTTTGTTCCATACCCGGCCAGCAGGAACTGATTTTAGCTATCCAGGGACAATATGATATGATGCGGCGCTGCCAATTTGTTAAATCCAAAAGTTTGCAAATCATCAGAGCTGCATGTAAACGTTGTTTGGCTCGAGCTTACCAAGAAAAACATTCGGTCGGTCTTGGGGTTTATTTGATTTTTTTCAACTACTTTATTCCGCAGGATTACATTGCATATTGGATGCACCGAGTGAGTCATAAGGGGTTTCTATACAAACACATGCACGCCTACCACCACCGACACCGTCAACCATACCCGTGGAACGCTTTTGCAGTACACCCGATTGAAATCATAATCCACCTATTAACTCAGTTAGCACTGTTGTTCGTCTTACCAATACACTGGGGTGAGTACAGTCTGTTGCTGACCAATGCTGAAACATGTAGTCCTATGTTAGCGTGGAATATTTAATATTGTCATTATTAATAATATTTGTCTGTGTTTCATCATGTCTACGGCCGTTTCAGTGCCTTACGCCACAGTATCGTTTTACACCTTTTACCACAACATCATCCAACATTCTGGCATCGATTTCAAACCGTCGTGGTGGGAGATTGGGAAACCAGACGTAATGTTCCACGATGTTCACCATATAAACGGCAAAGTCAACTTTGGTCTGACCTGCTATGTGTGGGACAAAGTAAATGGTTTACAATAAATACTAAAATATTTGTTATAAAATGTATACAGAGCGTTCAGAATTTCATGTTACACCTGACTTTTCGATACTGTACAAAAATTATAAAAAAAAGTGACTCATTGGTAAAACATTCTAAACTTTTATCAAACAATAATAATTGGCCGAAAATGGGAGCTGAGCGTTAACCAATTATGAATATCGATTACATTTAAAATATTTAATTCAAAAAACCGGATAAGAGTTAAAATGCGGTTGAGTAATGCACACAGATAAAAAACTTAGTTATTTTATCGGCCCCAAGGTATAAAAAATGAAATCATGCATATATTTTTCATATTACTTATCGCTTATCCTAATATCTTATCTCTCATCCCTAATATTTTATCTCTTATTTCTAATCTCTTATCACCAACTAAAATTGAAAGTTTTACGCGAAAATGGCGACGTGAAATACTTGTACCAGACCAATATCCATATTAAAACAACAATACGGTCAACCTTTCATCCCGTTCTAAGCTTTTAACTCTTACAACTTAAAAATTAATGGAAACTGATGATCGATCAGTTGTATACATAACCTTTTAAGTTCAAATGGTCTCCCTCCTACATCTAGTTAGATACAGTCGCTTTGATGCAATCCTGTATATGGTAGGGATATTATATATGGGTGGGAATAGGGTAAAGGGTAGGGCGTAAGATAAAGGTTAGGAGATAGGGAGCGAAATATATTCGGTAATTCAACGAGACATGAAAATGCTCTTTCGTGGTTGCAGAATCGGCTGAAAAAATTTTTGATAGACTATTAAGTGCTGCTCGCAATGATTTGCTTATAATTTTTGTTTACAGATTCATGGTACCATGAAAAAATCGAACAACCAGTCTTCGAATATATCCAAGGACCCTTCGATAGTTGGTCGGTCGTCGGCCAATAAGTAAACGTTTGTTAAGCATATGCAGTGAAAATATTAACAAAAAATCTTACTAGAACTCGATTTTATCCGACTTGGTGTTGTTAAAAAAAAAAAATAACAGACATGTATTTTACGTTAATAGTCTTTTATGATGCTGTATTGGAGATGTTTTAAATTTATAAAAAACATACACATATATATATAAATTTTATGATCATTCTTTTAGTGGGATGTTATACCTCCTGTTCATTTTGAAGCCTAGTATAGGTGATTTTTTACACGAACTAATTGTGTGACCAGTAACCATATATTTTCTCAGTTTTCACAATGATGTACGTTTTATGTATAAACAAAAAATAGATCACAATATGTCTTAAAAAACGACCATAAAAGTAATGAATGTATTTTACATTGTGGTGTATCTCAAGGTAGTGTGCTTGACACCATGTTGTTCGTTTTATACACGTTAACAGTTTATGCAATATAGATATTGATGGTCTGGTAGTCACCTGTGCGGATGGCACTTGTTTATTGTTCTGACAATACATGGGATTTGGTCCATAGTAAGGCGAGCTCTGCATTAAATAGATTCATACAAGAAATTAATTTAAAAAATATAACTTAATTATGATAAAACAGTGTATATGGCTTTTACTGTGTATACGATATTCATCTCTGGAAATAACAGTCCATAATGATTATAATGATGTACTTGGTACAAATTACTTTAAAATTAGTAGAGTTATAAAGGTTAGGTACTTAGGTTTAATGTTTGTCTGTACAATGAGATGAAATTGTCTTGTTTCATTTGTTAATTTGCGACTAAGGACTCTTATTTATACATTTTATAATTTTAACAGAATTCTCTCCTCAGATATAATAAAAATTGTGTATATGTCACTTGTCTGAATACCTATATTTAAGAAAAAAACACAAACTATTAACGTCCTTTAATTAGGTGATGATGGTAATAAAGATACCACGTTAAGATTGAGCAACATAAAAACGTATAGTTCTTTATTTTTTGGACGTTTCTAAATTAACTAGGTACATTTTATTAAAACAATTGTGAGAATTTTCGCTGATGCTATAAGTGCAGAATAATGATAATGTTGAATAAATCTAGTAAATAAGTAAGTTAATCGAGTAAACGTGGGAAAAAAATCAACGTAACATTTAATTTAACTTATATATGTCTATCATGCTTGTTATGTAACGTTGTTCTAACTGCTTATACTTTTAATTTTGATCGACGGAGCAGCATACAAATTGGAGTTGGACTGTTAATGCAATTCTTTGTTTTAGGCCATTCAGTCATTCGAATCATTACTGATCTAATATTTAAAAAAAGATTCAAAACAAAAAATATTCATGAAACAGTGTCGCGAGACGGGTTTTATTGAATAAAATATCATAATACTAATAATGATTTTAAACTAACCGAAAAAACTAAGAATGTAGATAAATTAATGCGGAAAAAACATTTGGGCTGTGTGAATACATTTTTTAACATTTATCTTATTGTCTCTTACTGTTTTCTTTTTTTAATTGAAAGTTTTCTGACATTGAGTCGTTTTTAATATATCTGTAATAATTTCAAATGCGCATTTTTATTTATTATATAACTACGAATTACATAAATTATTTATGTTGTTAATAATGTGAATTTTAAAATTAATTTAATCGAATAATTATCAAATTTTTAATGAAATTGTCAGGGTTACGGCAGGTTTTCTTTTTATTATTTTTTTTTAAGCTGTGACCAGGTTCTGTCAATGTTAAAACACTGCATTGTGTCCGTTTGTATTTCTTACGTTACCATTGTTGCTAAAATGCACTTTTTAAAAACAAAATAATAGTATATATTTCAGGGTCATGACAAAAATTAGCCCGTTAAAACAATGCATAGTATGAGTCGAATTTATTATAAACCATCACTACATAATATGTACAAGTGACCTATAGTTTTACTTATATTTCTCTTAATGTCTTTATAACTACTCTAATTGTCATCTTATATTGGTCTACTAGTCGTTTTACAAAAGACTTATTCTATATTACTATTATTCTTGAATTTATGACAAGTAAATCCTATTAAAACGTCCATTTCAACTCTTAGTTAAAATTGTTATAGTATAATTATTTTAGGATTGGACTATATTCGATACTATGGAAAACAAAGCGGACCGTTGGCTTGGGTTGTTGGAAAACTCAAAAAGCAATGCCAGTTTGGCTCACGATAATATACTGATGAAAGGTCGGTGCTCTTCTGCGTTTCGAGAATACTGGACTCATTGGATCATAACATCTGTCTTCTTATTCGCCATGTACTTTGTGATCTGCAAGTATCTAGAGGTAGGTATTTTGGCACCCCTATAGACAGAACTACAGTGTGAGTCGGGTGTGCCCGAGTACACTCATCTTGTGTCAAGTAAATAACACTAAAAATACATATTATATTAAGCAAAAAACTACACTACAAGGTCATTCATTAATCTATCAAGGGTAAAAAACTCATTTTCTCTTAATAATTATTAATCGCTTTTTATTTAAATACATAAATTCGTTTAATTGTTTAATATTAGACAATATTCAAATGTAGACCGATTTTAGTAATTTCCAAAGCGCCATCGACATACTTTTGGTAATGTATACTTTTAAAAAGTTTATTTAATTAAGAATAATTTGCTGATAATGTTAACTAGTCAATAACGAAGTCATTATTTTTTAAGATGTTAAAGTTGAACATTTTAGACGACAATTGTTTTTAATATAAGCTCTGAAAATTACTACATAAAAAATGGAATATGTAAAATAAAACAAACTAAAATAATTTCAAATTGAAAACTACGAAAATTTCAAATATTATTCTTAAGACAATGCGCTTGTACAAGGTGCAAATTGAAAACCTCTCAAATGGGGGTATATATTATGTATAATAGCCATTATTATGTTAAAGGCAATGCATAGCAATTTGTAAGAAAAAATTTATTAATTTTCGAGCTAAAGTTATGAATTTTAATATTTAAAAATAAAATTTATTCTTTTTACATCAAGATGTACTAGGGCACACCCTGTAGTTCCTCTATTGCGATTCGGCGTACAATGCCTCTACACGTTCTGTATACTGATGTGCCTTTCTTTCTCTGCTAAGTGGTCGTACTACGTAAAGCGTAGAGAAAACCCCGCTGATTGGAAGTGCCAGCCAACCAAATGGCCAAAACGAAACGATCGGCTGAACGAAATCAAACACAGTCTCACCGCGCTGACGACCGCCACTGCCATGATATCAGTTTATAGCACATATTTATTTTGTGGCGGACACAGTTTACTTTACTTGGACATCAGCGATTACTCTTGGATGTGGTGGATTGTTCAATGGCCGCTGATATACTTTTTCCAGGTATAATTTTTTTTATTTGTATACGTTAAAACATCTTTTGTAGGTCATCTAAGCCTACAGTACAGTTTTCCCATCACAAGATTAATGATTCGGTTCATCACTCCGGACCCCATATTTTGGACATCCTCTTTTTGGGAATAGTGTAACACCCGCCTATTTGTTCCATACTCGGCCAGCAGGTACGGCTTTTAGCCTATCCTGGGACGCTATGATATGATGCGGCGCTGCCAATTTGTTAAATCCAATAGTTTGCAAATCATCAGAGCTACACGTTAACGTTGACTGGCGTGAGCTTACCAAGAAAAACATTCGGTTCGTCTTAGGGTTTATTTTTTAATTGTTTAACTACTTTACTCCACAGGATTACATTATATATTGGTTACACCGAATGTTGCATACACGGTTACTATACAAACACGTACATTTTCTCCACCACAGATATAACCAACCTAACCCGTGGAACGCTTTTGCAATACACCCTATTGAAATCATAATTAACGCATCACCTCAGTTAGCACTGTTGTTCGTCGTACCGGTACACTGGCGTGAGTATAGTCTATTGCTGATCAATGCTGAAACACATAATGCTACTTTAAGCACGGAATATTTAAGATTTTATATTACTATTGTTAATTATGATTGTCTGTATTTCATTATGACCACGGCCGTTTCAGTTCCTTACGCCGCGGTTTTGGCTTACTCCGCATACCTCAACATCATCCAACATTCTGGCATCGATTTCAAACCATCGTGGTGGGAGATTGGGAAACCAGACGTAATGTTCCACGATTATCACCATATAAACGGCAAAGTCAACTTTAGTCTGTTTTGCTATGCGTGGGACAAAGTAAATGATTACAATAAAATATACTAAAATATTTATAATAAAATATATACACAGCGTTCAGAATTTCACGTAACACCTGACTTTTCGATACTGTACTTAAATTATAAAAAAAAGTGTAAAAACATTCTAAACTTTTATCGAACGATAATAATTTGCCGAAAATGTAAACTTGGCGATAACCAATTATGAATATCGATTACATTTAAAATATTTTAATTTAAAAAACAGGATAGGAGTTAAAATGCGGTTGAGTAATGCACACAGATAAAAAACTTAGTTATTTTATCGGCCCCAAGGTATAAAACATTAAATCATGGATAATATATTATTTTTTATTACTTATCTCTTATTCCTAATATCTTATCACCAACTGAAATTGAAAGTTTAACGCGAAAATGGCGACGTGAAATTCTTGTACCAGCCCAATAACATATCCATGTTAAAACAATAATACGGTCCACCTTTCATCCCGTTCTAAGCTTTAAACACTTACAACTTAAAAAGTAGCTTAAACAGTCGCTTCGATGCGAACCTGTAGATGGTAGGAATATTATATATATCGATAAAAGCGTTGTTAAGGCCTATTATGTGCGATTTAAAAATAATTTTTTGTCTTCGTGTGAATACGATTAGAGTTGAATCATCTGTTTCTTTTAATAATTCGTTACCGTTGTTGTAATAACAAAATTAAAATACTTTTTCGATAGACTATAATCTTTCTCGAAAACCATAAATATGATTAATATATGTATTATAATACTAAACTTAATGAAAACTAATTACTGTGGCATAGGGTTTGATATATTTAGTATAATAATGATAATTTTATACAAAATACAAACTGTTTTATGTAAATCAGTCAAGTGCTGCTCGCAATGATTTGTTTTTTATTTTTGTTTATAGATTCATGGTACCATGAAAATATCGAACAACAAGTCTTCGAATATATCCAAGGACCCTTCGATAGTTGGTCGGTCGTCGGCCAATAAGTAAACCTTTGTTAAGCATATGCAGTGAAAATATCAACAAAAAATCTTACTAGAACTCGATTTTATCCGACTTGGTGTTGTTAAAAAAAAAATAACTGACATATATTTTACGTTAATAGTCTTTTATGTTGCTGTATAGGTGATGTTTCGAATTTATAAAAAACATACACAGATATATAATTTGATGATCATTCTTTTGGTGGGATGTTATACCTCCTATTTATTTTGAAGCCTAGTATAGGTGATTTTTTTGTGAAATTTTAATATCGAGCGTTACTTGTATGAATTGTTGGTTCCTGGTTAGTATGGTAAATAAACCGGTAACTTTAAAGATAAAGTGTTCTTTTTTTTTTCATTATTTAATAATACATATATCACTATTTTTATAAAAAGACATCTGAGGATGAACCATAATAGTGGGAAAAATTAATATTTCCCTAGAAAAAACTCCACAATTATTCCACTGCATTCCACACCTGCCATCCTAAACTTTAAACTTAAAAATCTTGAAAAGTAATTTTCGTAACCTCTGGTTGGCGACCCGTCAACATTTTCAGCAAATTAATCTTAATAAAATGGCTATCTTAAGTTTGAAAAACTTATTTAAAACCGAGCAAATGTAATCATTAAAGAAAATAACATTATTCCTGTCATGGAAAACACTCCACAATACATCAAGTACGCCGTTTAGTTGATCTGATTTCCTCAATAAAAAATTATAAAAATTATTTAATTTAATAGTCATTAATAAAATACAAAATGTATGTTGCGTCCTTTCAATGTTGGTATGACACAAACTCTTATTTTATTTCCAAGTACAAAACGCAATTGAGTTTGAGTATCAATGTGTAATGTAGTGTTGTGATTGAGTCACAAATTATTATTCCACATTTTTATGAACAGAACCTCAATGGTAAAAACTAATTATAAAAAAAAAGTTAAATGCCAAAATTGTTAAAAAAAAATGTACCGTTACACTCTTTTTTGCCAATAGGGGGCTGGGTGGGAAACCAGAAAACAACGTAAGAGTTCTGTTATCCATAATATCTAACAATATTACCAAACTTAACCGTGATGAATTTTTCCTAGAGTTTCGCAGTTTACAAATATCTAAAGTCTTTAGGCAACTCTTTTGTTTGAGCAGTCCATTTTATTAATGTATTATTTTATTAATAAAGTTGCTTATGTAAAAAAAAAATATTGAACAAATTAACTAAAAAATTCTATATTTTCTGTACATTTTTTTAAAAATAATAGCGACGCGACACGACGGTTATTGTCGGTTATTATTTACTTTATAAAGTATACAAATTTTCACAATAACCACGATTATGTTGGTTTGTCAACCTATTCTGTCGATGTGTTGGAATAGGTTGGTAATCTGTAGATAACAACCGTTTGTCTATCGTTATTTCAAATTCTTTTATAGTGACTTGTTAGAGTGTTATCGCCAATAGGACAATGCAAGTATAAAGATGAATTTTATGTGCTACCGGTTAGGTACCGGTAGGAGAATAATTAGAAACAAACTTATTAAATAAAAATGACATTTTTACCAAAAAAATGATACTGCTTTCTAAAATATTGAATATAAAATAATTCTAAGGTCACCACTAAATTGAGAATTAGATTCTCACCCAAAATTATGTGTCGCATGCCATATGTTGATTTTGATCACATGCAGGCTACTCTGTGGCCACCCTGTGGACGCATGTGTGGCCAGATACCAAACAATCATGTACATATCAATTCAACAAGATTTTTTCTCCTGATTTTAAATCTGCAAATATTTTTTTTTGTTAGACCATTTTTCATGACATACGAGTTCTATTTTAAATAATTTTAAAATTTTTGAAAAAATGAATACCATTTATTGTACCCATAGAGCATCCTAAACGTCTCATTTGAAGCTCGGCAGAACTTTCCATGACACCCTGTTTATATATTTTTTGTTATTGATAAAGCCTAGATACGCCTTCAATTTAATTCATAGCTCATAAGAACTCGATGAGAAATCGGTTGGTTGGAGTAAAACGCAACAATACCGTCACCGTGTCAATACAATATTTATAACATAGTTTTTAATTGTCCACTAACAATACAATAATACAATACAATAATAATAATAATAATAATACAGTAAATTGATCCCGAACATAAGTTCAAATATACTACAACACGTTTACAACTAAGTTAGATTAACACACTAATCGTTACACGATCGTTTGGTTTAACCGATCAATAATTCTCGATAAGGTAAGAGTAAGATGAATAAATAATTTTAATTAATAAAATATAGGTGTATAATTTTTTTTTTTCAAGTACACGATACAATAATAATAATAATAATTAATAATAGACGGAATGAGTGAGTACCCAGTTAAGTTAATTTGTGATTATTATTACCGGGTTATAGGAACGATAAATATTTCTAATTTATATTATATAAATTCTATTATATTATTTATTATAGACTACTACCCAGTCGAATTTCACAGACTACTTAAGACACGAAATAAAAAAAAAAAAACGTTACGGTAGCCCGAAGCTTTTTTTTTTTTATTTCCGCTTATTTCAAATTTATTTCATATAATTTAATTCAAATTGGCAATATTAAATCGTCACAATATAACACACGCTGTGCGAAATTTACATTAGAAATTAATAATACCGATAAATAATTTAATAAAAACTATAACAATAATAATTTGGTCGAAGTTTTTTAAATACTGAATAATTTAATTTTTTTTTTAACTTATCGTATGGACGGTTTAAATTTTAAATTGTACAACTAATTAATTATCATTAAACCTAATATTATTATTGTTTGACGTGGGCGAAATTCAATTTCAATCGAACGCCGACCAAATTTTCATCATACAATTGAATCGGATATTTCAAAAACGACACGGGTAAGTAGTTGTGTTTACAAAAATAATTTATTTTTTTATTTTATCAAACTCGGTAGGCACAGCTTATAATTTAATCTATATAAAAACTATATATTTTTTCAGAATCAAATTTAATCAAAACTTGTGGTGTATGAATGACCAAATGAAAAAAACCCTAAAGTCAATATTATATTGTATTGTTATTACTTTTGGTATCTTAAAAAAAAATGAGCGCTATGTAAAAGTGATTGTACGGTTACAATACAAACTGGATTACTATATATCAACATTGTTTACTTGTCATCTGATAATTTATGTTTTACCATAAAAAACGCCTGTTTTTCGAAAAATAAAAAAAATGCACATACTTTCAGCCCTTATTGATAGTTAAAATTAAAAAAATATATTGTTAGATGTAATGTTTACTTGTTTTAATCTTCATTCGAGTCAATCAAAATGTTTTATATTGATTGATTGAGATACGGTCAAAGGTAGATTATATTTGAAACTGCGAATAACCAGATCTTGTAAATAAATTTGAGGTGAACGTGCAAAAGAAGTTTAATTTGCGGTGTGATTAAGTTAGGTTAGGTTGGTCAGTGTACAATAGCAGTGTCATGACTAGTGTCGTTTTTGAAATAACCTATTCAGTATTATGTCACCGTTAAACACTGACGGGCCCAGTGTTGCCAGTACGCAGACGTATATTTTCCCAATGTAAAATTAATAAATTGTATATCAATACAATCTTGCATCAAAACCCTTCGAGTTAGCCGGCGAAAAGCCATCGTTTTCACTCAATAACTATGATAGAAAATTAAAACTTACGGTTGGTCCAGAATAGTTCCAGGGGTCGGTAATTCAAACATTTAATTCAAATTTTAACTTACAGTCAGCTTATATTCAGTCGCATCTTATTATTTGGTGTACTACACACTCATCACGAGGATTTCTCCTGCGGTTGGCAACACTGGACCGTGCGCCCGACGGTAACCACTGCGGTCAAAGGCATTCGTTGAAGTCGACGATTAAAAACTACCCTATTTTGCCGACAGTTAAACCGCTAAATCTAAACACTAATATTATACATATATATAAATATAAATATCCGTAAGTATACACAAAACACAATAAAAATAGTCTAATATTAATCAGGTAAACGGCTAAAAATCTCGAAAGAGAATTTTTCGAAGAACATTGCAAAATCACATAAGGAATATATTTTAATAATGGCACTTGACTTTTACAAAATATAATTATAACACTATAGTGCCGAGCAACAACGCCACCGTACTCTCAGGCTGTGTTTAAACTAACCTATCAAAAACCTCTAAGTCTTATATGTATTTTTTTTTTTTTTAAGGCAAACTGATTATTATTATTTTTTATTTTGTTTTTATAAGAATTCGTCGTAATTTATAATGATTTCGCACGGTATTTTACATACCGAGTTTAAAATTAAGTTACACACAGTTAACGTTAATCATTGACCCTGACCCGTAAGTATATATATATACATATAATAATAATAATAATAAACTTTAAAATTATTTTTCCAACAACGTTACGCGTTACCTAGCATTTTTTTAATAGCACTTATAATTTGGAAGATCGACATTTTCAAAAAAAGTAATAATAATAATAACATTAATTTGGTGTACAAATTTTGGCGTACGGACAACGGTAAGAACTCGAATTATTATAATAAATAAAACCGAAGACATCATGATCGGTGTAATAATAACTATTAGAATGATTATAGATTTGAACTCTTCAAAAATAAAAATAGTCTATAAAATATCGTTTACGACCTAAAGTAAATATCATCACATCTTCTCAATTTCAGTATTTCACGTTGATAGAAAAAAAAATAATCCTACGGTAAAAAACTTTCTAAACAAAAAAAAACAGTGTTTGCAACTGACAGTAAAAATGTCTACTTCTATCATGAAAACCGGATTATTTTTATTTGCATTTTTATTTTAGATACCCTTTTTTTTTTGTATTGGTTTTTTGATTTTTATTAATAAATACCGTTTATTTTTAACCGGTTGCCAGCCATGAAGAAAACTATACTATTTGAACCGAGTGAAAAGTAAAAAAATAGATACATAAAAGTGTAGTTTGGTTTTAGTGTTCTAAGTGTAACCTAAAAACAGCTTATCGATTAATAACATTAATAGTTACGGCCTAAAGTAAAGATGACAATTTTCTCTTAATAATAATAATAATCCTGCGCTAAAAATATTATAATTCTATCGTTCGAAAAATAAGGTAACGAAGACAATAGGCGTCGACGACTTATGAAAACATAATGAAAAACGGAATTTCAAAACTAAACAAAATGTCTAACTGGACTACCTAAGTAAATAAATTCAGTGTAATAAGCTCGTCGAGAGAAAAGTTCGCTAACTTGTCTAAACTGTCTTAGACTTGTTATAGCTCTGTGGACTTCCAACGAATAGACTAGAGATAAACAATAATTAGACTAGAAATAAACATTATAATATAATAATAATTGGTCGTGGCAGACAGACTATAGCTCAACGCTGTGGTTCACAAACGAGTTGAAATCCACATGTTGAAGCATAGTCTGTCTAATGTAATGTCTTATTGCTCGCTTAATCTATTTACATGACTATTACAAAACCAACTGTGGTTTGCTTATTATCTCGTATTGTACTCAATAATGTATTCTAAGGCGCATAAATTATGCTCTGTCAACTTTTTGGTGGTAAATTTCTTTGTTTTTTGGTCCAAAAGAGGCCAATAGTGTTTTTGCTGTTGTCAAGAGAAACTGAAAAAGCCCATATTTTTACAAATTAAGACTATAAATCACTTTCCGACGTATCTGCCGAACAGTTTTCAAAAATTGTTATTTTTTTCGTTTTAAAGCCTAACGATTCTTCATTCGATTATCAAACTATACTTATAATAGCTAAATAAAAAGTACGGTTTTTAAACCTCTTGCTTAGAGAAATTAGCAAGCTTTCAGCGAAGGACGCCCACAGGGAGGGACAGGGGGATAACTATCCTTAGCCTAGCTCCTCTTTGAGTTACAAAACAAATTATAACCATTACACAAAACCATAGGCGGTCCCCACTGGAATTTTCCCATGTGGGCGCCCTTGGAGAAATGTACCCTAAAACGTCTAGACCAGCGTGTCCTCGTGACACGTGATTATAGTCTGCTGGCTGCCCACGTCTTGTTCCCTGTCTCTGGCCAACACCGGACTCTCCATGGGTATTATCGTGGAACTGCTGTTGGTCAGGCAGTGGTGCACCGGCGATGAGTTCTCGTCCGAACTGTCCATGGGCATCATCAGCAGACTGCAGTTCTCCCGGTAACCCGACGTGCTGGACGTCCTAGACGGGCCGCTGTGACTGTCCTCTTCCCATATCATGTCGGCCTTGGACGGCAACAGTCTCTCGTCGACCGCGGCCGCGTTCCCTTCGACGGCAGCCGTTGCATCCCTGGTCTGCCGGGGTGATTTCATCCCTTGGTGTATCACCTGCACGATGTGAGAATGTTTAATGAACCAAATATCCAAAAATGTCTTGTCTCAAAAAGACTGCAATTGGCCGGGCATATATTATGGCGAGATGAAAATAGTTTAATCTGACAAGTGCTAGTCTCTAGGCTAAATAAAACACCCCCCAGAGGAAGACCACGTTAGCGACGGCTGGCTAGACTAAGATTTAATTCAGGTAGATGAAACGGCAACAATTGAGGAAACAGTTAATAAGGAGATGCGGAGGAATTTGGCCGAAGCAGCTCAAGGCCTTCATGAACTGTAAAATGCTTAAAAAAAAACATAGTGATGTAAGTCACATACGACCTTAATTAAATAAAAACAAGGTTTAATTAAAAACTCTCGTATAGCGCTGCCATCTGGTGATAGAGATTGTAGGCTACGAATTATTGCACTTTGTATTTCGTTAAATTGACTTTTAAACATATGCCTAGAATACTGAACTCATATTCTACGAAAATTTGACGTACACCACTATTGTATTAACACCCCATTTATCTAGGATCAGCCAACTTCAACTTGCATATCAGCTTATGACATTTCCGTTGACAAAGCAAAGATAGCTGACAATCCTGACCCTATCCTGGCCTCTAACTATACCCGAGATCACCTCTATCTCCTCGAAACTTGGTACAAAGAACGCGGTGTAAAAATGAAGTCAAGTCCATACATTGTACATATTTTATATTCCGTCATGGAATATGTCAGACACTATATGTTCTTAACAACCTACCTCTACAAACTACTATTAAACTCCATCTGGTCATACGGCATACAATTGTGGGGATCTACCAAAATTTCCAACACTTACTGTCCCTAGAGATTCCAAATCAAAATCTTATGTACTAGTAATGTCCCATATAAGTCATTATAAAGTGTGTAACTCCAAATTTGTAAAATATACATATACATACAAAATATAAAACACTTAATGAATACTTGTCTTTGTTTTCTTACACTTCCAATTACTCTATTCGCAAAAACCTAAACAAATTCTATAGTGACTGAAACTGCCAAAGGCTTTAGAAGCCAATCAGAATTCGGATTTACAACAAATTTCGGATTTTAGATTCCAAAACACTGGATTTTGGAACATTGGCTAATCTGGATTTCCCCATCACTAGTGACCATTCATCAATCACCCCTCTCCTACCCCAGGTAAAATTATCAAGCCCCACACACTGTCCCTGGTGATTTCCTACGATGCGGCTTACCTCCATGCGGCTTTTGCGGAACCGGAAGGTTTTTCGGCTTGGCGCCCTTGTGCGTTGCAAACGGGTGTCCGGTTTAACGGTCAAATCTGATTGGTCTGCGTCCGAGTTTTTGATTTCTGCGAATGAGACATAATGAAACAACGTCGTTTCGGCAACATGGTCGAAACGGTCGAACAACCGCCGATGCACCTACCTTTTTGGATACTTCCCAACGTTTTGATGGAACTGTCTTGGGCGCTCAAGTTGCTCCGGACACTCGATATGGACTCCCTGTGCGATACGGTGCACACGCTGTAAGATTGGTTGGACGCGCCGGGCAGCAAGTTGATTACGGACGGCCTGTGTTGAGTCTCGTACGAATTGCGCACTCCATTGCTGGATCTGATCCGTTGCTCGTCTAATGTGAAACAAAAAAAAAAAATGATTAGGTTTTGCTTATTTCGAAAGTAATAATGCTTGAGGACGCGCCGTCCCTCCAAATCCTAAAAGAATCGTCGGTAAGGCGATAGGATAGTGATACGTGTGGATGAGGGGGGGGGAGGGTAGATGATACGGTGATAAGGGAAAATAGATAATTCCCGGATAATTGATAAGAGGTTCTTGATCAGAGAATCTTCTTGTCGTGATGATAATAATAGTACTTTAGATAAAAAACAGTTCGAGATATAAGGAATTTCATGTCGTCATTTTCACGCTATACTTTCACTTCCAATTAAGAGATCAGAGACAAAATATAATCGACAAGTGACAAGAGAAACATATCCACGATTAAATGCTTTTCTTAAAGCAACTAGGTTTTTTATCATTTCGTTCTCTTATTTATCATTATGATATAATTTGTAGACAATGTTTTTAGTGGTTACTATTCGTACAGTTAATTTTATTGGGTTTGGTTTTATAACGAGTATATAAATCTAGCAACTTAGTAAAAACGTTTATTTATCATCCTCGCACTTCGAGCACTATGTGTAAAACAAATACAAGAGATATGTTTTTGCTTTTGTCTGCCTACGTTCCGTCATAGCCTTACGTTTGATTTCTGACAGCAGTATTAATATCTGTTAGAACCTAACTAATTCAAGTCTAACCTAACCTTACATATAAAATCTAAGTCTAGCCTATATGAATCTAAATCAAACCTGAGTGCTATAAATTAAGTTTCATGTAAATTGTTTTAACTTACGAATAATTTCAAATTGTTATCTTATGACAGACAAAAACGATTTTTAAAAAAAGAACCTTATTTATATACTTATTTAACATGTTAGAATTTTGCAAACACTAATCTTTCCATTAAAGAGACGACATTGGATCACTATTGCATCTTATGACGATTTTGGTCCTGTATAATGTACACTAAACGACCCTCACCTTATACACCCTTGTTGCTATTGTCTCCCCTGCCCTATCGTTATCCCTCTCTTTTTCCTCTCATTCATTTTTTTTAAATTAAAATCACTGACACTTAAAGATAAAAAAAAAAATTTTATCAAAAGGGGAGGCCGGTATGAAAAATAAAAATACCCAAACGGTCGTCCAGCTCTTGTTTGAGTTCTGTCATTTCGTTCATGAGCTCTACCAGCAGCGAACTCCTGCACAACGGCGTGATGGCCGTGTACTCTGTGAGTTTTTCTTTGACAAGACTTTGAGAACTGGCCTCGATTTCTGTCACCGACATGAACCCCAACTGTAAGTACATAAATATTAAATAAATACAAGCATAATATCTCAATTTCTGCAATCCTATTTGTCGATTAGACAATTTCGTGTTTCACACTACTATCGGTAAGTAGTACTCAAAAATAAAGAAAAAGAAAATCTACAAAATGCCTTAAACAATATAACAGAACTCACGGGAGAAGTTTAGTAAATGTCCAAAAAAAAGATTAAAAATAATTATTAGAGCCCTTGGGCGGCTAACAGAATAATAAATTGTAAAAAAGTTTTTAAAAAATGTATGGGCGATTATCGGTTAAAAACAATGGGAGTGTCTGGTACATAAAGTTTACCAAAAGTAAAAAGAAATTAAATTTGTAATTATTATTTATATTAATTTATAATATATTTATCTATTTTATTCTTCTTATTCACATTATCTCATACAAATGGGATCCTCCAGTCACTTCACACAACTATATGTCTTTTCATTTACCCCAACTGTCAACTTCTTTTTGGGTCTACATGGGAAGGCACCTTTTAATTTCCTGCCTTGTTTCAACATGCTCAAACCATCTCAATCTGGCCGCTTTAATTTTTTTCTCTTGTTTGCTCAACTTACAAACTCATAAATAAATCAATAAGTCTCATAGAAATGTAATCGTAATTTTTTTCAACCTAGTCAGCGCCTCATACCCGTTATAGGGTTGGTCATTTCACCAAAAACAAAGGCAACACATTTACTTAATAGCCATTTTATCACACTTCTGGCTTGTCCCGGGGTCTATAGCTGATGTTTTTAAGGTCGTTTCTGGCATAGTGATAGGTCACTTAAAAAAGTCACGTTGTAATGAAATGGCAGAATTGTGACAACCGTGCTTACCCGTTGCAAGATGAAAGGCTGGAGCAGTATGAACAGCGGCGACCTGTTGACGATGATGAACTCGATGAAAGACCAAAACGACGCTCTGGCGTCTTGCACGTTCATGAGCTCTTTGACGGTGTGAGCGATGCGCTGGTACTGAAGGGCCAGTTCGGGTTCGAAGCACACCAGCATTATTTTCATAGCTGTGACGAAACACAGCATTTTAGAGATAATTAAAACAAAACGAGACGCGGTAGCATTTTACCTAGAAACAAAACTTTGAAAAACGATTTCGACACGGTCGGCGACGGCTTGGAGTCCCTGTTGAACGTGAACGAATTGGTCCGCAGGTCCGACGACTGTTTGACGTTGGCGAGTTGCACGAAAGTCAGGCACGTGGTCTTGACGGGCGGGCTCATGGAATTCAAAACGACGGACAACATGAATTTGATGTCGCAGGATCTCATGCAGTGCATGTCTAACAGTAAAAAAAAAACAAAGCAACATGACGGAGGAGTAAAGTATGGCCAGTACGAGCCACGAGCTACCGTTGATTTACCGACCTTTCTTGCCGATGCCCACTCGGAAGCAAAGCGGTAAAAACAAGTTCATCAGAAAGTTCTCGGTCTTCACTTGCGACGACATTATGTTGGCCATACCTCCGACCGACTGTTCCAACGTGTAATTGTCCTACAAAGCGAAAGCACAATAACCCCGTTGGATTCTTTTTTTCTGTTTTTTTTTTTTTAGGTAACATAGATGTGTTAAGTACAAGTGGTTTCGGTAAGTGCTAAATATTCTGCTAAAGGTGAATTCTCACGTATCCCCTGGTGTTTTAAGAATTGGGTCCCTTATAAATGTTACCTACATTGTGAACTCCTGATTCTATCCATCAAATTTCCTACATCTATTCTTGGCATACGTCGGGGTGTCTGGACATAAGTCTTTTTGGTGGGTGATGGAAATTATCACTGTTAACTGGCAACTCGGGATTTTGTTTTATTTCGTTTATTAAGAAGTGCTTTGCTAGTTGTTTAAAAATTAGCGGGGCTTAGCACACCCAAGACCCCCTTACCAAATTGCATCTATGTACTCACCCCTATAGCTAATATGTGCAGTGCCAGCAATCGTATGACGATAGCGCAAAAATGTGGTGGAGGCGTTTCCACGGGAATGGCGGCCGTCTGAAAATTATCTCCAGCCGTTGTGCTTGAGCTACCTGATTCGCCTACGATAATGCCCTGTAAAATTAAACGAACCGAATATAGACAAATACATATATATATATATATATATTGTAATTAACAAACTCACTTGGCAAGTGGAAACGAGGGTTTTGAAGTGTGGTATGTGCACGATGAACGGGTGCTCGGACAGCGTTTCGTAGACGCCTTTGATCAGCTCTCCGGCGGCAAACCAGTCTGTGTATCTCTGCGGAACACAATATTGTCAAGACTAACATCGACAGCACCGTATCTAAGATTTTTTCATGAATATTTCTTATGGCTGGGGATCAGTCAACAATTTTCGTGACGCTTTTGTGGAACATTTGGGAGTGGAAAGGATGGAAAGTCTAAGAAGAAGATGGGGAGTGGTACGGTGGTTGTGGGTAGAGGAGAGGAAGGGCAGAATGTGGGATAGGTGTAAATGAGGTGGAGATGGGTTAACAAAACAGGAATAGTTCTGTAGGTCATTCCAGTGTTGACCTCATAATAAAATAGTCCAATATACGTAACAGAATACATTATGAACTACTATATCGTATTGTACATGTAACAACTTACAAATACATCCAAAATATATTATAGTTATGCCTTTTGAACATGCAAATATCAACGAAAGCATAGAAATGTTTCCTGGGGCAAATCTAAATGGATATCTTTTTTTTTTTTGGCTCAGTTCATCTGGAGGAATTTTATTATTAAAAATGACAAAAAAAAAACTCAAAACATATTAATCAAAAGCTATAAGTTATTTTTGTACCTCCTAATGATCCCCCCGCAAAAAAAAAATCCAGACTTGAATATAAATTTCCCCAAAACAGAACAAGCACTATGACTTACGCGGATCGACGGCTTTTTGTAGATCTTGTTGAACGTCTTGTCCAATCGCCTGAGTATGCCCAACAGAGTGGGCCGCAGCGGTTCTGCCGCCCAATCCACAATGGGCAATATGTTGGTCATGTATTTAAGCAAACCTTTGCAAGACATCGTTTCCGGATCGTACGGCGATACCTTCAAAAGACTATGTGCCACTTCGCCGAGTCTCTGAAATTCGCAAAAAAAATTAAAATTGATCAATTTAAAAATAAAAGATCCGTTTCCAACTCAATCTAGTTAAGTAGCTAAAGGACTCGTGAAGATCTATACAGTATTAAAACGGACTATACACTAAGTAATCAACGTTTTGTCAGCCTTTTTGGTTTAATACGTCAACAAATCTCACCGCTCTCAATCCCCTTGATAACGTGTCAAATAAAATCCTTACTGTATTTAACACTCTTGTTAAAAAAAATTATTTTTATTTATACATTTATTCTGGAGAGTGATATTAAGGGGTGACTTTTCAAAGACGAATAGCAACCTATATGTTATGATTTAATGAAAATAATGACTGATAAATAACCAGTTTTAGAACTCTAGATCTGAACATTAGACTGAAGGTTGATCTAGAGTGGGCTATAACATGTACAATTCAATCAAAACAAAATAGATCTTCTGTAGACCTTTGAGCTACCCCCTCTCCCGCTCTCAATATGCTTTGTCGCCACTATGGTTAGGTAAATAACTGAACACCCATAACCGATACTCACGATTTGCATCCTAGTGTCGAGGATGTCGAACGGCTTTCCCTCTTGCGGATACTTCCTGCTGAGTTCCGTCAGCCTGGCGTGGCATATCACCACGAAATCCGTAACAACAGACAACAGAACGTCCCTGGTCCGCCGGAACTCGTTTCGCAGTGCCTGTGAATCAATTCGACAACTGTGAGCTGGATCAAATGATCAAATGTAAGCACTCAACTCAATGTATGGTACTCGTATTCGGGTTAAAAAAATTCCCGACCTGAGAGGCAGCCTTTTTTTGGTGTACCAAATTAATGCAAAGTAAAAATGCTACGCTACTTTTCTGTGATACACATTAAACTGTTGGGTTAAGTGATGATTACATCATGATAACTCTATCATAATATATTTGATAAATCTTAGACTATATGCAAAACGAGTTCCATATATTGAGTTCAGTGCTTGTCAGCCGTTAGAAAAGTAATTTAATTAGCCGGAAAATTGCCCGTGTATTTTAAAACAAACTGTTGATAAGGCAAAGTGCTCGAAAAACTAGTAATTTGAAGATTATAACAAATCAATCGCATTATAAATTAAGAATTATAGTAGCACAGTTCAAGGAACATTTTATCAGTGACGTATCAGTGGTACGGTATCATCCTTATCCACACTGAATGCACAACGTGTCTACAAAAACATAGTTCTACTGATTTTTATAATCCATTTCTCTACTCTAATGATTTTAGCCAAATTTGTACAGTTAAATTTGGTTTTATAAATTTCATAGGAGTCTCTTAACAAAAAACTTATTCCTCTACATACCTAAAATACCAGTATTTTGAATTGAAGAATATCGATTAATCTACACCGGATACACAAGGTTATGTTTAACACTTAGAAATCAAATTTCAGCGTTTGTGAATTATACAAATTGACATAGCAAACCGTACGCGACCAAAAAAAAACAATCCCCCTAATCAACCAATATCCTTCATAACTCTCAAAGTTAAGGGTTTATTAAAAATTAAATCCCCTTTTGAACGTTGGCAGTTAGTAAAGCAACGTATGCCATTTATAAAACCAGCGATTCTTAAAACACGAATGTCATTGTATAGTATGTAATTTGAAAATTTCCTAGAGGTTAGGTCTTACGGCGTATTTCTCTTCCACTTGTATCTCGCAGTCGATCAGGTCCCTTTCCAACGGCGTTTTGTGCGATTTGCGTTCGGCAAACATTTTCGAATTGGACTCCATCTCTTTGGTTTCGATGCCACCGACGCCTCCGCCTCCGGTCGGCGAACACAACCCCTTGCTGCAATTTCGCTGGCTAGAGTCTTTGGGTTCGGGGCTGGTTTTTTGCGGACCGTTGTAATGTCTGAAAGCAAAAGCAATTGTGTGACCGTGAGCAGTGTCGGTCTACGATGACAACAATCATTTTGGGAAATAAAATTTCTTTGACCTCCCCCCCACTGGTTTCAACCCTCCCAACACTCTTCCATCCGACCACAAGGCAGATTGTACCATCAGGAAAGTAAAATTTCAGGCCATCGGATTTGAATATCTATAAAACAGCCATGATATTGTCGATATATGTGCCGAAGTACTAGGACTCTATGTTAAGCGACCGAAAATTGGTATAAACCGAATCCAATCTAGTCAATTAATTATATTAATACGTGCGGCTACGCTGATATCCTCGCCACTTCCTAATCAGTCTTCTTAAACATTTCCTTTGTTTTCGGCAGAGTGAGCTATTTGTTTTTCATCATAATATATAGTCTGTGGTTTTACTTCTTTGGGGGAAACGCACAGAAAACTTACTTGGACAACGCCTCGCTATTGTTGATCAATGTTTTTATGGATGTGATCAACTGGTTGATGACGTCGCGTTCGATTTCCCGGTACTTTGGCTGCTGTATGTGTTTCAGGTAGCACGGCAAAATCGCTTCCAATATCAACTGTGAACAATATAGTGGAAAATATAAACATCATTTAATGTTACGGCCAAGTGTTGGGTTAACTTAAACCGGTTGTGTTTACTCAAAATGATAGTCGTGCAAAAGAGTATATATAAAATATATATTTTACTAAATTTTTGAATTGAGAATAATTTAATTAAAAAATGTTGGCTGTTTTGTATTATTACTTTTAAAGTAATTTAAGCCGTGATATAGGTTCTTATAATATTGTAAAATAACATAAATAAAAATGTTTAAAAAAAAACCTACAACTTTGTAATTATTTTACCAAAAAATGAGCGCCTTGCGTTAAGTTAATCAACCTGATTATTGCAAATTTGATGCAAAATTGGTTAAAAAAGAAATTAATTCATATATTTCCCTAACAAAAATGACATATTAACTAGTTTTTATTCGTACAAAATGTTCCAGGTGGATAAAATGTTATATGTATTTTAGTTAAAACGTTTCAAGTTGAGTTAAGTTACATAGTTTGATTTCGAATCGTAACAAATACAATAAAATGTTTTTTGGTATTTTCCTAGTTAAGTATATGTAAAAAAAAAATTATCTGTCTGTTTTGTTGTGGTTAACAAAAGTTATCGTTTTTAATTGTTTTATTCTCCTCGATACAGAATAATACAACTTTTTAGAGCCAAAAAAACACAACTTGGCTGTTTCTAACTGTAATAATAATTTAATTCAATCATTTAGATTATTTTATGTTGTTTCTTAAAATGAATATAAGAACCATGTTGGGTTAGGTTAACCCCCCCGCCACCCCAAAGCCTAAAAACAAATCAAAGTCAATTACAAGCCCGAAAGGGTTAAACTGACCTAGTCTTAGAGATAAAGCCGAACACTGTGTACTCACGAGCATCTGATAAGACCGCAACGTTTCCGGCGAAAAAGCTATGACCATAACGCACAACGAAGTGCAGTCTTGCACGGTAATGGTTTCGTCTTCGTCTTGGTAACAAAAGTCGACGGCTTGTAGCGGTTTCTCTTCCTTGATTAACTCGCTTATGTGTATTGGGTCGTGCGATACCGTCTCCAAGCTTAGTATCAGCTTGAAAAAGTAATTGGCTTCCACCTGTGACATAATCGTGTCTTATTTTCTGTCTTACTATCCCATCAAAGATCCCTCTCCTTTGCATATTTTTTTAAATGCGTAACTTCCTCAGTCCCCCTTATATGAAGTTGATGTCAGAAAAGATACCACATTTGGATTCAGTAATACCAATAAAGTGTAATTACATATTATTTGGAAGTTTCTAAATTAAATATTCGGTTCAATCTTTCCCTTGAAGAAAAGAGATTGGAATACGTCTTATGATTCGCTGATATACCGCTGTTATCATTAGTAATTATTGTTATCCTTGTATCACCATACCATCCCCACCACATCCACATTTTATACTATCTCATCATCTCTACACCCACTCCTTTTACCTCCCATTACCCATTCTCTTGCCCATTCTGTTTGTAAAATCCTCACGAAAATATTCATGTAGGTTTCGTGAGTTATTCATTTGGTTTTACCTTGTTGGAATTTCCCGTATTGGTAGCGTCGTCCAAGTCTAGTATGCTCGAAGCGCTGCCGAACATTTGCAGTATAAACGGTTTGCGGTTCATCAGATAGAACTGTTTGATGGTGTACTCGATGGACCGGGTAACGATCTTGTTGGTGTGGTGGCTGGCGTACAACTGAAGCAGCGTCGGTATAATGAGCAAGTATCTAAGGGGGGAAAAAAACAATTGAGTTTCAAACAGTATGGTTGGATGGTCCTAACCGGACGTACCCGTTGCTGGAAAATATATTCTTGAAATTCCGGGCTGCGTTTATATAAGTGGCCATCACGTAGCGCAAAATACACGAGTCTTCACTATGCAACGTCACTGCTCCGTTCAAAACGTTCAAGAACAAGTGTATATCACCGGAGTAGGCGAAGTTGCCGGCCATGGCTTCGAACATTCGGGCTATCAACCGAACCCACATGAACTTGTGCAATAAGTCCAGTCCCAACAGCTCCTGCAAACAAGTCACGTGAACAAACTGAAAAGTCCAAACGATAGATGCTACCCTTCCGACAGAGCAAACCGGTTTTAGGGATGGGAAATTATGCTGTGAGCAAGTTATCACCCTCTTAGCTCACATAGCATTTATTTATTGATTTATCTTCAGCGTACAATAATGTATGAAGAGATCGAGGCATTGACGCTTAAGCTGAATCATCCAACAAAATCGATTAGAAATATGATAGTTAACCGAAGATTCAAAGTGTTTCTGGACACATACATGATATTTGTAAGAAATTTCAATTATATGCTGATGACATCTTTCTGGTCACGTAAGCACATGTATAGCTGTGCGCGTGAGCAACCTTGTAAGGTTATTATAAATTTTAACTAAGGGTACGAGGGTACCAGCTGTTTAGCTAATACATAATAATTAAATACAAATTTACAACAGTCACAAACGGTCTTACCTTTCCCATGCTGCCTCCTTTGTACAAATCCAGATCGGCTTCCAATGCTTTCCTGGGAAACGACGGCAGTTTGATCAACTCCTCGTGCAAGAACACCACTCTTTGTACGACCTGCTCAATTGAAAATAGGTGTAGTGAAGTTTTCCAACAAAAAACATCCTCACGTGCTTAATAGGACGTGTTTAACCATTTTTAGGTACGCTAATTTGAATAATTTTGCCCCAAACTTTTTTTAACTTTTTTAGAAAAGTGTGCTGCTTACCATGTCGACGTTTTTCAATATGGCCCAAGTCAAAAGTACTTTGCCGATCTCCATGAACTTGTGAATGACTTCTTGGCTCTGCAACTGGTCGAACGCTTCGACGAGATCCATCTGAATGAGTTCCAGCTGCGGATACTGCGAGCGTTTGAAAAAATAATAATCCCTAACGTACGACGTGGGGTTGTGGATTTGACCTGAAACAATAGTACGCGATGAGGATTTGTTAGAAGAAAAAAAATAAAAAATTTTTTCTTTTTGTGGAAAAACAATAAGATCACGAATATGTCTTATGGCTTTTTTCGATTGCCTCTTGTCGACTAATTCTCGTATCATGTATGTCTTAAAGCGCAACCACCATCCTTTATTAATAAGGAGTTAATGTTAAAAGATATACCACATTTGGATTTAATACCACAAAATCTCGGATTTGACTGATTCAATCTTGGATTGAGCAGTGGGTCATGAACATGTCTCATAGTTTGTCGATATACTGTCTTTTGTCAATAATCTCTTATATACTTAACTCCATCCAAGTACCGCCCCTCTTTCTAAAATTTTCCTATTTTACCTTTTTATTTACCCAAGTTTTTTTACTCGTTTTACGTTTATTTGATATATTTACTCGTTTACCAATTGCCAAAAAGTTATCATGCTTCTTTTTTTTTGTGTAGGTACTTTCAAGATAAGATTCCTTCCCTAACCAATAAAATCACTTACCAGCTAACAAACAATTATCGATTTATCCTTATCACCATTTCACCCCCTCTTATTTACACTTATCACCTCGTATGACCATTTATCAGTTACACCCTTCTTTCCCCCATCCCATATTCTCCATTACTTTTAGCTATCATTACTTCCACGATAAGATGATTCACTAATCAACTGATTCTCTTATCAAAAACTTCTTATAAGTTATCCAGAAATTATCGTTTTACCCTTATTACCATATTACCTTCGTCGCATTCACACTTATCACTATTCCATCACAGAAGCGTAACGCACATTTTTGCCAAATTCCACAAGACATATTCATGTGAACACATGTAAACGTACGGGTCTTGATGTTGACGAGGAAATATTCTCTTTGTCGCTCTACGGGTATCCCAAAGAAATCCAACGATTCTTTGAGGATTTGGAAAAACTGCGTGTCTTCTTGGACGGGAAACTGCGATGGGATTCCTCCGGACATTTGCTCTGTGGACATCAACACCAGTAAAATAATTATAGAACGAAGAAATGACTAAAATCTGAAACAGACTAGGTTAGTTGTGTAGGTGACCCGAGGAAGTGTAGAGAAATATTAGGACAGGCCCCGTAGCTACTACACGAAAAACTCGAAGGAAATCAATAGCAACATTGAAAAATTAAAAAGTGGTAACCTAATTTAATGCAGAGTTCTTAATTGTAATAATCATTAATTTGTTATTCCTTTTGTTTCTCTTACCCTGAGGACCGTGGACGACGACTTTCTTCGTCGAAGGCACGTTGGCTGTCAGCAGAATGGATCCATCGCATTGTTCTTTTCGCAATATTTGCTTTAGGTCTTTAAACATGATACCGTGTACACTGTGGACAACCTGTACCGCGAAAAAATCAAATCGCACTGCATTACCAACTTAAAGTTATATAATACATATACTATTATATACAGAGTCATCCAAAAAAACTATCGTCTTTCCCTCGAACGCAAGACATTAGACCATGAATACAACTTTTGATGACTTTGGACCTATACAATACACACTAACCAACCACTTTCACTTACTTTTCCTCCCTCTCACTCTCCTTAAAGTCTTCTCTACCTAAAATTAACTTAAAAATACCCTATAATAGAAAATGTATTAACGAAATCATGACACGAAATTTACAAACTATATTAATAAAATGTATAAAATATATTTGATATTAAGTAAAAAAAAAAGAATTATATTCTAAAGGATAGTCTTAGATAATTGCTAACTGTTGAAGTTATAGTTAAATGACTCTGTATATTTAATTTTAATCTACCAACACTACAACGGGTTAGAAAAAAATAAAGTTAAGCTATGACACTTCCTTCTTTGAATATTAAACGGTACATTTTTTTTTAGCAACTTTTAAAGTTATTAGAATTTTTTCAATGGGCTGTAGCTTTATAAAAACAATGTTGCGAAATATCGAGAGAGTGATTTTGAGATTTAAGAATTTTGAAAAACTTTTTAAATTGTAAATAAAACTAGATCATAAAGCTTACATTTTAGAGATTTTTAGTTTGAATATTTTACTTTCGAGTGGGGGGAGTGGTAGGGAGGGGTTAAAATAATAATTTTCTTATTTTTTTGGCACAGTCTAATTTATATTTTAGGGTGTTTTGTTATGATTGTATAAATATTTGTTTATTTATTTTTCAAATACCATCCAAAGAATCGACAGAGCTGAACCGATCATTGCTTGGCCTTCTTCGTGCGGCGACCTCACGTAGAACATTATGTAGCCGATGATGTAGTTGTACAGGGTGAACGCCGCCTGGTGGGGCAGTTTTGGCACGAACCGTATCAGGTGTCGCAGCAACTTGAACATTTTCTCTTGGTTGTCGCGTGTCAGCCTTTCGAACACGAAGCGCAAAAACAGGTTGCAGTCTTCAACCAAGCAAGCCCAAATAACCTAATGTACAAACGACATTAAAATATTTCGACAGTTTAACTATAAAATTATTTTGATAGAAAATATTTAAAAATTTTAGCGTAGCCTTCGAACTCTTGAAATGGGGTGAGAGGTGGTTAAGTCAATCCTAGCCCCTCCCCCCCCCCTTAGTAACACCCAGAGTTTGCCAGAATACTCTTCTAAGCAATCCAGAATTACAGGAATAAAAAAAATCCATTATTCTGAGAATCAGCTGATAAGAGAACCATAAGACATATTGTCAATGGCTTTTCTTCGAGGGAAAAATTTTCATCATGTAATTTTTTTCCATTTAAAGATAAATATAGTATACTCAACGTGTATATTTAAACAGTTCGTAGATTAATATTGTAGCGACCAGCTTATATTAAAAAAAAAGTGTATAAAATTCAACGTATGCATTTATATCTTAACGGTGGAAGGAATAATATGTAGCGATCCCGTTAAACATTAAGTAAATCTATAATTTTTAAATCAATAGTGTGTGGCTATAGAAATAAATTAAACGATAAAACTACTATTATTTAATGTATAAGCAGAATTAGAATAAAAACGGTATTTATTCGACTAAATACATGATATTTATAACATAAAAAGCAGGATAGAAAAAACAAGTGTCTTGAATTAGTTTTTAGGATAGGTGCAAGATAAAAATGAAATACCAGTTCAAAATACAAAATCTGTAATGATTAAAAGTATTTTTTGTTATGCTGTTATGCATACGGAAGTAAATATAATATATTATACAAACATTTAAATTTTTTGCATTTTCGAAACAACAACACTAAGAATGTATATAAATGAATGTGGGAATACATTGTTTCATAATAAATCATAATAATCAAAATCAATAAATTTGCATTTATTAAAAAAAAAAAATGAATATATTTGAAACAAAATACAATTAATATTATTTCCAAGGTCACGAAAGGTATATTTTATTAAAATTGATTTTAGCTTCGGTGCAAACTGAGAAGATATTAATTTTACAATGATGTGTTTTTTAAAATTTTTTTTTTTGTGCCACGATATCTCGTAATCCGCTGAACCGATTTTTTCGTGTAGCAACTTTATAGATTAGAAATCATACCTGGAAAGTACTTAAATTAAGCTAAAAATTTTAAAAAGTCTCCCCTTCCCCACCAAAAACGAGACAAACATCTAAAAAATTTACAAATTTTTCAACTTAAAAATACGATGCTCTATAACTTTTTTAAACATAGTTGAAAAAGTTCCAAATTTATATGAATTGTTCTTCAAACATAGTACTATCAATAAACATTAACAAACCAAAAAAATATCATAAACCCTTTCTTTTAGAAGAGATAGATTTTTTTTTCTTTATTTCAAATTTTCAAGCAAAGTTTTAGAGATTAAGATCTGAAAATTAGACCGAAGGCGGATCTAAAATGGAACTATAACATATACAATTTCTTCAAAAATCTGTAGTCAAATTTTTTTTATTAAGGAAAAACGCCAAAAATAGGGTAAATTTACACTTTGGCCGTAGTCAGTTTCTAGGTTGCTATGTGTGTGTAAATCAACAATCAACGGGTAATGAAAATATTTTCATTATATTGTTAATTACGATACATGGGTAAATATGACAGTACATTTTTATAGACAGACGATCAACCCTTATCGTATCCACCCTGCACAAGACTAAATATTAAATTTTAAGTACATTATTGCTGGTCCCACGATACTTCTAAGCCGCTATAACTAGTTTGAACATACTATCCACAGATTCGTATCGAAGCGTTTGTTTAAAAGTAATTTTATCACTTTCAGTTATAATAAAATCTGTAGACCTGTGACCTCTCCGTCTTCACTATGCCCCGAACCCACTGTACTGGCATTTTTAATATGACCAGGTTCTATCAAGGTTAAAACAATGCATTGTGTCGGTGAATTTTTGGACTACAGTGGAGCTGTATGGACTGAAAAGTTTAAAATTCTTGTCATTACCTTAAAATAATTGCAATATTTGAAAAAAGTTTCAAAACAAAAAAAATACCCATGGAACAAGGTCGTCGTTTTAACTGAATAAAATAAAATATCATAATATTAATAACAATTTCAAACTAACCGACAACACTTAGAAGGCATATAAATAAATGTGTGATTACGTAAGAAATAAATTTAAAAAAACACTTAAGTTGTGTGAATACATTTTTTAAAATTATGTTAATATTGTTAAAACAATGCATTGTGTCAGTGATTTTTTTTTTTTTAACCCAACACTACATAATATGCAGTCGTGGACTGTAGTTTTACAACTATTTTTCTAAATGTCTTTATAACTCCTCTAGTATAGACTTCTTGTATTTTCTAATTGTTGTTTTACAAAAGACGAGACTTATTCCTTTTTATTATAATTCTTGAATTTATGACGAGTAAATCAAATTAAAATGTATGACTTTTAGTGAAAATTTCTATAGAAAAATTATTTTAGGATTGGACTATATTCGATACTATGGAATGTCAAGCGAACCGTTGGCCTGGGTTGTTGAACCACTTGAAAAGCAATACCAGTTTGACCAACGATAATATACTGATGGAAGTTCGGTGCTCTTCGGTGTTTCGCGAATACTGGACACATTGGATCTTGCTAACTATCATAGTAGTTACCGGGCACTTTGTGATCTGCAAGTATTTAGAGGTAGGTATACACCCATAAATAGGACTACAGGGTGTGTAGGGTGTGCCTTAGTACACTAATATTATGTCAAGTAAATAAGACAAAAAAAAATACATAAAAGCGAAAAACTATAATACAAGGTCATTCATTAATCTATCACGAAAGAGAAACTCACATTCTCATAATAATTATTAATTTTTTTTTTTTACACTATAATTTATGATGTTATAAAATATTAGACAATATTCAAATGTTGACCGTTTATAGTATTTTCCAATACGCCATCTACTTATTTTTAGAAACGAATACTTTAAATTAGTTTATTTAAGTAAAAATAATTTGCTGATACTGTTCAATAACCAAGTCATTCATTTTAAAGATGTTAAAGTTTAACACTTCAGACGGAAATTATTTTCAATATAAGCTCTGAATGAGAAATATTACTCTCAAATGAGGGTATAGAGAATATAAAATAGTCAACGCATAGCAATTAGTTAGAAAAAGGTCACCAAGTTCCGAGACCTGGTTATAAATTTTTATATTTAAAAACAAGACTTATTCTCTTGCTTTAAAGATTTACTAGGGCACACCCTGTAGTCCCTCTATTGCGATTCGGAGTACAATGTCTCTACACGTTCTTTATACTGATGTGCCTTTCTTTTTCTGCAAAGTGGTCGTACTACGTAAAGCGTAAGGAAAACTCTGCCGAATGGAAGTGCCAGCCAACTAAATGGCCAAATAAAAACGCTCTGTTGAAAGATATCAAACTCAGTATCATCGGGCTGTCGACCGCCACTGCCACGATATCAGTTTACACCACATACGTAGTTTGTGGCGGACCCAGTTTACTTTACACGGAATTTGACGCTTACTCTTGGAAGTGGTGGATTGTTCAATGGCCGCTGATATACTTTTCCCAGGTATTTATTTTTTATTTGTGTACGTTTGTATTATTGAAGCACATCGTGGTGTCGGTGAAAACTCTCAAAGAGTAATATATGACAGCAGAAGAAGAAGCACGTTAAAAAAAATTCTTGGTTGGCCGTCTGCTTAAAAATATAATCGTGATAAAATTCTACTCTTTTAAATGTCACATCCAATGCCATAAGCCGTTTTCTAGCTGTATCCGTTAGTAGCCACACTCCTCTCCGTCCGACTCCGAGGGCCCGAAGAGGTGTAAAGATCACAGCTTAACCCAAACTGGCCTGAGTTATCCGCTCCTCGATGGTTTTTGCGGTATGAAGTTATTGTACTAGTACCATGAGTGCAGTAAGAAAATTGTAAAAGCACAATTACAGAGTCATGAAAGTTCTGCTTCTTCAGCTTATGTAGGTCTTCTTGACTTACTGCACAGTTATTACACCACAAACTTAAAGATTCGGTTCAACACTTCAAGCTCCATATTTTGGCCATCCTATTTTCGGGAATAGTGTTACACCCTAATCTTTGTTCCTTTCCCGAGCAGATTCAAATTTAAGCTATCCTAGGACAATATGATTTGTTGCGACGCTGCCAATGTGTTGAATCCAAGAATTTACAAATATTTACAGCCAAATGTACACGTTGATTGGCACGATCTTACCGAGAAAAACATTTGGTTCGTCTTAGGGTTTATTTTTTTTTTTTTTGACAGGATTACACTACATATTGGATGCACCGAGCGTATCATACACGGTTTCTATACAAACATGTACATGCCTACCACCACCGATACGATCAACCGTACCCGTGGAACGCTTATACAGTACACCCGATTGAAATCATAACCAACTTGTTGACTCATTTAGCACTGTTGTTCGTCGTACCAATACACTGGCGTGAGTACAGCCTGTTGCTGGCCAATACTGAAACATCTAATTCCATTTTATGCGCAGAATATATAATTATGCTGTATCGTTATTATTAATAATGATTTTCTGTATTTCATTATGACCACGCCGTTTCAGTTCCTTACGCCACAGTATCGTTTTACACCGCCTACCACGTCATCGTCCAACATTCTGGCATCGATTTCAAACCTTCGTGGTGGCAGCTTGGGGCTCCAGACGTAATGTTCCACGATGTTCACCATATAAACTTCAGAGTCAACTTTGGTCTGACCTGCTACGCGTGGGACAAAGTAAACTATTACTCGTCATTGTCTGCGTTTTAAGATTATGTCTTTGAATGAATACGATTGATGTTGATCATCTGTTTTTTCTAATAGTTATTGCTGTTGTTGTTACAATAAAATTAAAATATGTTTTTGATACCCGTTGGTTTACTTTCACGTAGCACCTAGAAATTGATTACGGTTAATATGTACTTTTCCCACTTTTTTTTTTTTAAGACTATAACCTTTCTCGAAAACCATAAATTCGATTAATAATTATAATACTAAATGAAAATTAATTACTGTGACATAGTGTTTGACACATTTGATATAATAATGATAATTTCATACAAACTACAAACAGTTTTATGTAAATCAGTCATGTGCTGCTCGTAATGCCTTTCATATTATTTTTGTTTATAGATTCATGGTACCATGAAGAAATCGAATGACCAGTCTTCGAAAAAATCCAAGGAGCCCTCGATAGTTGGTCGGTCGTCAGCAAATAAGTAAACGTTTGTTAAGTATATGCAGCGAAAATATCGACAAAAAATCTTACTAGAACTCGACTTTATCCGACTTGGTGTTGTTAAAAAAAAAATAAAGGATAGATATATATTTTACGTTAATATTTATTTAGGTTGCTGAATAGGAGATGTTTTAAATTTAATAAAATATACACTTATAAAATTTTATGATATTTGATTACAATTCTTTTGAGAGGATGTTACACCTCCTATTAGTTTTGGAGCTTAGTATAACCGATATTTTTTGTAAAATTTTAATTTTAAGCATACCGTGTAATTAATGTTGGTTCGTAGTTAGTATAGAAAATAAACGGGACTTAGAAGATAAAGTGTTTTATATTTATTTTTATACATACATCATTATTTTTATCAAAAATAATTCAAACGTTTTGAAAAATATGGGCTTATATTTTTAATTTTAATTTTGGATCAACTATTTTATTACTCCTATAAGTATGTCATACAACAATATTTTATGGAAATAGTGCATTTTTGTATAATTAACATAGACCTATAAAGAAATGGAAATGATAGTGATAGAGATCCGAGGGTCGATAGTAAAATAGTAATATGATAATAACTGACAACGAAGTTTCTTACATTAAAACTTTATTTAAATAACGAATTTTAATTTTATTTATAATGGTGTAATAATGCATAATTGAAATTCGTTCTTGCAAAATAAAAATATGCAAACATATATAGGATATCAAAACCGGGTTGCGACTCTGAAAAAGCACAACGGGTACTGTTGCAGTTAGAGTTTATAACAAGAATATGATTATTTTATTTTATATTTTTTTGTATGATTAATTCTGTTAATCATAATCCTCATTAGTTATCCATAATTGAGGCTACTCTTATTTCTTATTATTTGTATTATTATTATACAATATGATTTTTTTTTATATCCCAAACATATTTGAAATGGCTTGAAAGAGGCACTGAAAAGGTATTGATTTTACTATACCTTGTCAAGTTTTTTTTAAATTTAAATGCAGATAAGTGAGGGATCTTCACTCTCAGACTGCATACATACTTTATAACTTAATAACGTTATATTTAAGTACTAAAAGTATTTAAAACATTATTGACAATATTATATAATAATAATAATTTACTGTTAGTAAATTGTCTCTTGAGTTTGTAAAGAAAAACTGTTTTTCAAAATATACACGTTTTATAAAAAGTAAAACAGAGAATGTTCATTGATAAAATTTCAATGAAATTATAATTTTTTTTTTTTAAAGAATTTAAATCAACTTATCAGTCATCTCTTATCAGCCGATTATGTTATACTTTTATGAGCTGATTATCTTATCAATAATCTATTATCAGTTATCCAGGAATCGTTGATTTCCACTTATCACCATCCCATCCTCTATCTTTTCCACTCTCCTTTTCTTTCGCATACCATTCCCTGTCTACTCAAATTTTGAATTGACCCTAGCCTGAAAAAGTTCAAATAACTTCGGCTGTACACACCGCCCCCTTTCCACTCGCTAACAAAAGTCACGCTGTGCAATAGACGCGAATACGTGTGCCGTGACCGGTTACGCAGTAATATAGTATAACCCGTTACCTGGTAAGCGGTTTCGCAGACTGACGTACCGTCGCCCGTCACGGCCGGATCGTTGAGCAACGCCACGATGTCAACCACGGCCGAACAGAGGACCGACGGGAAGAGCATGGTGACGGAGGGAACCGAATGATGTGTGACGACACGTGCCTGATTCTCGTGTTCGTCCGTTTCTGTACAGGATAACATAACACACGGCAAAGACTTAGTAGGTAAACAAATCAACAGATAAGCGGCGCTATAGACCAAATTGGCGGCAGATTTGATGTGGGATTACCGCCGTCAAAAGAGGTACCCTCGCCATTGTCGGCCGTCCGCCCGTCCATAAACTATGACGAGGGTACCGCTGTCGACGACGGGAATCCCGTATTCAAACGGTCGCCGTTCTCGTGTACAACACCGCTTGTCAGTGTTAAAATATTTTAAAATCGATGATGAAACAAATAAACGCGCACCTTCGTCGTACTCGGGATCCGACAGACCGTGGTGCATGCTCTGCTCGTGTGCCGCCTGACTGTTGATGGGAATGGCCGTGACCAAAAAACTCTCGCGTTCGTTGCGCCTTTGGTCTTCTTTGGCTTCCAGAGCCATTTTGATCAGTTCCGTCTGTTGTTTCTTCCTGGTTTTCGTGGCCGTCACCAAAGACCTCTGCGGATAAACAACAAAAGTGGAAAACATTAATACTTGCCTCGAAAAAACTCGTATCTCATCATGAACATGCCTTATGATCAACTGATCAACTCTTATCGTTTATCCGGGAAATATCGATGACCCCTCAACACCATCCCAACCCTTTCCCCGCTCCTATTTTCCTTATCCTACTGGCTCCTTACCTTTGTGACACAAAAGCGTCACGCAAGCTTTCGACGGACCCCGGCCATAATCAAATTAGCTATATTTAAGGCAAACAATTTTTTTTGTCAGACCCCTAACCGTAAGACGTTCTTATTAATAATAACGGCGACATTTTGACTCGTCCTCGACTACTCACGTGCGTGTCTTGGCCGATGGCAACCTCTTCCACTTTGGTCTCCACTTGAGGCATCCAAGGCGGGTCGACGGTCGGCAAGAATTCGATACCGATTTTTGGCGAAGTCAGCGTGAACTCAATGCCTGGTGGAGGGATCCGGAACAAATTTTGTGCTCCTTCTTCCATCCGCGGCCAAGACTGATACCGATTCTTCCACAACACGTGAAACCTAATCACGCACAAAAAAATATTAGCCTAAGTGATAAGATGTCAACTGCTATTTATTTTGAGTCCCGTCAAAACCAAAGTGGCCATTAAAAAGCTAGCAAATTAAAAATTCAATAATTCTCTTAGAGGAATGACAACGGATCATGAACGTGTCTCGTGATCAGCTGATTCTCTTCACGATAACCTGTCAATATCAACAATGATCCCATCGCTATTCCATGCTATCGCCTTCTTCCCCCCTCTCCTCCACGTTGAGGGTCTCATGCAAATTTTAGTACGATGCCCAGCTTAAAAATATATATTCGACAATTTTCAGCAAACTAAGTTTTTGAAGAAAACAGGAGTAAACTATTTCCACTTTTGCCATACAAAATCCTTTTTTAGACACCACTTATAGTCAATTTATTTGCTCTGTTTCAAATTACTATAATAACCCTTGTTGTAAGTACTCACTTCAAAATAGAGTTTGCCCTGACCGTAATATCCCGGTCGGTGAAACTATTGTTCATCAGTTCGATGCACTTCTGCGGTGCTTTGTACGCGGTTATTATGAACAAAGTCGAAGACGCGGCCACCAATTCTTGGTTGGAGTCCAAAAGGTATTCCCAAGCGATTGGCAATATGTCCAAAACCTGTTCTTCCGTCAGCACCACGGCGGCTTTGATCAATAACGCCATCGAACAGTGGAACAAATCGTGTACCTGGACAAGTCAAACAAGTTAAACTATACAAGTCACGCGAGTTTTGAATACTCTGATTACTAGTTTAAAAACGTTATAAAGCAAATTGTCGAATTGGCATGAATATGTCTTATGGCTAGGGGTCTGTTGAACATTTCCTCGCAATTGACACCCTCGTGATGGAGGGGAATGAGAAGGAAGGGTAAGAGGAAAGAAAGCAGTGCAGATAACAATAGGAGTGGATGGGATAGTTTACATAATGACCATTTTAACTTAAGATATTTTCTCGGAAGATGATTACAATTTTCTAGTTTTTCTTTCTTGAAAAGGAAAAGGAAAGAGCGCAGCAAGGCAAGGAGATTGGTTAGGGTACATAGTATTAATACGATGAATATTAATTTATAGTCGCCATAAGACGTGTTTACGACCTGATATCTTCTGAGAAAGACAGTCTTTTTATTTGTTTGGATAAGACATTAAAAATCTTTGGTTTTTTCTGAGGAGGGGCTGGTTTTTTTCCAACTCTCAATCGCGATACACAATACAAAATATATTTACTTGGTTTTTTATGTATTTTAAAATTATAGGTGGGTCGTTCTTGGGCTCTTTCGGGTTTTTGCTGTCCTTCTTTTCGTGGATTTTCGAATCAGACTTCAACAACAGTTTTTTACTAGTCGAAATGCTTTCGCCGATGTTGTACAAAAGACTTGTGCTGAAAAACCAAACCGACACGGTATCATATTATAATTTCATATGGTCCATCGACACGTCTGTTTAAGGAAGTATCGCTATACTTACTTTTCGATTCTTCCGAAACTGTCTTTGCGTTTGTTAGGCGACGTTTGACTGCTCGTCACTGGCACGTTCTTTTTGATATCGATTTTCGTTGTGTTTATCAACACGTCCAAATCCAAGTCGAGTTCCAACGAACTCATCAATCCAAATTCTTCGCCGTACAACTTGTAAGAACAAAAAAAATATCATCACAACAATATCGCAACGATTGGGCAAGATAAAAAAACATTATTTTGAAACCGTTTACGGTGTTCCGGGTACCTTTCTCATGGCTTTGACGAGCCTCGAACAAGCCCGCATGTGCCGTTTATAGCAAAGCGGATGACAAAACGTCTGGTGAGTGCAACTGTGATCGAATGTCTTGTTGATTTGTATGACCGACTGAAGGAAAAATAACACAAACACAAAAATCATCGTAAAGGGTGAATACAATTAGGGTTAGGCTAGTTACGGTCAAAGTTTATTGACGGATGATTTTCTAACTGAATGGTGCAATGGAAATAGTGACTGGTCGATAACCACATTTGGGGATAGATACTTCTCTACTAATTAGCATTCAATGGGGTGGATTGGTAATGGTATTAAATTATATCCCCACGCACCGTACCAGCACTCTACTCCTCCAATTAAAACCAAATACAAATAATTCAAAAATGTTTACTAGAAACTGGTTATTTTCATTCAGCTATTCTTATAATTTAGGAAAGGATAAAAGTATTTTTTTTTCTTTTCATTCCTGATGGAAAATAATTAGTAGACACTAGACTAAGTGCGATTTTCTAGACTACATAACATAAAGGATACCGACCTTTAACCAGGGCATGAAGTAAGTGGTGTCGTCGGTTTCGTTGCTGTCGCAAGGGCTGACCGGTATGTGGTCGTCGCTCAACATGGCAGCCGACTCTTCTTCACCGCTCGCCTCGCCCGCAATGGCCGCACCGCATCCTTCCGAAGTGTCGCTCCGGTCTAAGACAACAGCGAGTAAATGATGTTATTATAATGCAATAATAATATGATTATCATAGAATAAGTTTTTGCGATGATCACAATATGCCGAAAAGCGTCACGAAATTAAAAAAAATTAGCTTAGTGTTGTTTAGGTGTGATTTGGATTAGTTAGGTTCTAACTATTGAACTACCGACAACTATCTATATAGAGTAAATCGATAAACCCTATCTGATTCGAGGAATTAATTCACTAAATTAGATAATCATAGACTACGCATCACAAGCGACAAATGCAGTCCACAGGATTTGTCTTGCAAAATATTTAATGAACAGAGTTTGAAAACGCACAAAAAAGATTATATAATATTATGTTTTTTTTTATATTTGGATAATTTTACAGTATGTACAAGGGTAATGTACAGTAAGCATAAGTGAAAATAATAGAATTAATGAAAATGAAGAAACTGTCCAGCGAGAGTAGTTATATAAAATTATGTAAATTAAAAATGCTCTAAATTTCATGGTTTTGGTGGCTATGACTAATTATTTCTTATTTTAACTGTCATGTTTAACTGTCTATGTGTTGGTGTTATTAAATTGCCAAAAATAAAGAAAAACGTTTATGATAAATATATTATATTGTACCGTATGATATTGAACTTGAAATAAATAAAATCCACAACTGATTTCTCCTCTCCGTGGGAAAACATTGAATCGTGGATATGTTATTAGTCGTACTGGTATGTATTCACACTTTACACATGAGGCGCTCAGAAGCCAAACTGATTAACTCCATAAACTGAAATTTTTCAGTACAGGCAGTTACAGTTATTTGAAACAATGTATGTAAGTACAATTGGCAATGTACTTAGAGCACTCTAGTGGTGAAAATTCAACTACGGAGTTATTTATCTTGATGCTATTATTCGCAATTTGAAAAAAAGTTAAACGAGTTAAACGGTTTGGCATCTGAGCGCCTTAGATACCCTGGTATACCCTGGTACCAAAATTCATAAATTGACAAAACCGTGTCCTGGACAATTTTCATGCTCTCCCGAACAATTTACAAATGTTGATAGCCATGTCTCTTGCACCGGACAATGCGAAATGCGGTTGGGAGATAAGCAAAATCATATTCTATGTCCTCTCAAAGTGCGAAGTTAAACAAAAAGGCGGAGTCAAGAGGGGGGGGGAGGATTAGCTCCTATTTCTAGGCCCAAAGGGTCGAATTTATTACTGCCGTTGATGTTTAAATGAGAGTAACTGGTGTTCTGGACAAAAACAACAGCTACTCTCGAACTTACAATCGCCGTCGGACGACAAGATCTCCTTGATGCCTTCCTTGGTGTTCCGACGCAATTTCAAACTGTACCGCTTGAATGAACCGGCCGTGCCTCTTCTCTGAGAAAAATGTTGTGCTCCACCCGCCGTCGGTTGACCACCAGAAGACTTGGCTTTTTTTTCGTCGATGACCGTCGCAGGTCCACCCTCGTCCCACTAAGGGCGATGAAAATACAACATTAGGTCGACTCCGGTCCAATATTTGTACTTGAATTACACGCTATAATGCGAGACTTAGATTCCGAGTACTCGAGTGATTCGCCAACGGTAAATCAATTTAATTAATTAAACGTCATTTTGTGGTTTCAGTTAATTAATTGAAAATAATGCATTTGTACGTGTATTATGTTTAAGGATTTTGGCCCCCAAAAATAGGAAGAGTAGCCACGAATTCCACAAGATGAAGTTTGGTGAGTACATTTTAATTAAATTTAGTGTTTTAACCAATCACTCTCACCTGGTTGAAGTGAACGTTTGGATTGGTATTTTCATTTTTGTTCTGCTGTTCGTTGTCTTTGCTCTTCAGACACGTTTTCCCTTTATCGGCTGGAGCAGCTGTTTTATGGGGGAAAAAATGCCATGTCAAAAATACGGTTAACACATAAAATCAAAAACAAAATGTCCTAGTATAATCAAACACAAACGGTATTAAACATTTCTACCAAAACTAAATACTAATTACAAATCATTTTGGAACAGTATTAAACTATATGGGTACAATATAAAAAATATACAAGAAAATGACATTATTGTAAGTGCATTCTTGCGTAGCGATTGTGGTTCATAAGCTTGTTCTAGGTATATCATAATAGCAGCTGGTCACTATAATATTATTTTGTTTAAATAAAATATAACATATCGGTTTGTCCGAAGTTTATAGAAAATCTTGATTAAACAAATAAGAAATGACGGGTAAAACTGCAGTTAAATATAAAAAATACAATACTGGTGCTGTTCTATTTACTAATAATCAGATAATAATAATAATAATAATACTAGTAATAATAATATCTAATATATACACAGCACAGCGTAGGTAAACGTTACAGCTACAATGTAAAAAAATCTTAAAATTAAAAAGAAAAAAAAAACCAAATTATAATTTGTTTTGTAACAAATAATAGGACAAAATTAATAACAGTTCATAAAACTCAATGAATAATTTTGTTATCATCTAAACAACGCCCGGATCAGTTTTGCATTTGAGGGAAGAACAAAAAGGGGCATACGCTCTCTCACATATTTTTAATGATAGTTTTACTATGATTAATCAAACACAGCACAACTTTACCTATTTAGGCTCTCTTTTAAAAGTTATAAATACATAATATATTTAGATATATATTATATAGATATATTTTTGCTAACACCATAAGTTCAATTCTATTATTTTTGGTTTAAAAAACTAATTTTTTCCTCTCAAAAACCTTGAAAGTTATCGATTTTATTTAAAGGTTTCTAATTTTTCTTCTATCAGGTTTTTTATAATTTAGGAAAGGGAACAAGTCCGCCAGCTGTAAGCATTAAAAATGGGCATAAAGTAAGTACATCATTAAACTAAAAAAAGTATCAAATGTTTCTAATGACATTTTTTGTGTTTTTCCGATTTTTTAAAACTTTTTTCCTTTGTTGAACAAGCAATTCTATTTTAAAAATCTCATCGGACAGTTGGTGTGCATTGGAAACAGCCTATAAATAAAGTTAAGTCTAAAAAAGAAAAAGTAAGTAGTACTAAAATAAATTGAAGAAAAATTGTTGTTAGAAATCTACAAAAGGCCATCATTGTGGGAATGGGTAAATTTAATTTTAATATTTTTTTAAAAAAAAAGAGCCAACAAAGCAGACAAAAAAACTGTATTGCATTGTACACGGTTTAATTTTCTCGGGAAATGTGCAAAATGCGATTTGTCCTTCAAAATGTGCACGGAAAAAACATAAAACATAATAAGTATATTATTAACAATAATAATAATTGGTAAACATATTATTGTTAAAACGTTTAGAATGTATTCGAAAAAAAAATAATAGGTAATAAAAAAAAAGCGTAGGTATATTATGTAAAATTAGCTATGGGACTATACTCTATGCATGCTATACCTATTGTAGTATCATTATAAAATATATTCGGTGTGCAATCAACAGTACAATGTTTTCCCACATATTCAGAATTTATTTAAATTGATTATAAATATTAAATTTAAATAAACAAGCGTAGCCTAAACCAGTAGTACAGTCCAAACCAAACTAGTTTGGTCTCCGAAGGTGATTTGCCACATGATGAGAGGCAGGAACCTCGTTTTAGAACTTTCTGTTACAAGTCAAACTATACAGGACTAGTTATGGCAGAGTATTCTAATCTTGTTGACCAGTTTTATTATTTTTTATTTATCTAAATTTCTACAGTCCCGTGACTACCAAACCAGGTCGGTGTATTATAGTACAGTGGGGTTTTTTTAAAATAACGATAAAAAGTTTTGGGAAAATTCCAAGCATAATTGTGTGAAAACCGTTGTGTTGATTTCACACTGCAATATATGTATAGTTAATTATAAAGTCTAATGTGATCTACTCGAGTGCAACATTATCGATCAGTAACACTCTTGGAAGGTCATACCGCGCTTTTCTTTAATTAGTTTAGCGTGTCTGCGGAGTTTGGTCAACACGGTGGTAGCGACCACGATGCTACTTTTTCGACTAACGTCCTCTTCCGGTTTTAAATGGCTCTGCGGAAGGTCGTTATTTCCGCTTTTCTCCATTTCTGCGATACAACAGTTCACAAATCCATCAACAACAAAATATGTGTAGGACTATACAGTCATATATTCGCATGCAAGTGCATTTCCCGTACGTATTACACAATTTATACATATTGCAGTAATAGTTATAATTCCAATTATTATTTACACCTAAATGTATCCAGACAAAAAACATACCTATTTGACATTAGTGAGGCCAGCAATACTATATGAGTCGGAATGTAGGGCAGCAGACAAGAAAACTGAACAGAGAATGAGTTTAGTGGAGATGAGAAGATGGATGAGTGGAGTGACTAGGGTCGGTAGAATAGAAAATGAATACATAAGGGGGAGTCTGGGAGTTTCATCAATTGTGGGGAAAATGAGAGAGAGAAAAGGTTGAGACAGTTCGGTCGTGTTAAGATGTTACGATCGTGTTCAGTCATGAGATAAAGCAGAGGCCATGAGAAATGTTATGAAAATAGAGGAAGAGGAAGACCGGAGAAAATATGGATGTATGGAATAGAGAGTGATATGAGGATAGCTGGGGTGATTGAACGAGATAGAAATATATAGTTTAGTTAAACTAGTGTTTCATTAATATATAATGTTTATCAAACGATATGAAATATAATTGAAACAGTAGTAGTAAACTTAAAAATAAACTATATTTTTTTCCAAAAACGACTTGATTGTGTATGTATTTTTGTCTCTACCAAAAAGCCTAAGTTTCCCAAATTTCACACGACTCCTATAGAAGTTTCACTTGATGTAAGTATCATTTTTTTCCATTTTTTTTTTTTTTTTACTCGATCCACGACTTACCGGTATCTTTGTCGCAAGCTATGGACTGTAAACTCTGAGCGGACGCCTGCGAATGGCCCATAGATGACAGTGCCATAGACCACCGTCTCCCTTCCCGGCTGTGCGATTGCCGGGGTTCCCGGTCCCAAGTGCTGGATGCGACTGGCAACGTGGTGTAAGTGTTTGATTGCCTGGCTTTCGGCCGACTCCTGTAGGTCTCCCGCAAGTACGAGGTGATCTCCAGGAACAACATGCAGGCCACCATTCGCAACACCAACGGACAGTTCATCGTCCGGGTGACGCCACAAGCTGAAACATGTCAAAAGGATTGAAGAGATCGCATGTCTTTAGGATGACCACAACCGAAAGTGATAAAATCACATTCAAATAAAAATGCTTCGTCGTGAAACCGTAAAACTTTTGATAAAAGCGTTGTTAAGACAATAATGTGCTTGAGATTGTAATTTTAGTATAAGGTGGATACGATTAAAATTCCATCGTTACCCATGTATCCCAAATATTTTTCAGACACCTACTCGCTGTTGATTCATTGAAAATAACCTGATAATTTACTATGCCAATGTATAAATCACCCCTACATTATTGTCAGCGCCTAAAGAATATTCCATTCAAATTTAAAATTAAAGTAATTTTAAATTGAAAAATTAGTTTATTTTTTTTACTGTTTTCAAGGGAGAAGGGATGAATTTTTAAAACTACTAGCTCAATATGTAATGTAGTAATGACTTACTACACTAAAAAACAAGATACGATTATTTAAAAGATATCGAGAAGCCAGTCACAATGATCGAAGCACATTATCGTTAAAACAATACTAATATTTGAATCTAGATTTTTGATAAAACCACATTTTTTTGCAACCTTATATTAGAAATACAATACAAGTTTCCAAACCTTCCGCAAAGAGTAAGAGTTCGATACAGACTTGCAATTAATTGGACTGTCTGCGGTTTTTTATCACTGATTCCTTATCAGTAGCCATTATCAGCTCTCTCTCTTATCACATTTCCTTTTCCTACTCTTCCCCCACTTTCACTTTTTTCTCCTCCCCGCCTTGGCTAACCTAACTTGCCGGTGTCGCGAACACGCTAATGCCAGATAAACACCAGTCCAAAAACGAAAACATTTGAGAATATTATCCAGACCCCAAGTAATTATAATATTATTCACACAAAAACTCGGCCATGGGTCACTTACTTTCGTCCAAAAAGTCTTCTTCTTCGTCTTCGGTCTGCAGGTCTCGCTGATACGATTCGTTGGTGATGAGAGACAACACATGAGGCATTTGCTTTAGGTCGTCGGCCATCATTTCGTCGATGCGTGCAGAAATTATCTGTCGACCGACAAAAAGCCAATGTTAATAATATAATCCTTCGCCATCGTATCACACCGTCGATTCGTGGGTTTTACATCACTGAACTCAATAATTATGGAACGCGCATTGCCTATAGATGACTGCTTACGAAAATGTCCACTGGTAGCTGCCATTTTGTAAACAGCTATTGTTTTGTCCATGATACATCAAATATATGAAGGTGTTGTCATCACCTTACCTAACATTTAAATATGTATCCTGGAAAGTAACGTAGCATTTTTACTTTCCATGAAATTGGTACCTACACAAAATGACAGCATTCCAGATCTGGACATTTTTCGATCCGAATAAGCGTTCCATATACTGAGTTCAGTGGCTTACACCGTTACCTCGCCCCATTGCCGGAACAGTTTGCCCGCGTTATGCTGCACCATGGCGGTTTTCTTTAGCCCGTTCAACAGGGTCGACGTCTTGAAATTCAACGCCGAAGGTCTGGTCGATCTCGCCCACGTCGTCCATTGGCCTTTGTTGCAACAATGGACGTAATGGCAACACTCCAACAGAAAAGCCGCCCTGGCCAGCACCGGAGTGTTTGGCTGAAACAAGTAGACGCGATAAATCAATTTTTTTCCGTTATCTTGAAACATATTCTAACGTCAAAATGTATAGCGTTTAAAACAATTTTATACTTATTATTATTATTTATTTTGAAATAAATTAAATTTGCAAATTTTAAGTTAGTCACGGTTGCTTTTTTTTCGGTGGAACTTTTTAGAAAAATTGCACAGTAGCACTTTTTGTTGAAATAATAATTCATATTTTATACACTAGGAAGTATGTTGCAATATAAATATGTTTTTTATCTTTATAATACAAACGCTAAGTTAGTAAACAGGAAAATGTTATTGAAAAACAAGATTGTTTTTGTAAGCCTCGTGCAGTTGTGTGCGCGTGTCAGCCCTAGCAGTTTTGGCTTAAATAGGATTTGTTTGCAAGAGCTCGTGGTCATTTTTTTTTCAAAACATAAAAGTGAAGTCAAGGACATACTTGAAATGTTTATTAAATGTTATAAAAAATGAGACAGCAATAAAAAAAAGGTTGTCAGTACTGACAACGGGGGCGATTTGGCCAATCAACAAGTTTCAGGGTTGTTAATCAAGTATGGAATTCGTCATCAAAAGATGATTGCATACACTTTTAATAGCAAACGTATTTTTCAAAATAGACGACTACGGCCGAGTTATGTATTTTACATACCAAATCGAAAGCCGCAGATATCAAATTGGCATCGGGCACCGTGCCCGGGCCACACATTTCTATCATGACGGAAAAACGTTGGATGCCCAATTTCAGCTGTTTGATCTGCACCAATTTCCTTTCTTTCAACACGACGAATTCAGACTGATGAGGATGGTCGCCGTCGTCCAACGAATCGCGGCGACTCATAACTAAAAAAGAACAATAGATTTTGATTAAATGGGAATTCCGGTAAAGGAGGAGGTATCGTCCGCCTCACAGCTGCCTTGAGAATCGTCGGTGCTCTTGTCTTTTTTCCTGCCCTTGCGGAACATGTATTTGTTCAGTTGGTGTCCCATTCGCTTTTTGGTCTTTTTAAACGTCGACGACATTCTGCGAAAAAAAAACAAACGCGTATCGTATCGATTAAAATCGATGAGCTTTCCAACAACACCTTTCGGCCGTATCACAAAACAAACATTACCCGGTACTACTCTTTTTCGATCCTCTGCAATAAGACTGGTGTAAATTCGCCGCTTGCCGCACGAGCGAACCGACGTCGGACGAAGAGTCGTACGAAGAACTCATGCCTTGTGACCTGCCACGACATTGGTGAACGCTCGACTTTGAACTAATCCAGTTAACTAAAAAAATTTTTTTTTAAAAATGAGAAATTTCATCCACTCCAAGAAGATACGACGAGTCGTGAATATGTTCATGGAATCCATCCACTCTCAATCATAAGTGAACATTTCGCACGATTCACCTGATAGTTTATAGTTAAGAAGTGTGCTGAGGATGGTTGATAAGCGATAAGCAGGCACATTGGCCAAAGTCATAGGTCAACACTTGGACATATTTTGATCTTACTGAAATATGTTACACAAATTTTTAACCAACCCCCTATAGAACAATTTCATATCAAAAGTGATCTAATTTTATATTGTACAACATTAATAATAATTTGTTATTTTATTTAAAACCACAAATGTTTTTTTCTTACTAAGAAGTGTTTGGATTTCTAGAAAAAATTACTAAAAAATAGAAACTCTAGTTTTTAAATGTTACTTTAGCTATGTTGAGTATACAAACTAATAAAGAATTTATAAGTCGCATGGATTTCAAATTTATCAGTCATAAAACATATTTGAAACATTTAAAACATAGATGAGAGTCTACCAGAAGATAATCCGGTAGATGCGACTGAGCTAAAACCAAATCCACTAGATGAGACTTTAACACAAGTGAATCCGGACCAACAAGTTGATAAATGGCAAAGCGATGAAGACAACATTCCTAGTTCTGTAGAAGTTGGATTGGTGCCAAAAAAAATAGAAACACTGTCAGAATTTTGTAAGGATTTTTGTAGCTCGCTTAAACCTTATACTGAATTGGAACATTTTAGTACATTTTGGAACAAACTTCAGTCCGTTCCAGTTGTACAGACATTTAGGTTGGAAGTGCTACTGGTTCTTCTCGAAGAAGAACATAATAAGGGTTTATTGATCAAAGAGATTTATAAATGCATAACAACATTTATTGAAAGTGAACGGAAAAAAATGCACCCGAGGCCAGCACATGTGATTTGAAAGGTCTTCTATTCGAATCCACTGCAGTATTTGACATACTTTATTCATGCTTAAAGAAATTGTGCGATCAATTTCCACGTTGGTTGGAAACTAACGAAAGTGTGTATGCTAAAGAAGAATTTGATGAATTTTGTAAAAGCATTTGACTACGCCAAAGAAGTCAGAGATTACTTTGAAGCCGACATAGACGACCACCAAGTAATTGATGGTTTGAACGAATATTTCACGTATCTGCAAACGATGGTTGATTTAATTAGTAAACATGATGAAACGTCCCAAGAGTACACAGAGGTAGTAGCCGGATATTTTTTTTTTTTTATGAATAACGTTAAAATTTTCAACGTTAAAACTGACATCGACGGAATATTCGCCATTTTATTTAATAACTCTATGAGATTGTTGGAGTTATTAAATTAAATGTACAAATGTGAAAAAATTCCGCAAGAACTATTACCAGAATTGGAAACTTGAATAATGATGAATAAACAACCAATATTGAATGTATTAATTATATCACTTATGTCATTGTATACAACACTGTTTATGAAACTTCTATAACAAAAAAAACTTCTATAATTTATATAGCTTCGATACTGAAATCATGTTCATATCATTTGATGATAGTAAAAATAAAAATAAAACATCTAGGATTATCTAATTTTTTTTTTTAAGAAGGAGAACTTTTTAGAATTTTAGTTATATTATATTAAAATAATTTTTCTCCTTTTTATCACATACAAACGGGGTCAGCTCGAGCTTAATTAAATGGCCAAAATCGCTCGTATTAAACATGGTTATTTCCTTAATGTAACTGCACCAGCCTAAAAAAATGGCATGTAATTAATTAATCTCCCTTTTCCCTCACATCCCTTACAACAAACGTAACACGTACAGATGACGTGAAAATATTCAAGCGAATTCCGGTTTGTTCCCAGCCATTAAAAAAAACATATCTATTTATTAAAAATAAATATAAATCATCGCACAATTATTACCGATTTCTCTGATTTGCAGACGTTCGGAGTAGGATTTCTTCGGACACTGCATACTTCCTTCGCTCGGCTTCGAAGTCATCGGGTTTTTTCTTTTCTTCAAATTGATCAACGCCACCTGGTTTCTAATGTCTTCGCTGATTTGATTTTCAAAAGCATTCTAAACGTTTTTACATGCATAATTTAGTCAGGTCGAGAATTATAGTTGGCTACGTGAAATGGCCAGGTTTATAAAACGTTGACCGCATTACCGAATAACTGGTCGAAGTAGTGCGCTTTTTAAACAATAGTTTCCTGTTCACTTTGTCGATGATAAAAGGTTCAGTAATGGATTTGGAATGTTCCTCGTGGTCGTGCAACGGTATATGCCTGAATGAAAAACAAACGGTTTCGGTCGATTTGAATACTAACGTTCAAAACTGTGTGCATGAATTATTCTAGAAAGGGAATAAGTAAACCAAAAATACAAAAAGTTGGGAAAGCACAAACAACTGCACTTATTCTGTGCCTTTTTTTAGTCTCTCACGGCTGGTGGACTTATTCTCTTTCCTAAACAAATTATGAAAACCACAGAAATGAAAAGCGTTTCAACAAATTAAAAATGGTCTATTTGCCATATAATATACCCCTCGACAAGTAAATAGTTGAATCAATGAAAACAAGGAAATTTAACAACTGACACATTTATGTAAAACCTAAATCTGATTAAATCGTTTATTTCAAAAACAAAAATTATTAATTTTTTTTGTTGAAAAAAATGTATCATATAAAAGCCATTATTTTTTGTTTATTACCACTTTATGTTTAATAAATATTCAATTTACCAACTTAACAACACATTGAAGTATTATTCTGGACTTTTATTCTGAAATTGTGGTATTTACCAGCAATAACTATATTTTGTATAAATGTTTTGAAAATAAAAATGCAAATGTATGTGCAATGGTATAAATATTAAAAACTTTTTTTTTTTTTTTAGGAAATGTGTTATTTATGACACTCCAACAAGGCGTTAGGTAAGTCACCTGCTTACTTGTATTATTATTAGTAAAAAACTTCTGTTACATATAAAAATAGTATTATTTGACCAATTTTTTTGCGATTACAATAGTCAAATGTGTTTCATATTGATTTGTTCAAAACAAATTTATTTTAAGCCATAAATCATAAAATAGTACAAATCCTAAAAATAACTTTTACAAAAAAGATGCAACTACAAATTAAGTTTGATTCCTGAAGTAATAAAATTATTTTTTGTCAGGTTTGGCTAGTATAAGTTAGGATAGGTTTGTATAGAATTATGTTAGATTAGGTTTGTGTGAGGTTAAATATGACTTGTATCGTTTTTTGAACGACCGATTTGAATTATAACTTATTCCTTTTCTCGAAGAATCGAGTTCGTGTTGTACAAAAGCCAATTACTTACCTTATTACACGCGTGGTCTGTACGTTACAATGTTTTCCGTCTTTATGGTACGATGTATCGATTAAACCGCTTAACATGGCTCGTTTGAACACAGAAGGGTGCATGTCTTTGACGTACGCAATCAAGAACCTCAACGTGCTGTAAATGTCCTGTAAGAATTTCGCATAAGTGTTTGGTAACGATTTTGGTTCGGCTAAATACTATGGGCCATTCGCGAAAATTGGTCACTTTTAGTTTTAAAATTGAACAAAAAAAATTGTTATTATTTTTAATTAAAATGTCTTTAATCACCTCTTCTTTTATCACTTTATTTATGCGAAAATCCATTAAAAACTAAAAAACATTGTTTGTTTACATTGACCCAACACACCATTAAGTGCAATCCTAGGGAAGTGGGAGTGTCATAGAAAACTGAATTTTAACGATACGGATCTATACTTCTAGATAACACCAACTCCGCCATTACACGGACCAACTACAGAGAACGCTTAGGATCCAGGTAGAGATGTGATAAATACATATATTTAACATTTACTTTTATCATAATTTCATTACTTATTTGTTGCATACTCGAGAGTTAGATTATTTATCTTTGGGTTTATTTAAGTGCACACACAGGCTAGCCATCGGTTCCTACAAGGACCCACTTATTTAACCCCATCGACGGGCGCTTTGTTCAAATTAGCCAACTAAACAAGCAGGCACGATACTGTGGGAATGGACCAAAGTTTCTAACTCATAACACAAATATTTCCTTACCCATCATTACCCTGGTGGCAAATTCAAAACTTGACTAGGTAGTGAGGTACAAACTTTGGGACACATCTAAATAATTGTGTTTCTCTTAGTTTGCTGTTAATTAAACGATATAGTTCCAAATGTCGCTTTTTTCAATAGACTATCAGAGAAATAATACAAGTCAAGCGCATGTCACAATACTTACAGCGTTTTCCGAACTTCTCAGCTCTTTAAATGTACAAACAACTCTGGATATTAGATTTCTGAATATCACGCTGATAACGTGGTATTCGTTGGCGCGACAACAAGCCGTGTTCATAGGTCCATAGCCCGATGGAGAACCGCTGAGTTGAGAAACTGTATCGATTGATTTTCTTTTGTTATCTACGAAAAAAATTGCACGATAAAATAAATAAGAAATAAGAAAAGAAGACCTACGTGTTAAAGTTTCAAAACAACAAATTAATATTTCGTTCGAAAATAAATTATTCTTAAAGTTTATCACTTTTTAAACTGTAGACCTTTTCCCTTTAATACTCGAGTTAATAGTTTTTATTTATTTATTTCACAATAATAGACGCTCGTAATCGTATGTTTAGCACATCATTTCTTAAAATTAAAGATGTCCATCAAGGAAATTGTTCAAAGACATAAATGCAAGAATTCATTTTAGATGATTTCAAGTCATTCGAATGTCAATTTCAAATTTACTACTACGGAAAGCCTTATAAACATCATTGATAAGAGAGGGGATAAATGTACACCTCGGAGAATTCCAGAAGTCACGTTAATTGGAACGAACAAATGGCCATGGTCATTAATTCAGTTTTAACAGTTTATTTACATTTTTAAATATTTCGTTTTGAGATCGTAACAGATATTTTTCAAAATGATTTTATTCGAGCAGTGATGTTATTAAGTTATTATAACGTTATGAAACATAGCGTTTAACGACGAATATCGTTGGCTAAAAACTCGTTGCCATGCTATATTATTATTATATGAAATACTAAACTTAGAATTTGAAAAGAGTTCAATACTGCAGACATTGTCAAGCAGATTTTACGCCAATACCGTTGAACCTTACAAGTATTCAATAACCGACTGCGCGATACGATAAGATGGAAGTCGATCTCGTCATATTTATAATTGGATCGTTTATCACTTTTGGAGTCGCCTACATGATAAGTAACGGCGAAGGTGGCTCCGATGGCGCCGAAGGCGAGCAAGGCTAATGATGTTTTCTACTACACGTGCCAACGGAAATGTTAATATGTATCGAATGTTATCCAAATAAAGCGTTCGATTTTAACTAAAATTCATATATTTAATATCTGTGTGAATGTACAGATACGACTCGTTGGTTTTGAAAATATACACAAGTGGCGATGGATATTATTTGGGATTCCCGCCATCAACAGAGGTACCATAGTCATAGTTTACCGTTCGCCCGACCATCAGCTATGACGAGGACACCTCTCATGATGGTGGGAATCCCGCATAAAATCGGTCGCCGTTCTTGTGTATAGAATCGCTTATCTTTATATTTAAAAGACGGCGGTTAAATTAATAACGTTATGCGTTAAAAATTCGTAAAAAGTTTCAAAAGTAGCCCATGTGTGTCAAGTGCCAACCCGTTTTTGCCGTGGACTAGTTGGAACGTCACACAGTGGTCCAAAAACGTAACAACTTGGTCAATATACATTTCTTTATCATTTTATAAGTTGTTGAGTGTGTGATAGGTTCAAGTAGATCGGTGGTACAAAAAAATGGAGGATGCCTACAAGATTGAAAGGTAAATTTTATAGGACGGTATTGAGGAGCAGTGGATAAGAAAACTGAACAGAGAATGAGTGTAGCGGAGTTGAGAATGCTAAGATGGACGAGTGGAGCGACTAGGAAGGATAGAATAAGAAATAAATACATAATGGGAAGCCTAGGAGTTGCATTAATTGTGGGGAAAATGAGAGAGAGAATACGTTGTGACGGTTCGGTCATGTTATGAGTAGAGATAATGCAGAGACAATAAGAGTTGTTATGAAGATGAATGTAAAAGAAAAGAGAGGAAGATCGAACAAAAAGATGGAATAAAGAGTGATACGAGGATAGTATCATGCTGCATAATACATGCTCAATGCTCATCTGCCGTTGAAGAGCAATAATAGTTTAAAAGCGTCACGGTGAATCCTAACCTAATCTTATCTACTCTTCATTTGATGATCATTATGGTCATAGATACCCTGGCATATGAACAACAAAAAAACCTGTTTTAGGTACTTTAAATGAGCAATGTGGTAGAATTGAATTAATATTTATTTGTTTACACACTCATTGATTCGCATTTCTGTGTTACTGAAAATACTCACATATGGGAGAATACGTCAGCGCGGGCTCGATACAAAACCCGATGTATGAATGGACGAAATTGATTACATAAGTCAACGAGTTGGTTTTCACGAAATGCCTCAGATAGTTGGAAAATTGTTTTCTGTCGGACTGCTTTAGCCGGTTCAGCATTATCTGGCACTGGGTTCGTACGAAACTGGCCGGCGGTCCCCTATGGCCTTCGCCACAGCTGTGAGGACATCCCAAGTTCTGTATCACTCTGTAACGAATAACAAAAAAAATCAACGGCTTAAGCAAAATACTAGACGGTAAAATTTTAGTCTTTTCCCATACCTGATAAGCGAGCTCATCACAAGAGCGTGCGCCGACATCGGTTTGCTGTACGAAAAGTGCGACAAGTAATCCGAACAGGCGTTGTTAATGCTGTATAAATTGTTATGGGACATTTTCGAAACGTCTCCGGTCCACGAATGGTTCAGAATGCCCAAATCCAAAAGCAGTTCTAGCAAATTGACGATTACCTCACAAACCCTAAACGTTTTGCTGGTGCTCAGTTGATAAACGGAAAAATGAATAGCCTGGAAAAACATGACGGCCGTCGTTAAACAAATTAATCCCAAGATGGCGTTGGATCGTTAGTATCATTTCTTATGGTCATGGATGAATTTCTGATCTCATATTAAAAGACTAACTTAACACCGTATCATCCACACTTATCTAATCTCTTCCCCTCTCTTACAAGCCTCTCTCGCCATCCCTTCCCCTCCTATGCTCCTTCCCGTCTCTTTCTCGCCCCATCAGTTCCTTACTACCTTCTGCAACCCTAATTCTCACATTACCTTCCTTCCCTTTGGGTCACGCATGGCACTCATGGTATAAGACATATAAGACATATAAGACATAATATTTGTTTCGATATTGTAACATTGACAGTTGTAAATGACCGACGACACTTACCCTCAACACGACGTCGTAGTCGACGTCGCCGTCTTTGGTGATGAAGTTCTGCGAGCCCGGCACTTCGGCTATTTCTTCGCTTATGTACGTTATGTTGGAATCGGTCTGAGATCTGGTCAAAGGCGAATGATGGAAGTCTTTGGAGAGCTTATTGGCTTGCGGGAAAAAATTGTCGAACTGGAACTCGTCAAAAAAACGAGCCTGACAGGCAGAAGAGCAACATTAATTATTAACGGATTCGCATTACAACCCGCTGTCCATCTTGAGCTAGCGTGACCTTTTTTAAGTTGACAATTTTTTTCGATTATGTGCCAGAGCTAAGACATGAAAATGTCATAATATAAAGTTGGCAACACTTCTGTGCTGATAGTTTTACTAATCCCTAATAGTTTGAAAACGTGTAACGGTCACCAGTTTCTCAAGATGATAACTGAACGGGGTACGGTAAGGTAAAGAACTGGCTAAACGGCGACACTCACTTTGTAATAATTTATGTCGGGCGAAGTAGCGTCCAAATCTTCCGTTATGGTGATTATTGGATTCATGAAATTCTTTACGTTTTTTATGTCGTTAGCCCTGAAATATTAAAACCATAATATCGTCTCAACGTTTTGGATTATTAGGTTACAGTCAATAAAAACCAAAATTTAAGAAATAAGACGGAAAAACATAAAAAAACTTTTTTTTTAAGTTTGGTTGGGGATGTACTTTGCATATCAAAAGTGCCCGCAAGAGTGATTTGCGAAATTTGTATTTATGGCTCTTAGAGTTCCATTTTATTCTTTTATTATTCAAATATTAAAAAAAATATTGCAAAAAAATATCAAACAAAAATCAATTCAAAATTATTTTTTTATTGAAAAAATGTATTTTCTTTTTTTTTAAGTCAATAATTTTATCGTACCAACAGTGTTAAATTATTTTAAATAACTTAATTTTATCATTACTGACCATTTAGCAATACAAATTTAAGTACTACATTTTACTTATTCATAAAAATATACAAAAACAATTAAAAACGTGAACTATTTTTAAATGAAAGATACTGTTTTCCAGAAAGTTAAATTTTAATTTTGATTGAGACTTGTTGGTTTTTTCAATATTTTTTTAAGATATTTAAAAAAATACACTTCTAAGAGCTTCGAAAATAAGCGCACCAGTAGAATTATTGGTTACTTTGTTAAAGTACATAGGTAATCCAACCTAGCACTTAAAGGAAATAAAAAAACTCTATTTGGAAATGTTTATGCTATTGATTTCTTCATTAAATGGCTTATCAAATGTTGTCTCAGTACTCACCTTAGACTCGGAAGACTTTTTCCTCTGTTCAGAAACGTCGTGGTTTTATTGCCCTGAAAGAAGAATTCTAGTTTTTTCATCAACGGGTTCGACAGTTCTTGACTTGTAAACACGGAATTACGGTTTTGCTAAAATAAAATAAACAATGTTGTAAATAAGAAAGATTAGAAGAAAATATAAAGGAGGAACAGATGAAACATGAATATTTTTAATGGCGCCCACTCGCTTCTAGTCTTAACTAAACATTTCACACTTCTCACCTGACAACCATTAGGTTACAAAAAGTACGAATGACCAGGAGAAGTGATAAGTGATAAGAATGGGTGTTTAGGAGTCAAATCGGCCAAAACGTTATAGGTCAACAATATGGGATAGATTTTGATCTCCGCCCATTGAACATTTGTGTTTAAACAAAGCTATAGGAAATCCATGACTGACCTGTTCCAGCATCATCACGTCGTTGATGTAATCCATCTTCTGGAGGTTTTTCTCGGACTTCGACAATAGTTTACAGCCCACAAACGATTTCAAATCGACTATTTTCTTTTTCTTTTTAATTCGCTCGCTAGATTGCCTGGACTGAGCGTTAGCGGAATCTCGATCGTCGAAAAACGTTCTTTTCCTCTCTTTGCTGATGTCTAAAGTAGAAAACATAATAAGCCCTTTTTGAGAATTTTTCAGGCTTACAAGTGGCTAGTGGCTAATCTTAGTACCTGGGGAAATGTCGCCCATGTCGGCTATGGTGTTGGAATAATTCGGTTTGACGATTTTACCGCGAAAATCCGGTTCGTGGTGGAAAGACACTTCGATTTTCGGAATCGGCAACGAATTACTCCTCCGCCGTGGTTCTTGTTTGGTTTTTATGTTTTCGTTAATGCTCTGCAGTCTTTGGGTGTAAACAAAGACAGTAAAATATTAAAAATTGAATATTTAGACGAAAAAATAAAAAATAAATTGTTTATCCCATAAGGGGTAGTTCATAAACTATTCATAGTATGATAGACAGCACATAAAAGGTAAAATTTTTAATTTTTTCTATAATAAAAAAAGTACAAGACACGTCTTATGATCAGCTGATTTTTCACTCCTTATAAATCATCATCTCTTTTTAGCTGATTCTCCTTGTTTTTAGATTTGACAAATTCCTCTCCCATCCCCTTCTCCTCTCCTTCTGCCTCTCCTATCCCCCCATTTTCTGTTCAGTTTTCTTGTCTATTGGCCAACATTCTGACCCATATAGCATTGCTGGCCTCACTTCCGTCTTATAACGGTTAAGTATAATATAGTCTAATTAGTCCCCACATATGTATGGAATATTTTTAGTCATAGTACTACTGAAAAACGTTGACAAACCAAACAAATAAAAATAAACCCTTTCTCCTAGATGAGATGAAAACTTTTTTTAGGTAAGAATTTAGCGGTTGAGTTTAGAAAATTAGACACCTTACCTGTGATAGAGATATTGAAGACTCCAGTATACGCCTTCTTCACACCATTGAGGGACAAACAAACATCTTATCACCGCCACGTCCAAAAAAGTAGCCGCATACAAGTCGACGGAGATCGATTCTTCCGATAAGATACTGGAACTTTTGTAATTGCTCGAACAGCTCTTTTTTTTCGATTGACTACGCGAAAATAACAATAGAACAGTTTAACAGATCAGTTAGTTATCGTAAACGGATTAAAAAATATTGCACAATTAGTGGCTAATTTTGAATAAATTTAGTTCAATTATCCCTTCTAATCTGATCTGCATCTAAACTACTTAACGTTCAAAGATAGACACCTTATTTTGATCTTCTTTTGCAGTTGTTTCATTTCGGGAGACGTTATCGCCGCGAAATCTTCAAAATTATACAAGGGATCCGATTTGCTGACGGGCAGTTGATAAATACTCGGTTTTCCCTGTGGGAGGAAAAAATATGTTTGTATAAAAAAAATAAAGTATAAACAAGGCAACTATAAATAAAACGTATTCCTCTTTAAGGAGAAACAGTAACCGAGTAATTTTTTTTACATTTCTTATCTCTCATCACACCTACTGATCTCTCACCGCCCCTCCTTCCGTCTCTTACCCCCGGTCATTATATCACATTTGCTCATAACTTTTTTTTGTAGGTCGACAATGGACAGATTTTTTAATCTTATAAAACCGTTTAATATCGTACCGGATAACTGTTTGATAATTCGTCGTCGACGTTGCCGTTGTACTCTTCGCACGGAGGAATATGAAAAATAACCTACAATTGCACGTACAAAGTCACTTGCATTGAAAGTTAAACGAAACGAATGGAATATAGCGACCTACCACTTGCTCGTCTTCGGTGCTGGAACTCTCTTCCGGTATGGTCTCGGGAAAGGACTTGTCTTTTGGTGACGTTACCCAAATCTGACCAAAAAAAAAAAAAACAAATAACGATTCGTTATTCTTGTTGAATACATTTAATATATCATTATCCGCCACTTGTGGTCCACATGACCACTATGGCTTGATGTTTTCACATGGAACAAATAACAACAAAAAGAAACGAGGAACAGGAAATGGTTCCTTTTTTTGGAAACGTGAACGAAAATTTCTTTAAAAAATTGCTCAATCATTTTCTGTGTATCTCCATTACGTATGTCCATTAATAATGGATATCATTATGCATTTAAATAATTATGCATTATGCATTTTGTCAATTTCGTTGTGGTACATTTGTGGCACAAGGCATATTTTTTTTCATTTTCAACCGCTGATGAGAATCATTGTTAACAAAAAGCAAAAGTCATGCTCCCGGTATCACCCTCAGAGAAACCAAGTGATCTACTATTTGAAAAAAAAGTACTACTATTCAAACAAAACACAATTTTTGTACAATATACAAATGTCTATTGTGTACTCAGCTATTTTCTATTGATAATACAATATCGTTTATTTAGACAAGGCATAAAGAAGTAATATATAATCTAATCAAAAGAAGTAATATAACTTAAATGTAGTAAGTACCTACAGGAATATTTGAAAACTATATTACTGAAGAATAAATTAAGTCAATGCACAGATGAACGACATCAAATTGTTAGGAACACAACATGAACGACTCTAATATATTTTGCTTTTGATCCGGTAGAATAAATATGTTTGGACTTCAAATTTAATTAAATATCATTGACTTGTTGTGTAGATAATATAATAACCTAATATTTTTGATAATACGTTATTATTTAAAATTTAAAATTTTCTAAAAAAATTGTTTCAATAAAAAAAAAAAGGAAAGCAGAACGAGTTCATTTAAAAAGGAACTTTCCCAACACTGCCGAGAGAAGGCGATGGAATAGATCTAAGAGGGAATCGGTAATTCCCGGATAACTGATAAGATATTGTCGATAACAAATACAGATGATAGCGAATGAATGACATGAAAGTGGGCTGATCATAACACTTTCCTTCGATAAAAAGATAGAACCGACTTTCAATAGGATGTTCTTGATTACATTGTTGCGAAACAGATTATTCCCCGGGCTGAAAATATTAGGTTAGTAATACTAATGTTTCCTCGAGGGAAAGACATTGGATCAGAGGCACGTCTTAAATCTCTTATCAGCTACCACTCTTATCAATATGATCTTATCAGTTATCAAGGAATAATCTATAATATCTCCTTATCCACCGTAACGGATTTCGAGATGAAAATATCCACTGAAATTTCGAATTAACCCCTAGGCTTATAGCATGTGTCTTTGTTAAAAGAATTTTATCAGTGCCGACAAAAAAATATAATCACCTCTTCTTCGACCGATTTGTTGAACCCGTCGTTAGCGTGGGTCGAGCTACCCGATATCGTGCGACTGCTGTAGTCCTGACTCCTAAGTTTTTCTGAAACGTACAACAAGTTGTTTTTGAATTTTCAGATTTAAAAAAAATAAAAAATATAAATATATATACCTTGTGAAAACTGTTTCAGGTTGTACCATATCGATTTCGGTTTGGGTTTACAATGGGCTGTGAAACAAGCGTTGATCGGTGCTCGGTTTTCCCAAAGGGCTTGCCACAGTTTCAAACCGCCTTCGAGACCGTTGTTCAACAAATCGGCTTCTTTCATTTGGTTCACCAGCGGAGCGAGCAGGTAGATGAATAGCTAAAAGAGACATTAACAAAATATAATATTTTTTTTGTCCACCTAAAATTTCCAAATTCTCGGGCTTCGCGTCGAAGATGGACTACTCGGTCTACCCGTTTACTGACCGTTATCGCAGGTATATTGTAAAGATAATAGTGTGGTAAAGTCTGAAACGTTCCTCTTTCGTAATCCGAGTCGGCACATTCGTCTGGAGCTTCCAGCAAAATCCAATGTAAGATATGCAGCAGTTTCGCTTCGATGGCGCCGATGTATTGCATGTTGGTACCTTTTCTAGAAACGTTTCCAAAACATTATTACCAACGAAAATGTCTAAAACTCTCACAACTTTAATTCAACGTGAATAAGAATATACTACTAACCGGTTTTGAAGAATGGCGGCGGCCGAGTGAACAAGATGGGGAAGCGAAGCTTGGATAATGGTCCATCTGTTCAACGTCTTAATTTCTTCTTTAAGCGGATCGGGCACGTCGGTTCGTATGTCTTGGACTAGTAATCGTTCAAAGGCCTACGAAAAAGCGGACAAAACGCTCAAGTAAATACATTGAAATCCATACAATTTATAAGTATAATCAACAAGAATTTTTGAAATATTTTATGACCTTCTCGAAAATGATGTAAAAATATCACATTTTTCCGTAAGCATATTATTAAATATCTGTTCAACGTTTCATGGTGATTATTTGAATACTTTGAAAGTTACAGCTTTTCAAATTCAAAAACGGTATAATTGTTATGGAAAAATGTATACAACTTGGTGTCACCTAAATTAATGCTTTTAATACTATATTAAAATAAAATATTATTAAGGTGTTTAGTTATTTATACCTATTAATATTTATAATTTGTACATGGAATTGGCAAATTATGGTCGCAATAAAAGGAATGATTTACTTTTGGACAACAATTGTCAAAATTGAGGCTAGATTTTATTAGTAAATTCAGCATATTCGGTTCCAAAGTTTAGCGTTAAACTAACTAAAATCTCAAAAATAGTCCTTTTTAATGATGTTGTTATTAAAATAAAAGACATCATAACAAAACTATATCTTTCTCATTAGCTTCTATTCTAATCAGCAGACGAGTGACAGAGAAACAGTCTATCATTAGACATGTTCATTGAATTATTTTTTTTTAATTTTATTAGTCAAATTATTCATAACAAAAAGAAGCTAAAACACAATTGCTTTAGTGCACTCAGAAATGTAATGTTATACTTCATAATAAGGGTAGGAGTTAAAGAGATGAGAAAGTGTGATGTGACATAAATAGGCACATCGGCCAGGAAAGTTGTCAATAAAGATTTTTATCACAGATTTTTATCTAGCTAGCAAATTTTGAACCCAACCAAAGCTAAATAAACGTATACGATAAACAGTGTCGATTCGGTTTACCTTGCATGCTTCTTTCATTTCCTTAATTCAGCGTGAAAATAAAATATATTGTCTTTCAGTGTTGCATTTAAAAAAAGTTGTTTGTTGTATTATTATTATACTTACGTGATGACCGTGCACGTGTTGACAAAACTTCATTGTTCAAAGTGCATAAAAAACATCATTTTGTGTATTAAAACAATTTATTGAATAATATACAAAAATAAAAACAAAAAAGTATTGTGTTGATATTCTAATATTATTACTAGTACAAATCATGAACAAAGTAAATAACGGTATCTTTTGTAAAAAACCGTTGGACTGACTCAAAAAGGTTTTTCGTTGGAATTTAGATAAAAAGTTCTACCAAAAAAAAATAAAAATAAAGAGGAAATCCCCAATTGTGACTAACTTGTAAAACAATTCAGTGCAATATATCTATTGAAAAATAAAAGCAAAATTAAAACGATATATATTTGCTTGTTTAGCGACTCCTATAAAAATAATAGTTCTTTTAAAACAGTAATTACACTTTGATTTTTTTTAAATAGGTAGGTTTCTTTTTAATTGAATTTTTAGTCCTTAAAACTTAAAGATATCTCTTAAAATAATAATCCCTTCTTTAGAAAAAATATGATTTTTAAGATTTAGTAGAATCATTGATATTATTGGATTGTTAACAAACAAATGTAAACTTTTAAATAAATTGCTTTACATTTTTACATATTCTTTTTTTATTATTCTTTTGAGAGAATCAACATTTATATACAATAAAAATAATATCGTTAAGTTTAATAATTTTAGATTAATACGAAAACATGAAATATTTAGCCGGAAAGAAATTCGTTATGTGAAACAATGGATTTTTCAAATTAGCTTAGAACTTTTATTTTCTGAATGATTAATTTTTTTTTTGTGAAATACATATTAAACGTTAATATGTAGTTTGAAATTAATTCAATTACATTTTTTTATTATAAAGCATTACCAGATATGGAAAAAAAAACTGTTTTCTTACCAGGCATGAATTTTCATGTAATTTCCCCACTTTTGGCCGAATAAATGCACTGAAACAAAACAAGATTTATGTTATAGTTTAAAACAATTTGACTTTATTGTGTTGTGAAAAATGGAAATAAGTCAAGACCACTTATGAACTGAAAGACTTGAAGCTTCACCTTGAAATTATTAATGTTAACGATTGTATAAAATTACAAGGTGATTTAGATAGTTTTCAAGCCTAATGTAGTAGCAATTCCATTTGCATTAACGGATTGAAATGCTCTAAAATTACTCTTTGTAGGAGTAAAGAATCGGTTGTTTTTAATTATAATTGAGGACTTAGCGTTGGAAGTAAAATTGGATTCACTGAAGATCAAGATAATTTAATAATAATAATTTAATGTTAAGTTTATTTTTAATTAACTTAATAATGATATTGATTGTCTTGGGTTATTAGCTTAAAAACCATAAAAATTCTCTGCATAACACACCAGATCCCCACCATTTGTTTACAATTCAACTCATAAACAAGATTATAGTATGCAAGTTCCTACCAGTGGGCTTTTCTCTAATTTTAAATATTTTTTTTTCAAAATGGACTTATTTTTCTTTTAACAATTTATACTTGAAAAATTATATCTAATTAATTGATTAATAATATTTAATTAAGAAATATCTTGTGCCACACATTCTATTAAAATTATACATAATTTAAACTTTAGTAAATTGTAATAATATCTTTCCTGTCTTCATTAGAATGTGATTTTGTGGTACAATTTCCCTCAAAAATCTTATCAAACTGCAGTTATAGGTACTGTTAAGTTTTTAATATTTTTGAATATCTAGTGTGGTTGATTTTTATTTTTGGAATTATAATATATTTTCAATAATCACTATGAAAAGAACTAGAACTAATAAAATTGTTGTCAGCAATATGATGAAGACGTATAATGTAACTGTGTACAAAAATTAAACAAAACAAATATTACAAATTAACTAATTTTGTGATATTTTTTACAGAGTTACAATAAAGACAGCAAAAGAAAAATAATTGTGTACTTTTATTTTATTTTAAATTAATAGATTTTTCAAAATAATTGCCTGTTCACGGAAAATGGTCGTTTCGCCGAAAATAGGATTTTCAAATCCCCAAAAAAATGTATTAAAAAAAAAACAATAAGGAAACGATAGAGTTTATAAATCAATTAAAAATATACATATATTTTAAATCTCGAGTTATGATATCTAAGCCATTTAAAATGTTTCTAAACTTGCTGTACTGAAAAAGTAGAAAATTGGAAAAGGTACGTTTTGAATAAATTGTAGCCCCTCGATTATGTTTTAAATCTATTTCTTTGTGTGTTTAGTTTGATGTGTCATTATAAATTTACATTATAAATTTGTCTATTAGTTTAGTCACGGTTTCGCGTTTGATACTATTGGTTTAATTTTTTTGAGGGCGTGTAATTATTTTGTTGTTCTTTTCAAATAGATAAAATATTATTATTATCATTATTAAATAGATTAGAGCATTTTACCGATAATGTAAACCCACATGTGCGGTAAAAACAGCTGAAGACACTATTGGCTGTAAACAAAAACACCTACATGTGTATGTACAAATAGGTTACCTGGTCAAACCCCAAAAGTAGTTTTGCAGATTGATTGGCACATGCTGGTCGACGGTCGTGCACCATTCGTTCCAATGCAAATGGTGGTCCATGGCCTTGGCGGGTTTTTCGCGTTTCTCAAGCTGTTGAAAAAAAAATGTAAGCAAACAAACAAAAATTATCACAAGAAAACCAGAATGTTTAAAATTTCAAAGAAAAAAATTCACGACACGTTCGGCACACGGCCATCTTCGTTTATTTTTTTAATACTACAAAAAAATAACAATACTATTATAATCGATTGCGCGATTTGGGCTGTGTTATTTTGTTATTTTAATTATACGGTTTTTTTTTTGTTGTTGTACTCACGTGTAGAATAATACATATTAATATTGTTTTTTTTTTTTTTCACTGAACGGCTTTTACGTGTGTTATTTAATGTTTAATGCGTTTGGTGTAGGTATGTTTAATTAATTTATATCTGTATATTATTATGTATACAAAAATATAATAATATGAATATGAATGCTGTGTGGCCGAAAAGTATTGTGCACCCTACGCGGTGTGTGCGAGCCGTGGCTCTGGCGGCGGCGGCTGCGGCGGCGACGGCTGCCGCGGGCTGCGCGATCAATACTACAGCACCGGGCGAAACGGCAGGATCTGTGGAGCCGCCGCCGCCGCCGCCGTTGCGTTTGCCATCGTTGAGCCCGCTCACCGCTCACCACTCACCGCTCACCGTTGCCCGCTGCCGCCGCCGACGCAGTACGATTGATAAGGAAAAAACGCAGCGGTCGTGATAACAGACCACCGGACCACGATCGTGGTAGCGGCCGCCGAATTGAGGCGTCCGTTTTCAAAACACAACAAAAAACGACAATAAAGTTAATATTTGATCAACGCTTTGGATTGTACAGTGTGATTCATTGTACAGGGTAAGACACTAATTTTCTCGGAATATATTAATATTTTGAACAATATTTTTTTCCATGATTTTTCGGTGCACGTTGTACTAAATTTTCCAATATTCTGAAAATTTTTATCACCAATACTTGAAGGCCAAAAAGGGGAATTTTAGTTTTTTTTTAAATGGCAACAAATGTTTTTATTTACATCAATTTGTAGACAAAAAATTAAAAAATATTTTAGCGTTTGAATTTTGAATTATCATTTATTTGTTCAATAGCTATGGCTTTGTTAAGATACTACATTTGCTTTTAATAATTATCATGTTTCTTCGGTTGTCCAAAACTGGTAGCACATAAAATTCATATTTATGTTCGCATTGTCCGTTTGGCGATAACACTCTAACAAAAAAAAGTCACTGGTATAAAAGATTTTGAAATAATGATAGACAAACGGTTCTTATCTACAGATTACCAGATTACCTATTCCAACACAGGTTGGTTTTACAAACCCACTTTATCAAATTATTTTTATGCGTGTAATACAACTTTTCGTCTTTGTAGTAACGATTGAAAATATTAACAAATACAGTCAAAAAATCAAATCTTCATGAAGTCATAACAAATGAACAAATAAATGAAAATTCAAAATTCAAACGCTAAAATATTTGAACCTTTTCCCTTGGAAGGGATAGAATTTTTTTCTTTATTTCACTTTTTCAAGCAAAGTTTTAAGGATTTAGATCTGAAAATTAGACCAAAAGTAGATCTAAAATGGAACTGTAACATATACAATTTTCTCAAAAATCTGTAGTCAAATTTTTTTTTTATTAAGGAAAAACCCCAAAAATAGGGTGAATTTACACTTTGGCCGTAGTCAGTTTCTAGGTGGCTATGTGTGTGTGTGTTTGAATCAACAGTCAACAGGTAATGAAAATATTTTCATTATATTGTTAATCATGATAAATGGGTAACTATGATAGTACATTTTTATAGACAGGCGATCAACCCTTATCGTATCCACCCTGCACAAGACTAAATTTTTGAATTTTAAGTACATTATTGCTGGTCCCACGATATCTTCTAAACCACTATAATTAGTTTGAACGTACTATCCACAGATTCGCATCGAAGCGTTTATTTACAAGTGATTTTATCACTTTCAGTTATAATAAAATCTGTAGACCTGTGACCTCTCCGTCCCCACTATGCCCCGACCCCACTGTACGGGCTATTTTTTTTCACATAAGGCTGGTTTTAAAATTGACTTTATGATTTTGGCTAATTTTGAAAAATAAACATCATCAGATGAGTGACTATGAAACCAACCACAATTATCAGTTTACATCAGTTACCTTGTTTGATGTTTAATATTTTTACAGACCGTGTAAAATGTAGTGTGAACAGTTCAAACATTTTTTCATTATAATATAATATGAACAACTTTATTAATAAAATAATGTAAAGCGAGCTGCCCATTAATTCGGGTTGCCAATAGGACACAGAATACTAATCAATTGAATGGTGTAATTTTTCGAGACAAGAAAAAAAAAATAAGAACATACCTAATAGTAATAAAACAATTGAACATACGTTTTTTTCAGTTAAACGAAAGAAAACACATTTGATTCTAGTAGGCACTTGACCTACTGCTGATATCACAAACATTAAAGTAAAAGAGAATAAAAAATAAAATTATGAAAAGGTTATCACAACAAAATTGAATTAAACTAAAAAAATACCCACAACTATAAAAAAGCAGGAAAAAAAATAAATTTGGTCAATACCAAACTTAAATTTCTTTAAAATATGTTAAAATATCAAATTTGAATGTTGCAGTTGTCAAGTGTCTTCGTTGTTTCTTGTTATTTTTAGACATTTCTGTCTTGCTTACTTTTTAGTATTGTTAACAGAAAATACAAATTAAAGCAACCGACGGCTACAACATTCAATTTCGATAGTCTAACATATTTTAAAGAAATTATAGTGTATTAAATTACATATAAAGATTAAGTCCCAAGAAATGTCTTACAAACCAATTTTGGGTCAGATATTGCCTATCCTCAGCCCCTTAATGAAAGCGTTTTTCCAATAAGGGATTGCATGCGGTCTGTTTTTAAGGAGTTTTGTGTAGGCATTATTTAAGAAAAAATAGTTTTTAATAAATTTCAAACATGTCAATTAGTTTACGGGTTAATTTGTTTAAACTTTAAAGGAATTTTTTTATTAAAAAACATTTTTTTTATGAGTAAAAGCCATTTTGACTAAATTTTGACTACATACAATGGTCCAATTTCCATTGTGCAAAAAGATTTGAGTTCTTCGGCTACTTTAAATAATTATGTAGAAAGCCGGTTTTTATTTAAAATTTTCAGATTATTGTAATGAAATAAATCAAATTTGCAATATTAAAACCCAATTTTTTTACATAAAAACAAAAAATCGTAAATATGTTAAGTAAAGACAATTTTTTGCCAAATCTTAATTTGGATCTATAGTGTATAAGTATTAAGACAGTAATGGGAATTCTTTATTGATTGTCATTGTTTTTTTTTGTCAGACTATCACAGTCACAAATTACAATTGTTTCTCCATTAAAACTGCTTTGCGAGGGACAAACATGAATGAGGTCCATATTGAAACATATTTTTAATATTCACAGTGAAATTACCAAATTTCCTAAGAGCTAGATCTTTTTAGCTATAAAATCGAATTTTCAAAGCATTAGGCATTGACTTTAAGTCGTTTTTAAATGTATTACTTCCCCTAGAAACCGCGATTGGTTATATTGTTAGACCATATCGTGCCAACTATTTTCTTAATCAATAAATATTTTGCTTAACTTTATTAGGGTATGTTTGTGGAGGAAGAAGTTGTGTTTTAAAGCTTTTTACGGCCAAAGTAATGTATTGAAGCGCTGCACAAAAAAAAAAAAAAGGGTAAACCCATTTTAATGACCAAAATACCGCATATGATTTACATCAAAGTCGCTAAACCTAATTCTGACGTAATCTTCGCTATTCTTATTTCGAGATACGCTAGTCGAGTATGGTAAGCTTGCAATTGACGTGGGTTGGGTACTACGAAAATATTTACATAAATACGTGACAGTGAATACTTAATTACTTAAGATATACGATATAAAGTACTATAATCAAAATTTGTATCATTCGTTGTCCTGTTTAGATACACCAAAAACATAACTTCAAGGTCAAATCATAGTGGGAACGGGGATGTTACACGGCTACAGAAACATTATTGTAACTGAACGACTTTTATCCTAGTTTGCCATGGGTCAAAGCATAGTGGGGTCAAAGAGGTCACGGTTTTACAGAAATTATTATAAATAAAAGCGATAAAACCACTATCAAATAAACGCTTCGATGGTAATTTTGTAAACACTGCATCTCACTTTAATAATCTCTTACTGTGGTGGTTTATATTGTGTTATATGGTTCGGACTGTACTGATTTAGACTTACTAACCACAGATCCGCATCGAAGCTTTGATTTTACCACTATTAGTTGGAATTATTCATGTACATTTATTGTGACCTCCCCGTCCCCATTATGCCTTACTCCTCTGTACTGCCTTTTTTCAAGCCGATAAATCTGTACATGAGTAATCGTTATATGGTTTGCGTTAAGTATAAAAACATATTTTATTTTATTATTTGAACAATACACGCGCACAATATTTTTTACCTATTGATCACATCTTTAGATGTTTGAGAGGCCCTCGGTTATTTTAGATTCCTCCTAAAGTGTATTTCAAATATTTATACAATTTGTATTTCTGATATCCCGTTTCTAATAATATTAGTCATTACATTTAATACAAAATGTATAAAGTGCCTAATAATGACGCAAGTCCGAAGATCAGAAATCATACCCCTTCATATTATGTACTTTATAACACTAAAAATTAAATATGTTCAAACCCTCCGGTCCTGAATATCTTAAGAGTTTCCATATACTTTAATTCTATAACTTTTTTCAAAAAGACAATTTAATCCAAACTTCTGTAGAACGGTTATTTGAATATTCATTTAATAATAATATAAGACTACAGGTATACAGTTAAAAAACAAAAACCAACTAATAACTAAACACAGTTTAAACCAGCATAGTCTAAACCAAGTACGGTTTGAACCAGGACAATGTAAGCCATCACAACCCAAATCAAATACAATATATATCAGAACAGAAGAAGTTAGCAAATTTGGGTCACATAAGTTACAAACGGTTCATTGTAAAGCTGTGAATGCAAAACAACTATTCAATATGAACTTTTTAAAATATCGTTTTTCTACAATGAAAAAATGATTACAGCATATTTGGAGGTCCGGGGAAATTTAGATTTAAGAAAATTGGCAAAAGTTTTCCGTATAAAATACAGGAGGTTAGAGTTAAAATTGAAAAATTATTAAATTTAGTTTTGAGTTCTCTTGATTTTCAGGGTTCCACTGTACTGCCTTTTTTCAAGCCGATAAATCTGTACATGAGTAATCGTTATATGGTTTGCGTTAAGTATAAAAACATATTTTATTTTATTATTTGAACAATACACGCGCACAATATTTTTTACCTATTGATCACATCTTTAGATGTTTGAGAGGCCCTCGGTTATTTTAGATTCCTCCTAAAGTGTATTTCAAATATTTATACAATTTGTATTTCTGATATCCCGTTTCTAATAATATTAGTCATTACATTTAATACAAAATGTATAAAGTGCCTAATAATGACGCAAGTCCGAAGATCAGAAATCATACCCCTTCATATTATGTACTTTATAACACTAAAAATTAAATATGTTCAAACCCTCCGGTCCTGAATATCTTAAGAGTTTCCATATACTTTAATTCTATAACTTTTTTCAAAAAGACAATTTAATCCAAACTTCTGTAGAACGGTTATTTGAATATTCATTTAATAATAATATAAGACTACAGGTATACAGTTAAAAAACAAAAACCAACTAATAACTAAACACAGTTTAAACCAGCATAGTCTAAACCAAGTACGGTTTAAACCAGGACAATGTAAGCCATCACAACCCAAATCAAATACAATTATATATCAGAACAGAAGAAGTTAGCAAATTTGGGTCACATAAGTTACAAACGGTTCATTGTAAAGCTGTGAATGCAAAACAACTATTCAATATGAACTTTTTAAAATATCGTTTTTCTACAATGAAAAAATGATTACAGCATATTTGGAGGTCCGGGGAAATTTAGATTTAAGAAAATTGGCAAAAGTTTTCCGTATAAAATACAGGAGGTTAGAGTTAAAATTGAAAAATTATTAAATTTAGTTTTGAGTTCTCTTGATTTTCAGGGTTCCACTGTACTGCCTTTTTTCAAGCCGATAAATCTGTACATGAGTAATCGTTATATGGTTTGCGTAGAGTATAAAAACACATTTTATTTTATTATTTGAACAATAAACGCGCACATTAGTTTTTGCCTATTGACTATATCTTCAAATGTTTGAGAGGCCCTGGGTTGTTTTCAATTCCTTTTAAAGCCTATTTAAAATATTTATACGACCTGCATTTCTGATATCCCGTTTCATATTTGTAATCATTATATTTAATACATAATTTTTTAAAGAGCCTAATTAAGACCCGGATCCATTGATCAGAATTCATACCCCTTAATATGTACTTTAAAACACGAAAAATTAAATATGACCAATCCTTTAGTACCAAAATGCGTTAACAGTTTACCATACTTTAATTCTGTAACTTTTTTAAAAAGTCAATGTAGTCCAAACTTCTGTGGAATGTTCAACTAATTGTTAGTCGAAGACTACAGGTTTTCTGTAACTTTTTTATAACTTTGAATATTCATTATATAATAATATAAGACTACAGGTATAAAGTTAAAAACCAAAATCCAACTAATAACTAAACACAGTTTAAACCAGCATAGCCTAAACCAAGTATGGTTTAAACCAGTACAATGTAAGCCAGCACAGTCCAAATTAAGTACAATAGAAATCAGAACAGAAGAAGTTAGCCAATTTGGGTCACATGCGTTTTTATATCTGAATGTGTTTTCATCACAATCAAAGGCTTCAGACAAACGGTGCGGTATGAAACATCGCATGCATAACAACTATTAATATAAACTTTTTAAAATATTGTTTTCTACAAAACAATAATTGCAGGATATTTGGGGCTTCAGTGAAATTTAGATTTAAGGATATTGTCAATCGTTTTCCAATAGTGTTATAGGGGATTACAGTTAAAATTGAATAATTATCAAATTTAGTTATAACTTTTCTTGATTAGGGCGAAGATTTGATTTTCATTTAACATTTGCATTAAAGTCACATATTTATAAAACATTTTCTTTTTTAAAGAAAACTAGTGTAAGTAAATAAACATTAGGTTCGGTGTAAAGTCAAATAATTTTGTCTTTTCGAATATTCAATGTTAAAATTCGTTGCCCTCGAATTTTTATTTTTTTGCATTTGCGTGAGCACTTGATAATGTAATTTAAAGTATATAAAAATCCGAAGGTTATCAAAAATCACAGATTGACATTTGACAATAGTATTATAATTCCTGTAGACCAGTGACCTCCCCCTTCACCACTAACATCTGACCCCACTGTACTGGATATTTTATTTCATGTATTTTTCAGCTAAGAGTTATTCTATAAACGAGTATACCAATTTTTACTATAGTAAGAATACTTGTTTTTTAACACTTGTTTCATTTGGCTGTTTGTTTATTTTGAATGTTTGAACTATTCGCCTAAACGGTAGCGTTCCACAATTACATACATTTTAGCAAACACCTATTTTGTATGTTCATATTTAAATATTGTTGATGTGTTTTTACAAAAAATATATTTTATAGTTTTACCAATATTGCTATTGTTGACAAAAACACAATATTACAATATTATTATGGGTTTCTTTTCAATTGAAAACAAAGTTGTTGAATAATTAACATACAACCCTATCTACGAACTGATACAAATATTCAGTAAAGAAAAAATGCTGACTTAAGGGAAACACAGTATATCGGTGATTTTCAATTTTTTAAAAATGCATACGGCCATAGGTAAACAATTATTACCCATAAACCAACAGCAGTGCTAACACACACATGTATTTACATATATCTATTTATTTACATAGATATGCTGAAGCCATTGCCGGTTGAATCTACGAACAAAAGTGTTTTAGTGTATCTTAAGCTATAGCAAGAATATAACGTCACATAACAATACCAATATGATTAGTCATTTTAGTTTGATTCTATTGTGCCTTTCCGGCGCTTATTGCATACCGTCTGTAATTAACTATCTAGATTTGAATGGCTTCAAACAAGTTTTTAACAACCAAACCAAGATTCCCGAATGGGACACAGCTATGGCCCAACAAATACTTGCCGAAGATTTCAAAGGTACTAAAACCCTTACTGACGTTAAGTCCGCTGTGGACTATTTTATGGGAATTGCAGACAAAAGTACTGCGGGAGATTTGGAATGGATCCGCGGCATAATCAAAACAGCTTATGAATGCACGTTTAGGAGGTACGCAACCATAACCGCTTACTTAATATTTCAGGATTTGTGGGAGCACAAAACCAACATCTACTGGGCGATAAATCATACGCAACTACATTGTTCCGAATTCGATATTCAATCAATATTTCAAAATAAAACATATCGAGAAACGCATCGTTCGACGCAGTGGGAAAAAAATATATTAGACTATGACATTAAATTAGAAAATAAAACCGCCGAAAAGTTATTCGCATTCCACCGTACCTTTTGTACGCATAGGACGGAACTCCATAATTTTTGGGCAGGATTCATCGAGAAGAAGCTCGGTTTTAAAATCAAGTACAACATCTATACCGAAGTGATAAAAACGAGGTTTACAAACGAATATAACTTACCGCTTATCGACACCCTCAACGAACTCAACTGTGTTATCAACGAGGCGATTCAATTGTTCGACAGTTTCCCAGTAGACAAATGTGTACCACACGACAACGGTTTTGTAAAGAACTTCGAATCCCTAAAAACAGGCATCCGCGGAGATTTCACGGGGCTTCTAGCGTATTTTGATGCAATGGTGGCCAAAGAGGCCAGTGTGGATGGGCGGCATGCAAAATACAAGTATGAAAAATCTTATTACGTGTTACTTGTATTTTTAATCTTAATCTTAAAATACAAATTTTATTGTGCAATATCTTTTGTGTCTCGTTTGGACTCACCGAGTGTGAGTGTGTTTAAATTCCCAACTGTTCACTTCATGTAATGAATAGTTGGTATTTTTAATTTAGTCGAGAAGGTCATGTACCTTTGCCATACCTGGAGGCCAGAGACGCTAATTCGAAATTGTACAGAGATTTTTCAAAACCGATCCCGGGAAAATCGCAAGCATTTGACCATATAACAGCTTCGGGTTGCTTCGTGGAGCACGTAGAATTGGAGATTTCAGGTTTGAAAACGGATTTTGCAAATACTATCGACCCAAGGAACGTTTATGGCCATACCAACCTTGTACGGTATGTTATAAATTATTGTTACATGCTATTATATAAATTTAGAACTTTCCGAGAAGTAGAACGAAGGTGTAGTAGACATACCTATCGAACGGTGGATTGGTAGAAGGATCAGACAGTAAATAGCTAAAGAATATAGACTATGTAGTAATACAAATGGGTAGCTATAAATATAGAGATAGAAGGGGTAATCTGTGATGTCTTTATGAAATTATTTTTAATATATATATATGTGTGCTTTTAAATGTGTCCTACTCTTCCATATCCTATTACTACAATAGTATGCTAGTGTTAATAAGCTTTCACGTACCTTATGGCTCAGCTATAGAGTGGAAATGCGTTGTCTCGCTGTCCTCCGTTGTTCCTTTGTTGTCTGTAGTGACTGAAAATAGAAGTCCCGTATGACACGCACTTACCGAACTCGTTAGTTTCTAATAGATACCGAAAGTTTTACTTAATAACACGCGTACTATTAGGTGTAATGTATTAATGATCCGGCTCGGAGTGTATTCCTGTTTGTCCAAATAAAGTTACCCTTTTCAGATATATTTTTAAGCGTTTTTAACTTGGTGATCCTCTAGCATGCTACGTGATAACTAGTCAGAGGACTACACAAATTCGTTTAGAAGATCAGACTACTAGGCTGCGATATTTAGAAGCAACAGACCTTAAGGGTCCATATTTAACCTCACTAAACAGCCGCTACTCTAGTTGTCTTCCCTTAGCTAAACACTAATTAATTTACTTTTAAGCGTTTTTAACTTGGTGATCCTCTAGCATGCTACGTGATAACTAGTCAGAGGACTACACAAATTCGTTTAGAAGATCAGACTACTAGGTTGCGATATTTAGAAGCAACAGACCTTAAGGGTCCATATTTAACCTCACTAAACAGCCGCTACTCTAGTTGTCTTCCCTTAGCTAAACACTAATTAATTAACTACTTAACTACTTAAATTTTCCAATTGCTGACGAGAACATCCAAATTCCAAGTGAATAATTTAATTCAAAGGAATTGGATCCCTAGAGCTGCTTTACGCTTCTCAAGAGAATTAAATGAACCAGGCCAGTCTCTCGGACTATGTTAAGATAGCTAAATTAATAGACGAATTATTAAATGAAATAAATAAATAAACACAATGTTTTGTTGTGCATAGGACTTGGAACATACACTGAGTCAAAACCATAAACAATTACGAAAAGAATCGGTTAACTACGCACACCCTGCCTTAACAATTAAATAATTGATAAGTTGCAGACGATTGTAGTTAAACGACTGAGCGGCGACAAGCCCGTCGTATTGTCTTATATAGGGAGTAAATGCGTCATTAGCAGGGGGTGAGGTATGAAATGTTTTCTAGGATAATCATCCAAGCGTATAATTGTATGGTATGAGTCAGCATATGTTATGTGTCATGTTTATTTTAGTATATCCTTTAATACTTTTATAAAATACTGTATTTGAAATAATATATAAATAATTGTGTGCGATATTATTATTTGTGCATATAATTGATCTTATATAATTGGCATTTTTGATTAGTGCATATATTGAATTTAGTGCATATAATCTTATCATATATAGGGGTATTTTTAGTGCATATAATTTCATGTATTGTGTGTTGTGTATTATGTATTGAGATATTACATGTAAATGATTCAATGAGTACAATATAATCATTACAACTAGAAGGCATGAACGAGATAGATGAAATTAGGTACATTCATAACTTATGTTTAATTCGTATTTAACTTTATAATACCATCGTTGTTTAGGCTACTTTGAAGCTTTTCTCCAGTTAGTACCAAACTAAATGGAGAAAAGCTTCAAAGTAGCCATGACTCGATTAGGAAGACTCTTGATATGCTCACTTGACGTCCATAGATGGCTTAGGTGGCGTTTGCTAATTAATCTTAAGATGTGCATCTGTAATAGGTTTTTGATATTTGCTGCACCTCCAAAGTTGTGCTTCTCCTGTACTAACCATCTTTTTTTTAAAATTGAGCCAAATAAGCAAATGGAAAACTACAATACTGTAAATACTTTAAGAGACCTTCTATCATATAATATTTATTATTATTATATTTTAGCACATCCGAAATTAAAATGAACCTTGTAGAAACCTCCCATTATAAGGAAAAAAGCGATGTAAAAATAGGTATGATAATGTTTCGCAATGGAGATAAATCGTTCAAAAATTATCCTGAAAGCAGCAGACACGTAAGTATCATGTTTTTATACTAAGTAGGAGTGTAGCAGAGCAAGCACGTCTATTAACAAAATAATGAGAATACAAATATATGAAGTATACAGGAAATGTACAATAAATTACCTTTGCAACCTATAGTTTTTCATAGTCATTTTCCCAAATAAACTCAACACAGTTGGATAACGGTATGCCTTGTAGAGTTTAGACCCTTCAAACCCGTTTAAATAAACTTAACCTACACTAATCTGTCATTACTGGGATCTTATAGGTTCAAGGTTTTCTTAAATATTTTTATTCATCAACTAGCTTAGTAAAAACATGCTTAAATGCATCAATTGGAGTATCCCATGTGCAAGTTTTTCATGATTTTAATTTCTTTAAAGTACTTTTTTGATTTCAAATCATTATTTTAACACGACGCCTATATTAGCTACAAAAAAGTTCTGACTTAATCGGAAAATTATAAGAAACGTTACTAGCAAAATATACATTTGGTTTTTATTAGGTACAACCAAAAACCAAACTTAGGTATACCCATTTTTAACAATTTTTGTACTTTTTCCAGATTCCATAAACCAACACGGAAAATCTAGGATCTGATATCATCAATATACATTGACATGTCTCAATTAATAATCAAATATATAATCTAATGTTAAAATTACACAACTTATTGTACAATGAATTAAATATGCAACTTAAAGGATTTTTTTAAAAAGTCTTTTTCTAAAATAAAGTATAGTTAAAATTTTTGACAAAAACGAATATATTCCAAAACAAAATTTTTTTTTCTCATCCGTCTGTTTAGCTACTTTTAAAATTGTATTCAAACTGAAAATGTAAAACCAATATCTTATAATATTCGCAGTGAACGTGAAAATAATAAATTATTTATAATTAATAAAAAATTAATACATCTACATTTCGTTGACGATAATCCTAGAGTTTTACTTTATTGTATTATTCCATTCTATATGCTGAATCTTGCAATTTTCACATCTTATAATTAATTCATTTATTTATAATTTATATAGTTTAAATTATATTGTTAATGTGTGGGAATAATGTCATACGAATAAATAAAATAACTGATAATAAATTACCTCACTAGATTTATTCCGATGAAATCTTAGATGTAAACTCGTGTAATCAACAGAATTTATTATGTCGCAAAAAAAGATGAAATATGTAAAATAATCGCCAAATTTCGTAAGCAGACAACTCACAAAATGCAAACCATTTTTTTTCGAAAAATGAATTGCCGTTATCTATGGCGCAAAGGGATGAGCTTTAACTGTTGATAACGCGATATTAGAGTGATAACAGCAGCTATAATCATGCACAAACGAAACCGAATGAAAATTATTGATAAAACTATGGCGTGTGCGAGTTGCAACTACATGGTGACTTTAGAATTTATGGATATACGATGTAATATAAATAGTGGGAATGTGTAAATTACAAGGGTACAGAAATATTATTGTAACTGAACGATATTCTATCCTAATATGCCAGTACATTGAGATCAAAGCATAGTGGCGACGAAAAGGTCACGGGTTTACAGAAATTATTATAAATAAAAGCGATAAAACCACTTTCAAATAAACGCTTCGATGGTATTTTGATGGTAAACACTGCATCTCACTTTAAGACTCTCTTAGTGTGGTGGTTTATACTGTGATATATGGTTTGGACTGTACTGGTTTGGATTAACTAACCACAGATTCGCATCGAAGCTTTGATTTTATCACTATTAGTTGGAATAATTCCTGTACACTTATTGTGACCTCCCCGTCCCCAATATAAAGGAATTTTATCATTTTCAGTTGTAATAATTCCTGTACAATTATTATGACTTCCCTGTCCTCACTATGCCTCTACTATACTGTACGCCTTTATTCAATTCGATAAATCTGTACATGATAACTAAACACAGTTTAAACCAGCATTGTCTAAACCAAGTATGGTTTATACCAGTACAATGTAAGCCAGCACAGTCCAAATTAAGTACAATAGAAATCAGAACAGAAGAAGTTAGCCAATTTGGGTCACATGCGTTTTTATATCTGAATGTGTTTTCATCACAATCAAAGGCTTCAGACAAACGGTGCGGTATGAAACATCGCATGCATAACAACTATTAATATAAACTTTTTAAAATATTGTTTTCTACAAAACAATAATTGCAGGATATTTGGGGCTTCAGTAAAATTTAGATTTAAGGATATTGTCAATCGTTTTCCAATAGTGTTATAGGGGATTACAGTTAAAATTGAATAATTATCAAATTTAGTTATAACTTTTCTTGATTAGGGCGAAGATTTGATTTTCATTTAACATTTGCATTAAAGTCACATATTTATAAAACATTTTCTTTTTTAAAGAAAACTAGTGTGAGTAAATAAACATTAGGTTCGGTGTAAAGTCAAATAATTTTGTCTTTTCGAATATTCAATGTTAAAATTCGTTGCCCTCGAATTTTTATTTTTTTGCATTTGCGTGAGCACTTGATAATGTAATTTAAAGTATATAAAAATCCGAAGGTTATCAAAAATCACAGATTGACATTTGATAATAGTATTATAATTCCTGTAGACCAGTGACCTCCCCCTTCACCACTAACATCTGACCCCACTGTACTGGATATTTTATTTCTTGTATTTTCCAGCTAAGAGTTATTCTATAAACGAGTATACCAATTTTTACTATAGTAAAAATACTTGTTTTTTAACACTTGTTTCATTTGGCTGTTTGTTTATTTTGAATGTTTGAACTATTCGCTTAAACGGTAGCGTTCCACAATTACATACATTTTAGCAAATACCTATATTGTATATTCATATTTAAATATTGTTGATGTGTTTTTACAAAAAATATATATTATAGTTTTACCAATATTGCTTTTGTTGACAAAAACACAATATTACAATATTATTATGGGTTTCTTTTCAATTGAAAACAAAGTTGTTGAATAATTAACATACAACCCTATCTACGAACTGATAAAAATATTCAGTAAAGAAAAAATGCTGACTTAAGGGAAACACAGTATATCGGTGATTTTCAATTTTTTAAAAATGCATACGGCCATAGGTAAACAATTATTATCCATAAGCCAACAGCAGTGCTAACACACACATGTATTTACATATATCTATTTATTTACATAGATATGCTGAAGCCATTGCCGGTTGAATCTACGAACAAAAGTGTTTTAGTGTATCTTAAGCTATAGCAAGAATATAACGTCACATAACAATACCAATATGATTAGTCATTTTAGTTTGATTCTATTGTGCCTTTCCGGCGCTTATTGCATACCGTCTGTAATTAACTATCTAGATTTGAATGGCTTCAAACAAGTTTTTAACAACCAAACCAAGATTCCCGAATGGGACACAGCTATGGCCCAACAAATACTTGCCGAAGATTTCAAAGGTACTAAAACTCTTACTGACGTTAAGTCCGCTGTGGACTATTTTATGGGAATTGCAGACAAAAGTACTGCGGGAGATTTGGAATGGATCCGCGGCATAATCAAAACAGCTTATGAATGCACGTTTACAAGGTACGCAACCATAACCGCTTACTTAATATTTCAGGATTTGTGGGAGCACAAAACCAACATCTACTGGGCGATAAATCATACGCAACTACATTGTTCCGAATTCGATATTCAATCAATATTTCAAAATAAAACATATCGAGAAACGCATCGTTCGATGCAGTGGGAAAAAAATATATTAGACTATGACATTAAATTAGAAAATAAAAGCGACGGAAACATATTTGCATACCACGAAACCAAACCAATGTCAAAGATGGAACTTCACAATTTTTGGGCAGGATTCATCGAGAAGAAGCTCGGTTTTAAAATCAAGTACAACATCTATACCAAAGTGATAAAAACGAGGTTTACAAACGAATATAACTTACCGATTATCGACACTCTTAACGAACTCGCCTGTGTTCTCAATGAGGCGATTCAATTGTTCGACAGTTTCCTAGTAGACAAATGTGTACCACACGACAACAGTTTTGTGAAGAACTTCGAATCCCTAAAAACAGGCATCCGCGGAGATTTCACGGGGCTTCTAGCGCATTTTGATGCAATGGTGGCCAGAGAGGCCAGTGTGGATGGGCGGCATGCAAAATACAAGTATAAAAAATCTTATTACGTGTTACTTGTATTTTTAATCTTAATCTTAAAATACAAATTTTATTGTGCAATATCTTTTGTGTCTCGTTTGGACTCACCGAGTGTGAGTGTGTTTAAATTCCCAACTGTTCACTTCATGTAATGAATAGTTGGTATTTTTAATTTAGTCGAGAAGGTCATGTACCTTTGCCATACCTGGAGGCCAGAGACACTAATTCGAAATTGTACAGAGATTTTTCAAAACCGATCCCGGGAAAATCGCAAGCATTTGACCATATAACGGCTTCGGGTTGCTTCGTGGAGCACGTAGAATTGGAGATTTCAGGTTTAAAAACGGATTTTGCAAATACTATCGACCCAAGGAACGTTTATGGCCATGCCAACCTTGTACGGTATGTTATAAATTATTGTTACATGCTATTATATAAATTTAGAACTTTCCGAGAAGTAGAACGAAGGTGTAGTAGACATACCTATCGAACGATGGATTGGTAGAAGGATCAGACAGTAAATAGCTAAAGAATATAGACTAGAAGGGCATGAACGAGATAGATGAAATTAGGTACATTCATAACTTATGTTTAATTCGTATTTAACTTTATAATACCATCGTTGTTTAGGCTACTTTGAAGCTTTTCTCCATTTAGTACCAAACTAAATGGAGAAAAGCTTCAAAGTAGCCATGACTCGATTAGGAAGACTCTTGATATGCTCACTTGACGTCCATACATGGCTTAGGTGGCGTTTGCTAATTAATCTTAAGATGTGCATCTGTAATAGGTTTTTGATATTTGCTGCACCTCCAAAGTTGTGCTTCTCCTGTACTAACCATCTTTTTTTTAAAATTGAGCCAAATAAGCAAATGGAAAACTACAATACTGTAAATACTTTAAGAGACCCTCTATCATATAATATTTATTATTATTATATTTTAGCACATCCGAAATTAAAATGAACCTTGTAGAAACCTCCCATTATAAGGAAAAAAGCGATGTAAAAATAGGTATGATAATGTTTCGCGATGGAGATAAATCGTTCAAAAATTATCCTGAAAGCCGCAGACACGTAAGTATCATGTTTTTATACTAAGTAGGAGTGTAGCAGAGCAAGCACGTCTATTAACAAAATAATGAAAATACAAATATATGAAGTATACAGGAAATGTACAATAAATTACCTTTGCAACCTATGGTTTTTCATAGTCATTTTCCCAAATAAACTCAACACAGTTGGATAACGGTATGCCTTGTAGAGTTTAGACCCTTCAAACCCGTTTAAATAAACTTAACCTACACTAATCTGTCATTACTGGGATCTTATAGGTTCAAGGTTTTCTTAAATATTTTTATTCATCAACTAGCTTAGTAAAAACATGCTTAAATGCATCAATTGAAGTATCCCATGTGCAAGTATTTCATGATTTTAATTCCTTTAAAGTACTTTTTTGATTTCAAATCATTCTTTTAACACGACGTCTATATTAGCTACAAAAAAGTTCTGACTTAATCGGAAAATTATAAGAAACGTTACTAGCAAAATATACATTTGGTTTTTATTAGGTACAACCAAAAACCAAACTTAGGTATACCCATTTTTAACAATTTTTGTACTTTTTCCAGATTCCATAAACCAACACGGAAAATCTAGGATCTGATATCATCAATATACATTGACATGTCTCAATTAATAATCAAATATATAATCTAATGTTAAAATTACAGAAATTATTGTACAATGAATTAAATATGCAACTTAAAGGATTTTTTTATAAAGTCTTTTTCTAAAATAAAGTATAGTTAACATTTTTGACAAAAACGAATACCTTCCAAAACAAAATTATTTTTTACTCATCCGTCTGTTTAGCTACTTTTAAAATAGTATTCAAACTGAAAATGTAAAATCAATATCCCATAATATTCGCAGTGAACGTGAAAATAATAAATTATTTATAATTACTAAAAAAATTAATACACCGAATTAATAAAACGAATACCTTTCAAAAACAAAAATATTTTTCATCATTCGTCAGTTAAATTGTGTTTGAACTAAAAATGTAAAATCAATATCCCATAATATTCGCAGTCAATCTACGTATTAGCTTTTAAGTAGGAAATAACTTTATAATAAATAATTCATTATCAATAAAAAATAAATACATCTACATTTCGTTGACGATAAACCTGGAGTTTTACTTTATTGTATTATTCTATTCTATATGCTGAATCTTGCAATTTTCACATCTTATAATTAATTCATTTATTTATAATTAATATAGTTTAAATTATATTGTTAATGTGTGTGAATAATGTCATACGAATAAATAAAATAACTGATAATAAATTACCTCACTAGATTTATTCCGATGAAATCTCAGATGTAAACTCGTGTAATCAACAGAATTTATTATGTCGCAAAAAAAGATGAAATATGTAAAATAATCGCCAAATTCGTAACAGACAACTCACAAAATGCAAACCATTTTTTTTCGAAAACTGAATTGTCGTTATCTATGGCGCAAAGGGATGACCTTTAACTGTTGATAGCGCGATATTAGAGTGATAACAGCAGCTATAATCATTCACAAACGAAACCGAATGAAAATTATTGATAAAACTATGGCGTGTGCGAGTTGCAACTACATGGTGACTTTAGAATTTATGGATATACGATGTAATATAAATAGTGGGAATGTGGAAATTACAAGGGTACAGAAATATTATTGTAACTGAACGTTATTCTATCCTAATATGCCAGTACAGTGAGATCAAAGCATAGTGGGGACGAAAAGGTCACGGGCTTACAGAAATTATCATAAATAAAAGCGATAAAATCACTTTCAAATAAACGCTTCGATGGTATTTTGTAAACACTGCATCTCACTTTAAGACTCTCTTAGTGTGGTGGTTTATACTGTGTTATATGGTTTGGACTGTACTGGTTTGGATTAACTAACCACAGATTCGCATCGAAGCTTTGATTTTATCACTATTAGTTGGAATAATTCCTGTACACTTATTGTGACCTCCCCGTCCCCAATATAAAGGAATTTTATCATTTTCAGTTGTATTAATTCCTGTACAATTATTATGACTTCCCTGTCCTCACTATGCCTCTACTACACTGTACGCCTTTATTCAATTCGATAAATCTGTACATGAGAGCACTCGTAATATGTTTTGCGCTAAGTATAAAAACATATTTTATTTTATTATTTAAACAATACGGGCGCACAATATTTTTTACCTATTGACTACATGTTCAGATTTTTGAGAGGCCATCGGTTGTTTTCGATTGCTCCTCAAGTCTAATAAAAATATTTATACAATCTTCATTTCTGATATCCTATTTCATATTATATTTATTACACAATTAATATTTAAAAAAGTGCCTAATAAATACAACTAAAATTCAAAAATTATTTTTGTTAGGGTTGATAAAATTTACTCTGATAAATGTACATCGATCTAAATACGTCGAATGTGAACTAATTTAATAAACAAATAAATTGATAATACATTATTAAATGCATTTATATAATATATATACATATATATTATTTATTATTACAAAATTAAAGAAAAAAATGAATCAATGTACAATATAACACAGAACAGAAGAAGTTAGCAAATTTGGATCACATTTGTTTTTAAACCTAAATGTGTTTTTTATAACAATCAAAGGCTAAACAAATAATAAAAATAAACCTACCGCTGTACTAACACCATCTATTATCATAAGTATTCTGAAGACATTGCAGGTCGAACCGACGACCAAAAATGTTTTAGTGTATCTTGAGCTACCATAGCAAGAATATAACATCACATAAACAATACCAATATGATTAGTCAATTTAGTTTGATTCTATTGTGCCTTTCCGGCGCTTATTGCATACCGTCTGTAATTAACTATCTAGATTTGAATGGCTTCAAACAAGTTTTTAACAACAAAACCAAAATTGCCGAATGGGAAGTAGCTATGGCCCAACAAATCATTGCCAAAGATGTTAATGGTACTAAAACCACCGTTGATGTTAAGGCCGCTGTGGACTATTTTAAGCAAATTGCCGACAACAGTACTGCGGCGGATTTGGAATGGATCCGCAGCATAATCAAAACAGCATACGAATGCACGTTTACAAGGTATGCAACCATAACCACTTACTTCATATTTCAGGATTTTTGGGAGCGCAAAACCAACATCAACTGGGCCATAAATCATACGGAACTAAATTGTTCGAATTTCGATATTCAAACAATATTTAAAAATGAAAAGTATTATGAAATATATCGTTCGTTACAGTGGGAAAATAATATACTAGACTTTGACATTAAATTAGAAAATATATCCGGTAAAAAACTATTTGCATTCCACCGACCCTATACTATGCCAAAGAAGGAACTCCACAACTTTTGGGCAGGATTCATCGAGAAGAAGCTCGGTTTTAAAATTAAGTACAAAATCTATACCGAAGTGATAAAAACAAGGTTTACAAACGGATATAACTTACCGATTATCGACACTCTTAACGAACTCGCCTGTGTTCTCAATGAGGCGATTCAATTGTTCGACAGTTTCCTAGTAGACAAATGTGTACCACACGACAACAGTTTTGTGAAGAACTTCGAATCCCTAAAAACAGGCGTCCTCGGAAATTTCACGGGGCTTCTAGAGTATATTGATGCAAAGAAGGCCAAAGAGTCCAGCGTGGATGGGCGGCATATAAAATACAAGTAGGTATGAAAAATAAGTATTTCAAATTATTTTTGTTTTTTGTCTTTTTAGTTGCACGTATCATGTTTTTTGTATCTTTATCTTGAAATACAAAATGTATTGTGCATTTTCTTTTGTGTCTCACTTGGACTCACCGAGTGTGAGCGTATTTACTTACCCAACTATTCACTTCGTGAACTGAATAGTTTATACTTTTTTATTTAGTCGAGAAGGCCCTGTACCTGTGCCATACTTGGCGGACAGAGACTTTAATTTGAAATTGTACAAAGATTTTTCAAAACCTATTCCGGGAAAATCGCCAGCATTTTCCGAAATAACGGCTTCGGGTTGTTTCGTAGAGTATGTAGAATTCGAGATATCTGGTTTGAAATCGGATTTTGTAAATACTACCAACCCAACGAACATTTATGGCCATACCAGCCCTGTACGGTATGATATGAATTATTGTTACATGCTATTATATAAATGCAGCATTTTTTAAAGAATATTCCGGTAAGTAGAACGATGATGTAGTAGACATACATATCAAACGGTGGATTGGTAGAGAATAGGGATTAGACATTATAGCTAAAGAATAGAGACTAAAAGGGCATAACGAGATAGATGGAATTGGGTACATTCATTGCTTAGGATTTTACAATCGATTAGGAAGACTCTTGATATGCCAACTTGACTCTCATACATGGCCTACGCCTACGTGGCGTTTGCTCATTACTCAAGCATTTTTCCTAAAAAAAACTACACTATTTAGTGTCTTTTTTTGAAGGCATAATAGTTAATAATATTTCAAAGTGTTAGACTATAAATAAATATTACAATATTGTAAAATAACATAAACAAAAAAAATTTTTAAATAGTAAACTACAAATCTGTAAATACTTGAAAAGAACCTCTATCATATTATATTTATCATTATTATATTTTAGCACATCCGAAATAAAAATGAAACTTGTAGATTCCACCCATTATAGGCAAGAACACGATGTAATATTTGGTATGTTTTTGTTTCGCAATGAAGATAAATTGTTCAATGATCATCCTCAAAGCAGCAGACAAGTAAGTACATAGTATATAGTATTAACATTAATTCGAAATATAGCAGAGCAAGCACGTCTATCAACAAAGAATGAGAATACAGAAGTATGAAGTATACGAGAAATGTACAATTAATTACCTTTGCAACCTATTGTTTTTCAAAATAAATTTCCTCTCATGTGAATGTTAAAAGTATTTCATACTTTGAATTCCTTAAAAGTACTTAACTTTGATTTAAATTTGATTTACAAAGCATTATTTTAATACGACGTCTATGTTAGCTACAGAAAAGTTCTGCTTTAATGTGAAAAATATAAGAAACCGGGAACAACTAATAACCAAACTTAGGTAAATCCATTTTTAACAATTTTTGTACTTTTTCCAGACTCCATAGAGCAACACAAGGAAACTGTGATCTGATACCATAAATATATATCAACATGTCTGAATTAATAATCAAATATATAATTCAATATTAAAATTACACAAATTATTGTACAATGAATTAAATATGCAACATAAGGGAATTTTTTTTAAAAATCGTTTACTATAATAAACTATGCTTACAATTTTTGACAAAAACAAATACCTTTCAATAAATTAAATTATTTTTTCTGATCCGTCTGTATAGCTACTCTTAATATTGTATTTGAACTAAAAAAATAAAATCAATATCCCATAATATTCGCAGTGAACCTACGTATTGGCTTTTAAGTAGGAAATAACTTTATAATAAATTACTCATTATCAATAAAAAATATATACATTTACATTTCATTGACGATAAACCCGGAGTTTTATTTTATTGTATTATTCTATTCTATATGCTGAATCTTGTAATTTCCAAAACTCCTTATTAATTCGTAATTAATAATGTCGCTATAAAAGATAAAATATACAAAATAATCGCCAAATTTTGTTAGCAGACAGCTTACAAAATGCAAAGGTTTTTTTCGAAAACTGAAAAATTCCATGACAAATCAAATTCACGATAAATTGTCGATTGCTGTGAAATTTGAGCGGAAAGTTTGATAATAACGAACAGATATGTCCGCAAACTCGTGCTATCAATTTTCACAACATGTTCGTCGGTACGGCCCTGAAAGAAATACACATAATGCAATATTAGAGTGATAACAGTTGCTGTTATCACGCACAAATAAATCCAAATGATAATAATTGATAACACTGTGCTGTGTGCGACATGCAATTACCTTTTTTTTTTTTTTTTTCACATGCACCCATAGAATACTGGGGGGGGGACGCGCCATCCATGTACTCTACATCCCTCTCGACGGATCCCACCGTCACTCCTGTCCCGAACACTCCCGGGGCCGCTCGACCAGTGTCGGTGCTAGTTAGCCAGCCACCGACTCCGTGTGCCTGCCTGTACGGGTCCGAGGCTATGACCACGTCGATCGCTTCCTCAGCGATCGTCTGGGCCAGCCTACAATGGTTGAGGTTCGTTTGGAGGAGCCTCATACACCAGGCTGGCCGGTAGAAGGACCCTGCATTGCAAACTAGCAATCCTAGTTTGCCATGGGTCAAAGCATAGTGGGGTCAAAGAGGTCACGGTTTTACAGAAATTATTATAAATAAAAGCGATAAAATCACTTTCAAATAAACGCTTCGATGCTAATTTATAAACACTGCATCTCACTTATAGACTCTCTTACTGTGATGGTTTATACTGTGTTATATGGTTTAGACTTACTAACCACAGATTCGCATCGAAGCTTTGATTTTATCACTATTAGTTGGAATAATTCCTGTACACTTATTGTGACCTCCCTGTCCCCACTATGCTCCAATGTACTGCCTTTTTTCAATTCGGTAAATCTGTACATGAGTAATCGTTATATGGTTTGCGTAGAGTATAAAAACACATTTTATTTTATTATTTGAACAATAAACGCGCACCATATTTTTTACCTAATGACTACATCTTTAGATGTTTGAGAGCCCTCCGGTTATTTTAGATTCCTCCTTAAGTGTATTTCAAATATTTATACAATTTGTATTTCTGATATCCCGTTTCTAATAATATTAGTCATTACATTTAATACAAAGTGTATAAAGTGCCTAATAAAGACGCAGATCCATAGATCAGAAATCATACCCCTTCATATTATGTACTTTATAACACTAAAAATTAAATATGTTCAAACCCTCCAGTCCATAATGCTTAACAGTTTACATATACTTTAATTCTATAACTTTTTTTCAAAAAGACAATTTAATCCAAACTTCTGTAGAATGGTTATATGAATATTCATTTAATAATAATATAAGACTACAGGTATACGGTTAAAAACCAAAAAACAACTAATAACTAAACAAAGTTTAAACCAGGATAGTCTAAACCAAGTACGGTTTAAACCAGGACAATGTAAGCCATCACAACCCAAGTCAAATACAATGTATATCATAAAATAAGAAGTTAGCAAATTTGGGTCACATAAGTTTAAATCTGCAAGTTTTCATCGCAAATGCTTCTATACTAAACAAACGGTTCATATGTGGATACAAAACAACTTTCTGATTTGATTATTATCAAAGACTGTAGTCTTTGATAATAATCAAAGACTACAGGTATACAGTAAAAACCCAAAAACAAAATAATAAATAAACACAGTTCACTACGGTTTAAACCAGTACAATGTAAGCCAGCACAGCCCAAATCAAGTACAATATAAATCAGAAAAAGTTAGCAAATTTGGGTCACATCAATTTTTTAAATCTGCATGGTGTCATCGCAAAGGCTTCTATGCTAAACAAATGGTTCATTGTGAAACTGTGGATGCGAAACAACTGTTCAATATAAACTTTTTAAAATATCATTTTTCTACAATAAAAAAATAATTACAGGATATTTGGAGGTTAAACGAAGTTTAGATTTGAGAATATTAGCAATATTTTTCCATTAAAGTTACAGGGGGTAAGAGTTAATATTAAAAAATTATAAAATTTAGTTTTGAGTTCTCTTGATTTTCAGGGCGAAGGAAAAAAAATGCGTTGCCATAAAATTGTATTTTATTATTATCCTGTAGACTTGAGACCTCCCCCTTCCCTACTATTTTCTGACACCCTCTGTACTGGATATTTTAAATTGGCTCAATGTTATTCTATAAACGAGGTATACTTTGTTTTACTATTAAGAAAACCTGTTTTTTAAAACTTATTTTATTTGGTTGTTTGTTTTAAATGTTTGAACTATTCGCATGCACGGCGGCGCTCTACATTTACATACATTTTAGAGAATATCTAATTTGTATATTTGTATTTAAACATTATTGATGCGTATTTACAAAACCAATATTTTATAGTTCTACCAAGTTAACTTTTTTGACTTAAATCACCGTGTTCCTTACCTGCAGGTTGAAGCGACGAGCAACAATATTTTGGTGTATCTTAAGCTAACGCTAGAATATAAAGTCACATAAACAATACTAATATGATTAGTCAATTTAGTTTGATTATATTGTGTCTTTCCGGTGCTTATTGCATACCGTCTGTAATTAACTATCTAGATTTTAATGGATTCAAACAAGTTTTTAACAACAAAACCAAAATTGCCGAATGGGAAGTAGCTATGGCCCAACAAATAATTGTCGAAGACTTCAAAGGTATTAAAACTTACGTTAGGGATGTTAGGGCCGCTGTTGACTATTTTATGCAAAATGCAGACAATAGTGATGAGGTGCATTTAAAATGGATCCGCAGCATAATCGAAACAGCTTATAAATGCACGTTTACAAGGTACGCAACCATAGCCGCTTACTTAATACTTCAGGATCTGTGGGAGCACAAAAACAACATCACCTCGGCCATAAATGAAACAGAACTGTGTTGTTCGAAATTCGATATTCAATCAATATTTGAAAACAAAACATATAATGAGTGGTATCGTTCGATGCAGTGGGAATACCATATATTAGACTATGACATTGAATTAGAAAATAAAAGCGCCGAAAAGTTATTCGCATTCCACCGAACCTGGAGTATGCCTACGATGGAACTCCACAATTTTTGGGCAGGATTAATCGAGAAGAATCTCGGTTTTAAAATCAAGTACAAAATCTATACTGAAGTGATAATAACGAGGTTTACAAACGAATATAACTTACCGCTTATCGACACTCTTAACGAACTCGCCTGTGTTCTTAATGAGGCGATTCAATTGTTCGACAGTTCCCTCGTAAACAAGTGCGTACCTCACGACAAAAAGTTCGCAAAGAACTTTAAATCCTTAAAAACAGGCATCCTCGGAGAATTCACGGTTCTTCTAGCGTATTTTGATGAGATGGTGGCCAGAGAGGCCCGCAAGGATGGACAGCATCTAAAATACAAGTAGGTCTCAAAAATACCTTTTTTAAAATTATTTTTGTTTTTTGTCTTTTAAGTAACTCGTATCATGTATTTTTTATCTTAATCTTAAAACACTAAATTTATTGTGCATTATTTTTTGTGTCTCGCTTGGATTCATCGAATGTGAGCATATTTACTTCCCCAACTGTTCACCTCGTGAACAGAATTAATTTGTATTTTTTGTTTAGTCCAGAAGGCACTGTACCTTTTCCATACTTGGCGAACAGACACACTGACTCGGATTTGTACAAAGATTTTACAAAACCTATTCCGGGAAAATCGCCAGCATTTCCCGAAATAAAGGCTTCGGGTTGCTTCGTAGAGTATGTAGAATTCGAGATTAATGGTTTAAAAACGGATTTTGCAAATACTATCGACCCAAGGAACGTTTATGGCCTTACCAGCCGTGTACGGTATGATATAAAATATTGTTACATGTTATTATATAAATGCAGATTAAAAGAACTTTCCGGGAAGTAGAACGATGTGATGAAGTATAAATACTTATCGAACGGTGGATTGGTAATGAATGGGGCTTAGACAGTATATAGCTAACGAATATAGACTAAAAGGGCATCAACGAGATAGACGGATTTGGGTACATTCATTGCTTCTATACTGAATAACTGTCAATACCTTATGAAACTCTCTATCATATAATATTTATTATTATTATATATTTTAGCACATCCGAAATAAAAATGAAACTTGTAGAAACCACCCGTTACAGGCAAGAACACGATGTAAAATTTGGTATGTTTTTGTTTCGCAATGAAGATAAATCGTTCAATGATCATCCTCAAAGCAGCAGACAAGTAAGTACATAGTATATAGTATTAACATTAATTCGAAATATAGCAGAGCAAGCACATCTATCAACAAAGAATGAGAATACAGAAGTATGAAGTATACAAGAAATGTACAATTAATTACCTTTGCAACCTATTGTTTTTCATAATAAATTTCCTCTCGTGTGAAAGTTAAGAGTAGTTTAATTAATTTATATAATTTTTATTCCTTAAAAGTACTTTCCTTTGATTTAAATTTGATTTATAAAGCATTATTTTAATACGACGTCTATATTAGCTACAGAAAAGTTCTGCCTTAATGGGAATATTATAAGAAACGTGGCTAGCAAATTATACATGTTGTTTAAACCGTGAACAACTAATAAACAAACTTGGGTACATCCATTTTTAACAATTTTTGTACTTTTTTCAGATTCCGTAGACCAACACGAAGAAACTAGGATCTGATATCATAAATATACATCGACATGTCTCAATTAATAATCGAATATATAATCTAATATTAAAATTACAGAAATTATTGTACAATGAATTAAATATGCGACATAAGAGAATTTTTTTAAAAATCTTTTTCTACAATAAACTATACTTACAGTTTTTGACAAAAACGAATACCTTTCAAAAACAAAAATATTTTTCATCATCCGTCTGTTTAATCGTGTTTAAACTAAAAATGTAAAATCAATATCCATTAATATTCGCAGCAACCTACGTATTAGTTTTTAAGTAGGAAATAACTTTATAATAAATAATTCATTATCAATAAAAAATAAATACATCTACATTTCATTGACGATAAACCTGGAGTTTTACTTTATTGTATTATTCTATTCTATATGCTGAATCTTGTAGTTTCCATATCTCCTTATATATAGTTAATAATGTCACCAAAAAAGATCAAATTTACAAAATAATCGCCAAATTTGGTTAGCAGACAGCTTACAAAACGCAAACAGTTTTTTTCAAAAACTGAAAAATTCATGAAAAATCAAATTCACGATAAATTGTCGATTGTTGTGAAATTTGAGCGGAAAGTTTGATAATAACGAACAGGCATGTCGGTAAACTCGTGTTATCAATTTATACAACATGTTCGTCGGTTTTGACAGTCACCACGATTTTCTAGCATACCTGTTTGTATGGTCGTGATTTTTCGTTAGGATTCGTTATTCGTATGATTCGTTGTCGTACTGGGGTGCACCAAAAAAAAAAATAAACCTACAAGGTCAAATCATTGTGGGAATAGGGAAGTTTCAGGGCTACAGAAATACTTTTAACTTAACATTATTTTATCCGAATGTGCCAGTACAATGGGATCAAAGCTTGGTGGGGACAAATCGGTCACAGGTTTACAGGTATTATTATAAATAAAAGCGATAAAATCACTATCAAAAAAACGCTTCGATGCTAATTTGTAAACACTTGGACTATACTCGGTTTGAACTTACTAACCACAGATTCGCATCGAATCGTTCATTTGAAAGTGATTTTATAATTTTTAGTTGTATTATTTCCTGTACAATTATTGTGACCTCCCCGTCCATACTATGTCTCGACCCAAGTGTACTGTTTTTTTTAAATACGATAACTCTATAAATGAGTAACCGTTATATGTTTTGCGTTATATGTTTTATAAATATGTTAAAAACATATTTATTTTTAAATATGAACAATACACGTGCACATTATTTTTTACCTATTAACTACATCTTCAGATGTTTGAGAGGCCCTCTGTTGTTTCGGATTCCTCCTAAAGTGTATTTCAAATATTTAAACAATTTGTATTTCTGATGTTCTGTTTCTAATAATATTAGTCATTACATTTAATACAAAATGTATAAAGTCTATTTTAAATATTTATACAATCTTCATTGCTGATATCCCATTTCATATTGTATTTATTACATAATTAAAATTTTAGGAAGTATAAGCTTTGGTGTGGATCTGTGAGTGCAAAGGTATTTTAATGACGCAGATCCATAGATCAGAAATGGAACCCCATAACGTGTACTTTAAAACACCAAAAATTATAAATGTTCAAACCCTCCTGCCTTAGCAATTTACATATTCTTAAATTCTATAACTTTTTCAATGTGTTTTTCAAACTTTAGTTTTGAGGTCTATTGATTTTCAGGACGAAGAATTGAGTTTCTTTTAACATTTTCACATACTTTGAAGAAAATTATTTTTTTTTTTAAACTAGTGTGAATAAATAAACATTTTGGTTCTATGTAATATCAAATAATTTTGTCTTTTAGAATATTCAATGTTAAAATTCGTTGCCATCAAATCTTTTTTTTGCATTTGTGTGAACACCTGATAATGTAACTTGACATATATATGTATAATTTCGAGAGTTATTAATAATCATATTATTATTATAATTCCTGTAGACCTGTGACTTCCCCCTTGCCAACTTTTTTCTGACCCCGCTGTACTGGATATTTCATTTCTTGTATTTTTCAGCGCAATATAGTTCAATGAACGAGTATACGTTTTTTTAACTAGCACAAAAAACCTGTTTTTGAAAACTTATTTCATTCGGTTGTTTGTTTGTTTTGAATGTTTGAACTATTCGCATGCACAGTAGCGCTCTAAATTTACATAAATTTTAGAGAATTGGTTCCTATTTTGTGTACTCATATTTAAATATTGTTGACGCGTTTTTACAAAAACTATAATTGATAGTTTTCCCAGTGTTGCCTTTGTTGACTTAAATCGCCGTGCTGCTTACCTGCAGGTTGAACCGACGAACAAAAATGTTTTAGTGTATAAGAAGCTATTTCAAGAATATAACGTCACTTAAACAATACCAATATGATTTGTCATTTTAGTTTGGTTCTATTGTGTCTTTCCGGTGCTTACTGCATACCGTCTGTAATTGACTATCTAGATTTGAATGGATTCAAACAAGTTTTTAACAACAAAACCAACATTCCCGAATGGAAAGTAGCTATGGCCCAACAAATCGTTGCCAAAGATGTTAATGGTACTAAGACCACCGTTGATGTTAAGGCCGCTGTGGACTATTTTAAGCAAATTGCCGACAACAGTACTGCGAGGGATTTGGAATGGATCCGCAGCGTAATCAAAACAGCTTATGAATGCACGTTTACAAGGTACGCAACCATAACCGCTTACTTAATATTTCAGGATTTGTGGGAGCAAAAAACCAACATCTCTTGGTCCATAAACAATACGAAACTATATTGTTCGAAATTCGATATTAGATCAATATTTAAAAATAAAACATATCAAGAATGGTATCGTTCGATGCAGTGGAAAAAACGTATATTAGACTATGACATTAAATTAGAAAATAAAGGCAATGAAAAAATATACGCATACCACCGCACCTTTAGTACGCCTAGGACGGAACTCCATAATTTTTGGGCAGGATTCATCGAGAAGAAGCTCGGTTTTAAAATCAAGTACAAAATCTATACCGAAGTGATAAAAACGAGGTTTACAAACGAGTATAACTTACCGCTTATCGACACCCTCAACGAACTCGCCTGTGTTATCAACGAGGCGATTCAATTGTTCGACCGTTTCTTCGTAGACAAGTGCGTACCACACGACAGCAGTTTTGTAAAAAACTTTGAATCCCTAAAAACAGGCATCCTCGGAGATTTCACGGGGCTTCTAGCGCATTTTGACGAAAATAAGGCCAGAGAGGCCACCTATGACGGACAGCTTCTAAAATACAAGTAGGTATCAAAAATACGTATTCAAAATTCTTTTTGTTTGTTGTCTTTTAAGTAACTCGTATCATGAACTCTTAATCTTAAAATACAAAATACACTGTGCTTTGTCTTCTGTGTCTCGCTTGGACTCACAGAGTGTGAGCGTATTTACTTCCCCAACTATACACCTCGTGAACAGAATAAATTTGTATTTTTTATTTAGTCCAAAAGGCGCTGTACCTGTGTCATACCTGGTGGACAGAGATGCTAATTCGGAATTGTACCAAGATTTTTCAAAACCAATCCCTGGAAAATTTCCAGCATTTTCCGAAATAACGGCTTCGGGTTGCTTTGTAGAGTATGTAGAATTCGAGATTTCTGGTTTAAAAACGGATTTTGAAAATACTACCGATCCAAGGAACATTTATGGCCAAACCAGCCTTGTACGGTATGATATAAATTATTGTTACATGCTATTGTATAAATGCAGTATTTTAAGAATTTTTCGGGAAGAAGAACGATGATGTAGTAGACATACATATTAAACGGTGGATTGGTAGGGAATGGGGGTTAGACAGTATATAGCTGAAGAATATAAACAAGAAGGGCATAAACGAGATGGATGGATTTAGGTACATTTACTGTTTTAGATTTTACACTCGATTAGGAAAACTCTGGATATGCCCACTTCACATCCATATATGACTTACGTGGCGTTTGCTCATCACTTTTAAGATGTGCATCTATAATAGAATTTTGATATATTTGCTGCACCTCCAAAGTTGTGCTTCTCCTGTACTATCCATTTTTTTTTTTAATTAAGCCAAATAAGCAAATAGAAAATCAGAAAACTGTAAATATCTTAATAGACCCTCTATCGTATAATATTTATTATTGTTATATTTTAGCACATCTGAAATGGAAATGAAGCTTATAGAAAACCCTCATTATAAGGAAAAAAGCGATGTAAAAATAGGTATGATAATGTTTCGCGATGGAGATAAATCGTTCAAAAAATATCCTGAAAGCAGCAGACATGTAAGTATTATGTATTGATACTTAGTAGGAATGTAGCAGAACAAGCACGTCTATTAACAAAGAATGAGAAAATCATTATTTTTATTCCTTTAAAGAACCTTATTTTGATTTACAAAGCATTATTTTAATATGACGTTTATATTAGCTACAGAAAGGTTCTGCCTTAATGGAAAAATAATAATGAAAGTTGCTGGCAAAATATACATTTGGTTTTTACCAGGAACAACCAAACACCCAACTTAGGTATATCCATTCTTAATAATTTTTGTATTTTTTCCAGATTACATAGACCAACACGAAGAGACTAGGATCTAGTATCACAAATATACATTGACATGTATCAATTAATAATTAGATATAAAATAAAATATTAAAATTACAGAAGCTATTGTACAATGAATTAGATAGCAAACTTAAGGGATTTCTTAATAAATATTTTTTCTAAAATAAATTCCTACACCTTTTGACAAAAACGAATACCTTTCAAAGACAAAATTATTTTTTCTTATCCGTCTGTATAGCTAAATTGTGTTTGAACTAAAAATGTAAAATCAATATCCCATAATATTTCCAGTGACCCTACGTATGGGCTTTTAAGTAGGAAATAACTTTATAATAAGTTGTTCATTATCAATAAAAAATTATTACATCTACATTTCATTGACGATAAACGTGGAGTTCTAATTTATTGTTTTATTTTAATTGTATATGCTGAATTGTGTAATTTGCCAATCTCCTTATTATTTCATAGCTTATAATTTATATTGTATTGTTAATGTGTGTTAATAATTTCATATGAATAAATAAAATAGCTTGCTAAATGCAATCTTAGAAGTAAACTCGTGTAATTAACAGAAATATAATTTAAAAGTCCCTACAAAAGATGAAATATACAAAATAATCGTCAAACATTGTTAGCAGACAGCTTACAAAATGCAAACAGTTTTTTTGGAAAACTGAAAAAATTCATGAAAAATAAAATTCGTGATAAATTGTCGTTTGCTATGAAATTTGAGCGGAAACTTTGATAATAACGAACATGTTCGTCGGTAAGAAACACACAAGTGTTCCATGGAAACTGGCAGACATTTTGGCAGTTATCACCAGTTTCCAGCGTACCTGATTGTATGGTCGTAGTTTTTCGTTATCTATGGCGCAAAGAAACAACCATCGTTACAGCTGTTGATAACGCAAGATTTAAGTGATAACAGCTGCTGTTATCATTCACAAAGAAACCAGAATAATAATTTTTGATAACACTGTGCTATGTGCGAGTTTCAATTAGATGGTGTTTTTAAAATGAATGGATCTGCGATATAATATATTATAATCAAAATTCGTATGATTCGTTGTCCTACTTCGATGCACCAAAAAAAAAACCTTCAACGTCAAATTAAAGTAGGAACGGGTAATTTACAGGGCTACAGAAATGTTATTGTAACTGATTATTTTATCCGAGTTTGCCAGTACAGTGGGATAGTAGATCAAAGGATAGTGGAGACGGAGAGCTCACAGGTTTTGAAAATACAGGTTGTCTCAAAAATAATAGTGGGGTTTTAAACGGCTCGATGCTGATAAGTAAATACTTGGACTATACTTGGTTTGAACTTACTAACCACAGATTCACATCGTATCGTTCATTTGAAAGTAATTTTATCATTTTCAGTTGTAATAATTCCTGTACAATTATTGTGACCTCCCCGTCCTCACTATGCCCCTACTTCCACTGTACGCCTTTATTCAATCCGATAAATCTGTACACGAGTAATCGTTATATGTTTTGCGTAAAGTATAAAAACATATTTTATTTTATTATTTGAACAATACACGCGCACATTATGTTTTACCTATTAACTACGTCTTTAGATATTTGAGAGGCCCTCGGTTGGTTTCGATTCCTCCTAATATCTATTTTAAATATTTATACAATCTACGTTTCTGATATTCTTTTTTATATATTTAATCATTAAATTTAACAGAAATTTAATTTCTGGACGCAGATCCATAGATCAGAAATCATACCCCTTTAGAACACCAAAAATTAAATATGTTCAAACCCTTCGGTCCGAAATGTCCGAACTTCAGTCTAAACTTCTGTAGAATGTTCAATTGAATTTTTATTTGATTAATAATCAAAGACTACAGGTATACAGTAAAAACCCAAAAACAAAATAATAAATGAACACAGTTCACTACGGTTTAAACCAGTACAATGTAAGCCAGCACAGCCCAAATCAAGTACAATATAAATCATAACAGAAAAAGTTAGCAAATTTGGGTCACATCAATTTTTAAATCTGCATGGTGTCATCGCAAAGGCTTCTATGCTAAACAAATGGTTCATTGTGAAACTGTGGATGCAAAACAACTGTTCAATATAAACTTTATAAAATAGAGTTTTTCTACAATAAAAAAATAATTACAGGATATTTGGAGGTTAAACGAAATTTAGATTTCAGGAAATTGGCAATAGTTTTCCATCAAATTTACAGGGGGTTAGAGTTGAAATTGAAAAATTATTAAATTTAGTTTTGAGTTCTCTTGATTTTCAGGGCGAAGGAAAAAAAACGCGTTGCCGTAGAATTTTATTTTATTATTATTCCTGTAAACCTGAGACGTCCCCCTTGCCCACTATTTTCTGACCCTCTGTACTGGATATTTTATTTCTTGTATTTTTCAGCGCAATGTTATTCTAAAAACGAAGCAAACTTTTTTACTAGGTAGAAATCCTGTTATTGAAAACTTGTTTCATTCGGTTGTTTATTTGTTTTGAATGTTTGCATGCGCGGTAGCGCTCTACATTTGCATACATTTTAGAGAATAGGTACCTATTTTGTATAATCGTATTTAAATGTTGTTGATGCGTTTTAACAGAAACTATATTTTATAGTTTTACCAACGTTGCCTTTGTTGACTTGAATCGCCGTGTTGCTTGCCCGCAGGTTAAACCGACGAACAAAAACGTTTTAGTGTATAAGAAGCTACAGCAAGAATATAACGTCACTTAAACAATGCCAATATGATTAGTCATTTTAGTTTGGTTCTATTGTGTCTTTACGGCACCTATTGCATGCCATCTATAACTGACTATTTAGAATTGAATGGACTAAAACAAGTTTTTAACAACGAAATGAACATTGCCGAATGGGAAGCGGCTATGGCCCAACAAATCATTGTCAAAGATGTAAATGGTACTAAAATCACCGTTGATGTTAAGGCCACTGTGGACGATTTTAAGAAAAATGCCGACAACAGTACTGCGGAGGATTTGGAATGGATCCGCAGCATAATAAAAACGGCGTATGCATGCACGTTAGCGAGGCACGCAACCATAACCGCTTACTTAATATTTCAGGATATGTGGGAGCACAAAACCAACATCAGCTCGGCCATAAGTCAAACGGAACTATATTGTTCGAAATTCGACATTCGATCGATATACGAAAACGAAACATATTATGAATTATATCATTCGTTACAGTGGGAATACAATATATTGGACTATGACATTAGATTGGAAAAAAAAAACACCGAAAAAATATACGCATTCCACCGAACCTATGGTATGCCAAAGAGGGAACTGCACAATTTTTGGGCAGGATTAATCGAGAAGAATCTCGGTTTTAAAATCAAGTACAACATCTACACCGAAGTGATAAAAACGAGGTTTACAAACGAATATAACTTACCGCTCATCGACACCCTCAACGAACTCGCCTGTGTTATCAACGAGGCGATTCAATTGTTCGACCGTTTCCTAGTAGACAAGTGCGCACCACACGACCGCGGTTTTGTAAAGAACTTCGAATCCCTAAAGACGAGCATCCTCGGAGATTTCACTGGGCTCCTAGAGTATTTCGATGCAAAGCAGGCCAAAGAGGCCAGCGTGGACGGACGGCATATCAAATACAAGTAGGTATCGACAATAAGTATTTCAAAAATTCTTTTTGTTTTTCGTCTTTTAAGTTGCACGTATCTCGCGTATTTAGTATCTCAATCTTAAAATACAAAATACACTGCGCTTTGTCTTCGGTGTCTCGCTTGGCCTCGCCGAGTGTGAGCGTATTTACTTCCCCAACTATCCACCTAATATACTGAATAGCATGCGTTTGTTATTTAGTCGAGAAGGCGCTGTACCTGTGCCGTACCTGGAGGCCACAGACACTTATTCGGCATTGTACAGAGATTTTTCGAAACCTATTCCGGGAAAATCGCCAGCATTTCCCGAAATAAAGGCTTCGGGTTGCTTCGTGGAGAATGTGGAATTCGAGATTTCTGGTTTGAAATCGGATTTTGCAAACACTACCGACCCAACGAACATTTATGGCCATACCAGCCCTGTACGGTATGATATTAATTATTGTTACATGCTATTATACAAATGCAGATTCAAAGAACTTTCCGGGAAGTAGAACGATGTGATGAAGTATACCTATCGAACGGTGGATTGGTAGAGAATGGGGCTTAGACAGTATATAGCTAAAGAATATAGACTAAAAGGGCATAAACGAGATAGACGGATTTGGGTACATTCGTTGCTTCTAATACTTAATAACTGTTAATACTTTAAGAAACCCTCTATCATTTAATATTTATCATTATTACATATTTTAGCACATCCGAAATAAAAATGAATCTTGTGGAAACCACCCGCTACAGGCAAGAACACGTTGTAAAATTTGGTATGATATTGTTTCACAATGAAGATAAATCGTTCAATTATCTTCCTGAAAGCGGCAGACATGTAAGTATTAAGTATTGATATTTAGTAGGAATGTAGCAGAGCATACACGTCTATTAACAAAGAATGAGAGTACAGTAGTATGAAGTATACAGGAAATGTACAATACATTACCTCTGCAACATATTTATTTTTCTTAGTGATTTCTCAGATAAACTCAACACAGTTGGATAACGGTATGCCTTGTGGAGTTTGACCCTTCAAAACCTTTTAAAAATACCTACCCTGCCCCAATCTATTTTTTCTGTGTTCTTAAAGGTTTAGGATTTTCTTAAATCTTTTTATTCACAAGCTCGCTTAGTGAAAACATGTTTAAATGTATCAATTAAAGTGTCCCATGTGCAAGTTAAGAGTATTTCATGATTTTCATTCCTCTCAGAACTTTTTTTGATTTACAAAGCATTTTTTTAGTACGACGTTTATATTTGCTACAATAAGGTTTTGCCTTAATGGGAAAATTATAAGAAAGGTGGCTAGCAAAATATACATTTGGTTTTTACTAACCAATAACCAAACTTATATCCATTTTTAACAATTGTTGTAGTTTTTCCAGAATCCATAGACCTGCACGAAGAAACTTGGATCTGATATTATAAATATACATTGACATGTCTCATTTAATAATCGAAAATAATATAATCTGATGTTAAAATTACACAAAATATTGCACAATAAATTAATTATGCAACTTATGGGATTGTTTTTTTTTAATTTTTTTCTAAAATAACAAACAATGGTTTTCTCATAAAAGCGCACAAACGCAAATAAAAGGATGTGTTGTGGAGTTCATATTCTTATTCAACTTTTAAACCATTAAAGCAAATCTAACCCGACTTGCCTTATTTTTATTGGCTCCTTAAGAGCTAGATGATTTTATCAATAAAATTGAATTTTCAAAGCATTTGGCATTAATTTTAAGTTGTTTTTAAATGTATTACTTCGCTCAAAACAGCCATTGGTTATATTGTTAGACCATATCGTGCCAACTATTGTATTACTCAATAAATATTTTGCTAAACGTTATTAGGGTATGTTAGTGGAGGAAGGAGTTGTGTTTTTTAACTTTTTACCATGTCGTTAACAGACTCTATCGGTTCGCCAATAATAATATTTACAACAGTCTCCCATGTGGTGTGTTGTTGTTTTTACCTCGTTAGCCCAATAACGTTTGCCAAGCTTATAGCAAATATTAAAGTAAGTGTGTTAATAAATAAAAACACATAGCTTACGTTTGATTTATTCGAGTTGTTTTAACTACTTAAGATGGATATACAATGCCAAATAATATAATCTAAATTCGCATCATTCGTTGTTGTACTTGGATGCACAAAAAAAAAAATAACAGGTTTGGGCATTTTGAAAATATACATATACAGAGTGGTGTAATGTAAAGTTCTACCGAGCTTCAAATAATTTTAAGGACACCGCTGAATTGAGAATAAAATTCTAACCCAAAATAATGTGTCACGTGTCATATGTTGGATTTGGTCACATGCCGGCCATTCAGTGGCCACTCGGTGGACGCAAGCGTGGCCAGTCACAAACAAAATCATGTTACATATCAATTCAACAAGATTTTTTCTCCTGATTTCAAATCTGAAATTATTTTTGTCGTAAGACAATTTTCTAATGAGATACGAGTTCTGTTTTAAATAACACCTAAAAATCCCAAAGTTGAACCTTTGTCATGGTTGCCGGCCATTTTCTTTTAATTTGTACACAAACAAAAAGTGGTCGCTCAGGATTGAACAACAAGTAAATTAACATGTTAATAACGATTGCTACGGTCAAACTAAAAATGTCAAACTAACACACAGCCAAATAATTGTTTAGTACCTATCAATTAATAAAAATGAAAATGGACCCAACGATGCTTTTTTTTTACAAAAAGTAAGTAAAATATAATTAACAGGTACATCTACATTTCATTGACGATTAATTAACTCACTAGATGTAATCTGATGAAATCTCAGACTAACAAGCACGGTGTTACCGACTAGAGTGTGAAGAATCCAAGATACAAGGAGGAGGTACAAGGAGACAAGTTAATTCCGACTTTCAAAAAAAAAACATACTTTGATCACGGTTGAAGTTTGATAGTACACAATAAGTTCACTATTTGGATTTCATCGGCTATTCACAAATCACCCAATAGCAGTTAATGGCAGTTGGAAACAAAAAACATAATTGTATTGATTTTTTTTAGAACGATTAAGAGGGCGTCGCACAGCCCATTTTTAAGGAGTAAAGTATAGGCAATTTTTTACAAAATCTTAATTTAAAGATAAAACTGTGATGTGTAATTATTAGTTCAACATCTAGGGCTCTATTTTGGCAGTTAATTTATTTTTTGGACTATCACAGCATTTTTTTCATTATTCCAAGTATAACCCCTGAATACATAGTTTAGAAATAACGACTATTTTAACATTTTTAAATGACTGTAACTTTTCAAAAAATGATTTTTTTTTTTTTAAACGCACCGTCTTGTCTTTCGGAATATTGTTTTCTTTAAATTTTATAACGGGCGCTTTTACTCTAAACCCAAAATTAAACGAGTTGTTTTCAGTCTGCTTAAACATGTTTTTACCACTGAAAATCACAGGTGCGACGCTCTCTTAAGACTAAATGTAGTATCTTAACAAAGTCATAGCTATTGAACAAATAAATGATAATTCAAATAATATGAAATATGCAATCACCAAATTTTGTTACTTAAAAAACTATTTTAGAGAAATGTTGGGTTAGGTACGGTTAGGATTGCCAACCGTCCTACATTGGCCAGGACAGTCCTACATTTGGACCAAGACTCAAGAGTCATGTATATTATTTTTTATTTTGTTTGTTCTCATTAGTTGCAGTATGCATTTCATAATTAATATTGTTTTTTGTTATGATAATTTATATTAATAAATTTCATTTACTTATCAACTAAAAATAAGTATTTACTATTTGGGTGAGGCTCTCATTTGGCAGGGGACCATGGAGCCCCGCTGCCGGCTTGGATATGAAAAATATTGTCCTACATTACACAATTTGAAAGTTGGCAACCCTAGGTACGGAATTAATTATTTTCAAGAGTTGTGTAAAATGTTTTGGAAATAACTCAAATCAAATGCTTCCTAAACGAATAATTTATTTTAAACAATAGGTTTAGATTTTTATTTGATGAATTTGGATTTTGGTTTTTCAATATCGATGACTCAACACCGATGACTTTACAATGTCTAAAATCTAGAGTTTTTTTTTTTTTACTTACTACATTAGGTATTCGCATGTAGAGCTTGCATTCAGTGATGGTAAGACAGCTTGCAAAAATTCAAACCGTTTTGTTATGGAAAACTGAAAAAATCAAATTCACCATAAACTGTCGATTGTTGTGAAATTTCGGCGGAAAGTGTGATAAAAACGAACAGGTATGTCGGCAAGCTCGTGTTGTCCATTTTTAACAACATGGTCGCCGGTATCGCCCGTGAAAACCGGCGGCCATTTTGTCGGCTATCGCGAGTTGCCAGCATACCTGTGTTTGTGTGGTCGTGGTTTTTCGTTATCTATGGCGCAAAGAGACGGCAGTCGCTACAGCTGTTGATAGCGCAATATTGGAGTGATAACAGCTGCAATTATCACTTATCATGCACAAATGCATCCGAGCTGCACTATTATTACATGGTGACTTTTTAAAAAAAAAATATGTACATTATTTAATGTTAAATATCTACAAATACATAAATTGTTCAGTAAGTGACACTCGAGGTAACGTTTATTACTATATACTACTTACAAAAATATATTTTGACATTGAAAACTATAATAACCTTTTTTTTATCGTTATCCCTGTCCGATCCGATGGCCTAGAACAAAACTAAACAAACCACTCTACTTAAAACGCTATCGTGATAAAATACTGTCGTACGCTATGTGTCGAGAATTCCAAGCTAAACCCGTCTCGTACGTACACACTTACCTACATTGCTCTCGGTACATGCTCGTACTAACGATCTGGTGGTTTTTTTTTAATATTATAAGAAAATAGGTAATGACAAGAATAAAAATTAAGCAATTTCATTTACCGTCAGTCGGTGTGACAGAAAATGGAACACGGAACGGGAACAAGGATCGGAACAATTATTCGTGTATGATTGAACATTATAATATGCCAATAATAATAATCAAATGGCTCTCGTGATTAAATAGAACTTTTTTGTTCAGTTGAAAGTAAATTTTATTTTTAATCTTACAATAATCAAACGTTAATGGTATAATATGAATTAATTTTTTTTTTTATAATATAATGAGAAATTATCATCTTAATTCTAAATACGACTGTACGTCGTGACAAATCGTTAAATCTTAAAACATTTTTCTATTCTAAAGATAATTAATGATATTATTAAAACTAATCTAACCGATTGCTAATGACTAATTTGTTTGTTATCATATAATGTGTGTCTGACACATAATGGTAAAACTAACATATTTTGTCTAACTTAAATTAATAAATGTTTATATAATAATATTATAGTTTTGGGAAAAAGTAACTCACCGATTAAATTCTTTTGTACGTATACGAATTAACATTAGTATAACATATATTATTTTCATACGATTAAGACTTTTAAACTATTGTTTCAAATAAATAACGTAAAAGTTATCACATAGCCAGAAAATAACCTTAATGGTACATTAAAATCACGGTAACATATTATGAGAAATGACAATATTACAATGTGTCAATGGTTATGCGATTAATATTAAACGGCTTTTTATTATAATATATTTTATACTACGTTGGTGGCACGTCCTTATTAAATTCTATTAATTGGTCAGTGCTTTGTCGAACACTCGTGGTAAATTTAAATATATATTACAAACGGGAAAAAAACTGGTATACACTTTGTCGGTGCCGTATCTTATAAACTTAACTTGGTACCTACGATTTTTCATTGCCCGGATGTTTCAAAGTAGTTTGTTTTTGTTTAAGCGAATATGACCAGAACACTGTTGGCGATACTACTGGTTACGATGGGCATCCGACTTTCTCATTTGTCGACTACGATAGAAAAACCGACGTAAGTTTACCCAGAAGACGTACCGACTAGCGAAAAAAGCTCGTATGTAAACTCGGAATATGTTTAATGTAAAAAAATTACATTATATTAATCAAATGATTGTATTCTGATTGATTGATTTTTTTTTTTTTTTAATAAATAAACAAAAACCCAGGAAGAGTTTGACGCTGTTCGATTTCGGTAACGTTCGGGATCTGTCCAAAGACTGGTCGGAACTGTCGGACACGGTAAGAGCCGAAGGCAAATCGAAAGCGTCGTTTGACGTGTACAAGACCAGCAAAGCGCAGTCGGCCATTCTGTTCACGTTGGTAAACCCGCAACCAAACGGCGCCGGCTTTTGCGGAGTGCGCACGACGAGACAGCAATTAAATCTCAACGGATACGATTACATACATTTCGTGTGCCGGCCGAAGGGCAACGCTACCCGTTACAAAATCGTACTGCGGCACAACAACGAAAACAACGAGCCGCACCCGTCGTTCGAACAACAATTCCAGGTTTTTGTCGATAATCACATACATACGTATACAGTATAATACAAAATAATAATAATATATATATATATATATATTATATATGTTACACATTATGAAATATACACAAAAAAAAAAACAAATTAGAAATAATTATTCTTTAAACGACTTATTACTACCACACCAGGTGACGTTGGACACGGAAAACACTGTGGAACTGCCGCTGAAGAAATTCAAGCCTTACTATCGGGGCAAGCCGCTAGACGACGGACCCACGTTGAACGTAGAAAACATCACTGCGTTCGGCATTCAAGTGGCCGGCGGAGTGTACGACACGTTCAAACAGTCCGGTCTTTCTTCGTTGGAGTTGGACCGAATATCGGTTCGTGCCAACCCGGACGAAACCTCTCAAAACTAACGTTGCTAGTTATTTAATTATTTTCAACTGATATATTTAATTGTGATTTATTTTAATCGAAACGATGAGAATTTTGTTTGAATATTTTACACATGTTATATATATATATATATATATATGATTCAAGATAAATTGTATTATTTCAAGATAAAACAACCTAATGTCGCGTACGTTGATCGAGATAAGCTATAACAGCTCAAAAAAATTTTAAAAGCTAATAAAAAAAAATGGAACTAATTGGCTAAACTCGAAACGAGCGAGAAATATTTTTGAAAGCGAATAAAAATGGAATTAAAAATTAACGTTTCAACCGATTAAGTGACTTTTTTTTTTTTTTAAGCATCGCTGAGAAAACTCTCGTCCAGATTTTGGTACACCTTCACTGGAATGCCCATCCTGAAATAATAGGGGAAAACATTACAATAATCTTTTAATTAGTTTGGCCGTATCAAACATATGTCGGGTTTAGGAAATTATTATTGGCAATAGTGAGTAAATTTTTAAAAAAGGATTGATAGAAATAAAATCTCAAATAGTACAGTTTTTATTTTTTTTTGGTTGCAAAAACTTATTTAAAACAACATAAAGTATGTTTCACTGTACTTTTCATGAAGTTATTCAAAATGTATGTCAGTTTAAACGAATGGCTCAAATTTGTCTGTCCCACTTGTTTATCCTCACTTGCCTTGGTTTTACATAGAAAACAATTAGCAGAACCCTCCCCATAGGTTCGGCCATAATCTTGTGCCAGCTCTAACTCCTATGTATTCTGCGCCCTTCATTAGAAGGAAATGGGGTTAATTATAATTGCCTGGCCCTTCACAATATCCACAACGCTCACTCTTCTTGTTCTCGGATCTTAATGAACTTTGTATTATCCTTCCAACCGAGCACAGGTGTTGTGAGATCTTAAAATAAGTATGGGCAGGCACTATCAACGGGCAAAGAGTGCACTAGAATTAAAACTAGATGAGAGTGAAGATACAGCCGTGCTGTGCAGGTCCCGAATGGGTCATCTCGTTGTTTTATCGGCCGTGCCGAAGGGAGCTGTAGAAGATGAAGATAATAATAATATTACACTCATTATATTGTGTACGTACTCTTTGAACTCGGCGGCCACGTCGTCGATTTTCGATGGCTGACACACCATAGCGGTTACGGTCACTTTGGGATCGAACAAAGGCATCACGTATTTCCTACCGATTTTCGGCAATTCGCGGATGGTGACACTGGCGATTTTCTTCACGAGGTCCCTGCGGAAACGACACAACAACTCGGAATGTACAGGGTGTTTCAAAACAAAACACGACAGGGAGAAGAACGGCGGGGTTTCAAACGGCAGTCATTGGAACCCCCACGGCCGTTTGAAACCCCATCGTTCCTGTACACCCTGCACAGATGAAATATTATGCGTTTCCCATACTGGTTGTAGTTCTGCGACATGTCCCGGAAGTGGTGCAACACCGATTGGGAAATCAAATCGCCCACGGTCGATTCGCGGTCGATGATTTCGAACGTGGTGGCGCACTTGGCTGATTCGAACAGGGCCATGTCCCACGGGGCGTTTGTCAACACGTGCTCTTCCTGGGGGAACACACGCAAAAAAAAAACAACAATCCTCGGTCAAGTCATTGGCGAGTTCCCTCTATTTAAAAATAAACACAAAACCAACGTTACCAAAATGGTCCTGGTGGCCTTGTAGGCGGCGGGTATGTTGACGGCTCGGTAAAAGTACAAGTAAATCTTTCCTTCGTGAATCTTCGGAGAAATGCTGTACGAATAGGCGTAACCCAATCCGCGCACCTTTCGCCACATCGGACCCTGAAATAAATAATCGGTATTGTATTTTAAATACACTGAACGGAGAATGAGATGCTAAGACGGACATGATGGGGAGTCTAGTAGTGAGAGAGAGAGAGAGAGAATAGGTTGAGACAATGAGAGTTGTTATCAAGAGGAAAAGAGAGGAAGAAGAAGACCGAATAGACAGTGATATGAGGATAGCCGGGGCGATTGAACTCTATGGAGACGTAGGACTAGGGTAGCCTACCCCACGTGGTTGGGCGTGTAAAGCGAAGACGAAGAAGATTTAATTATTTGAATGATTACACAGTCCAACACCTTGGAGATAACCGATGGGAGACGATATATAAGAAAATTGGCCGACAAGAGACACAAGATCCAATGAACATTATTGACTAATAACCTGGAAAAATTGGATCATGAACATGTCTCATGAGTAGCTCGACGGCGTTCCGGAATGTGGGGAAGAGAGAAAGACAGTTTTATTTTTTTCATAGATGAAATATCAAAAGACTTGAATTTGAAGCAACGTACTTCAAGTAACCATTTTTGTTTTTTAATAGTAACTTACTACCGCCGACTTAACCGATATGATTAAATATTAATGTTAAACAGACGCCGGCTTTGTATTTCCCATAATGTTTTATCGTTGCGTACCTCTAACTGAGTGAAGTATTGCAAAAACACCAAAAGAGCGGGCAGGTCGGGATGATTGAAGTCGTTGATGCAGTCGGTGATCTGAACGAAGAAGCTCGACTCGATGGAACCCATGCCAACGATGCAAGCCCGGTTGACGCACTGGGCTACGGGCAACGTGTACTTGTAATCGTCGACAGTGTCAAACCTGTGAAATGTTTAGATTTTCATAGATAAATAAAATGCTTTGTTTGGATAACATCGTTGCGTCGTCGCCGTACTGCTGTTTGGTCGGCGTGGCTTCCGAAGGAATTATCCGCTTCAACATGGCCGACGCCCTCGGTTTGATTTCGCAAAGACGGTTCAAATTGGCTGAGATGTGCAACTTGATGTTGTCCGGATTGGCCAGTGCCAATTTCAGGGCAGACAAATCTTCGGTCACCGACAACCATCCTTCTTCGGTTTCGATTTTCTCCTGCAAGCCGGCCAAAAACGTCTGCTGTCTAAGCGTGCTGCAAGCGTAGTGGTTGTTCTCTGTCGGCAACGTTAATCAAGCGTGAGAAATTAGAAATCATCAAGTATATCTTTTGCATATTATGTCATACTCTAACCGTCGCGCATTTGTCGACACAAAAAAATGATCAGTTAAAATTATATATATTTTCTTATAACTCATTAAAACATCTTTTTTTTTTTAATTTAATTTAAATATAAAATGTCTGTTCGGTTAGACTAAATAATTTTTATATAATATATAATTCATTTATATTATATTATATAAAAAACCCTAGGCTCTGAAAACCCTAGGCTTTATCCAAAGAGTCGCTCACGAGTTTCATCTTTTAAAACCCTTAAAAAGTCTTTATTGCTCTTTAGTTCGTCCTATTCTTGAATATGGTTCTGTTTTATGAGACCCTTATACCTCAACTGATTCTGTCATGCTTGAAAGAGTCCAACGTAAATTTCTACGTTTTGCGGCATTTATCTTAAAAATTCCACATTCTCCCCACGACTTAACTCCCATTCAAGATCTTTTACAACTCTCCACCTTATCTGACCGAAGACATGTCTTCGCAAATAAACATCTTCCTTTTAAAAATTATATCTGGAGAGATAGATTCCGCTGTCTTGCTCTCAAAGTTAACTTTCCTGCTCGACATACTCGATACACTGCTCCTTTTTTCATTCCTTCCACTTCTATTAACTATTATCTTCATTCCCCCCCCCCGATTCGTTTAATGTGCATTGCCAACAGTAATCCTGATTTCTTACTATCCTGGTAAATTCTGTAAATATGTTCTCATTTAGCCAATCTAATAAATTATTTTTCTATTCAGATATCAATTATGTACTTCTTTTTTTAATCTTTATTTTGTGAAATATTATTGCATGCTATATATTTTTTTTTGTAAACATAAATAGTACTAAGTTTTTTGTTAAATGTTAATCTGTTAAATTTTTGTATTTTGGGCTAACGCCCGTATTGTAAAATAAAAAAATTAAAATTATTATTATATAATTAATTTATATATATTATATTTATAAATAATTTTTATATATTTAAATAATCTTTGGTTATTTGAATTTGTATTAAAATGACCAGTTTTATGAGTGATAATATTTTACCCATTATAATTATAAAAAAAAAGCCGTTATTTAACAAAAATAAAATATAACAATTTAATACTATTTGAACCGTTAAAAGAAATAAATTATTTCAAATAACTTTATTATTTAAAACGGTAATAAGAAATTTGTTTCAATTAGAAATAAAGCTGTGCTTTAACTATTTTGCAACATCTTAATTTAAACCATTTTACCTATAATTTTTCTACAGCAGACATTTTTTTTTATAATTTTGTGTTAAATTGATATAATCCGGCAAACCCACAAAGTTTACCAAACTTTTTAAGATTTCTAAAACGTGTGGCGTTTAGCCATTTAATTCTTCTTAGTCTAAGCGGGTTAATTGTTTTTGGAAATATTTCATTTCGAGTACTAGCAAATAATAATAATATAAAAAAAAAAAAAATGATTAAATGCACAGAAAAATAAAAAATGTAATTTAAAATAATTTCTTTTATCGGGCTATCATTTAAGTTTTTTTTTTTTTTGTTCGACGTCTCACCTTTGTTGTACATCATGTTTCTCAATAAGTCTTTCAACATGTGATCGCCGTGTCTACGGAAACTGGACACTTCGTTGGCGATTTTCGATACGCTGACCGAAAACTTTTCCTTTGTTATTTTAGTGTTGTACAAAAAGTCGTTGAGCCATCTAACGCCTCTCTCGTACTTTTCCGGTTCCAACTGGATACATCAAATCAAAAACAAATAAATTAATTAATAAAAAATTGGGTTATTATACATTATCGTCGTTTCACGTACTTGCAAAAACAACGTAAACACCGAAGAATAGGTTCCGCACAAAAACCAGGACGGTGATCCGAGCCCCACTTCGGATTTCCAATTGACCAGATCTTTTTCCAGTTCGGCGATGATATCGGTGTAATGGACTTGCACGCCGTTGCGCACGACCGTGCTTTCCGTAATCAAATCGACTATCAACGGCAGATACATGCGGAGGTTCAACGGCAAGTCCTTGGTGTTTATGAACGTGTACATCTGTAAATCCAAAACCAACACATCCAATTAATTAGTATATATGTTTAATTAATAGTTGACAATTCAGATTTTGCATCGACACTCACGTATACAAAGTTGCTTTTAACGTGATCGGCTTCTACGTAGAGCGGAACGTCGGTTGTCAGGAACGACGGGTGTTGTAACGTCGAATTGGTCGAGTACGTGTCGTACGAAAAGAATTTTATCGAATTAATGTTTGGGATTTTAACGGAAGTCAACAATGCCTTTGGCGGCACTCTCTGTAAAATTCATGAAAAAAGATACGATTATTACTCAACTTTGAGATGGCTTATTTCAAATTTGTGCAAATTATTTTTGAAATTAACCCCTTGCGTTTGGTAATGAATTTGGAATTAATTCAAATTTGTTAGCAATCATTTTGTACAAAGCACAACTAGTCTGGAAGAGGAACAATGAAAACCGTGTACAAAGTTGTTCGAAAATCAATTGAAAGTAGACAAAATGGATAACGGTAGCAAGTTTCTCAGTAGCTACTGTTATTATTATTATTCATTACTGAAATTCGATTCAGGAGGGGCAAGCTAGGTCTATTAAAACGATTAACAATTATTGCCTCGCATTCGTTTTTGGCGTTCAACAGCTCGATGGCTTTGGTCTTGAGACCCTCTTCGCCTAACATGGCCTTGCGTTGGGCGATTCTGTTGTGTTCTTCGGCGGCCAAATCGTTACGTCTCTTGTTCGAAGGCGATCCCCGGGCGACCACCCGCTTGTTGTCGATGAAGTAAGTCTCCAGTATTTCGATCCAGAACAAAATGTCTTCTTTGTATAGCTGCTTCAAAAGGCGGATTCTGTTCAACCTTTCCTCCAACTAAGAGACAATTAAAAAAACCACAACAATTATTGATCATTCGATAGCGTTGACAGCGAAAAAATATTATACGGATAAGCGGTGCTACAACACCACAAGAACGGCAACCGATTTTAGTTTGTTCTCTAACCTAACAGGTAGTGTTTTTTCAGCCCATTACAATAAATTTAGCAGTCCAAATAAGATTTGTCTTATTTTAAAAATGTTTACATAATAAAATAAATGAATAGCTCATTAAAAAAAAAATGTATTTAACTTTTTAAGTTTATGCAGTTATGTTCATATATTACACATCACCTCTACAGAAGTTTAACTTGTTTTGCATTTTTACACATTCAAGCAATTATTTGTAAGATCAGTGGTAAGATCATAGCTGATGGTTAAATAAATATTATAAAATATATATTTGACTTGTGTTGTTTTTATTGTATACAAATGAGATCAGAAAATATAAAAAGTTGTACATGTAACTGAACATTTTCAATTTAACGGACTCCAAGTCATGATGTTTGCGTCATTCATCGTAGACGGATGGGCTTACGGTCAACTATATATGTCTATCCTGTACTTAGCTCCGGAGGGAATCGGTTCATGTGTGTAATAGCAACACTTGTGTGTGTGTTTTAATTAATAATAAAATTCAATGATAATAATTTAGTGGAGATTGTAAATAATGTGTTCAACGTACGTCGGCCGGAGTGTTTCCGTACAAAAAGTCTCCGATGATCAACATGGCGAGCATGTCGTGGGGCGAATTCTCCAAAGTGGTCAACAACGCCAGCTTGTACCTATCGATGAAAACCCTGAGTCTGTCCACGTCAAAGTATTCCTCGTCCGACGCCAGTTTGTTTAACACTTCTTCCAATTTCACCGGAATGGTCCAAGCGTCTATTTTGGTCACGGGTACGTTTTCGAACTCGATCACGATGGCCGGGCTCATATGGGCCGTCATGCTGAAACCGACCTGTTCGAAACAAACACAAGGATAGCAAATAAATTAAACAGGTTGTTCAACAGTGTTTTGATAAAAGTTTGTTAAAAAATAAAATAAAATAAAACAATTATTTTTTTTTTTAATTATTTAGACTCTATTCACAGGACATTGGAGCTGAAAATTGGAAACTGAAGGTCAACTGTAGCGTTTATCTAAACCCGCTGTAGGCGCTAAAGAACTTGTACTTAAAGCTTATAGATAAATAAATAGTAAATTCGCTTTTTTTCTTATGAGAAAATTCAAAAATACACTAAAAAATATGGATTTTTGTTGGCCGTTATTGGCTTAGAAACTTAAGATTCAGTATACTATGGTCTATGGTATATAAATCTAAATCACCCTCCCCTTCCCATCCATAAGCGTAAGGTTAAGTTGAAAACTAATGCCGAATTCGAAATCGGGGACCCCAAAATCAGGCGAGAAGAAAGTATTGGTATTGGTGTTTTCTAATGTTGATTTTTATTTTTTTTATTTATTCTGAAGACACTGACATTTTTTTCCTCTGGCCCGATTTACACGAGTAGCAGCTCTAAATAAATCCAAAATCATTTGATACTTTGACGGATTGAAAACAAAAATGAAAATTTCAATAACCCTATAGGCCAGGCTGTTCATCAATTATTTACTAAAGATTTAAATCATATACTGTAATTATATTTTATCACAAAACAAATTAAGCTAATTTCAAAAGTTCAGTCTTTCTTCTGTCACAAACATCAACAAGTAATAATTCAATGAGTACCTATATATATTTTTTTGTTCCAGTCTGGTCATCGACTTGGTCCATTGTTTAAAATTACAACAATTTTTATCGCATAACAATAATATACACCACTTACTCGGCTGCAATACGGATCGGCTATCTCGACAAACTCTTTGCGCAACGGAGAAATCGGCGTGTCCGTGAGATACTTTAAAAGCAATTCGCAAGCTAAATACCTTGAGCAGACAAAAAAAAAACAAAAAAAAAAAGTTATTACATTATCTCCGCTTAATGGTAAAACGACGAATCATGGACATGTTTTTGGACCATCCCCACTATCTGCTGGAGTTTATGTTTATTTCACTACATCCTCTCCCCTCTATCTACATTATCCTACTCATCATCCCTTCATTTATCAGGAACCGTTGTCAGCTGTATTACAACGGACAGGGAAAAGGCCATTGACAATGCTAACGTGCAAGATGAGAAGATCAGATTAGATTGGAAATAAGAAGAAGAGATCCACGTGATGGAGAGTCTGGGAGTTGCTGCAATTGTGGGGGAAACGGGAGAGAATAGGTTGAGATGGTTCGGTCATGTCACGAAGAGACATGAGGCAGAGGCAGTAATATGAGGATAGCCGGGGTAGAAGATCGAGTTCTGTGGAAGTGTAAGTCTGGGCCGACCCCATGTAGTTGAGAGTGTAATACTAAGATTAAGAAGAATGGAGATAGATGAAACGAGCTTGGTTTGCCAGTGTGGTTTTCAAGACCATAGACTGGAAGACGAGCAAGTCGTAGATAGCCCCCATGCCAAAAACATGTCCATGTTACAAAAGAAACCCAAATCATTATCAAAGTGCTCTACACAAAAACGGCGACAGGTTTTGATAATACCCTTATCAAAAGTGTGGTAAACTATGACGAGGGTACCTCTTTCGACGGTGGGAATCCGATAAAAAATCTGTCGCCGTTCTTGAATCTCAGGATCAGACATATTGAGAAATAGGCAGTGATGCCAGAACGCAAATATTTCGTTCTTTAACATTTCTCCGTGGTTCGCGGCTACACTGTTGATTTATCAAGATGTCTGACATGATTTTATCTCTTCCCGAGAGAGCCCGTGTAAGAATTACATAGTTTCTCTTCTGCGGTTCTTTTGTACAGCACCGCTTAGCCGGAGTGCTTTAAGAAATCAACAGTGGCACTCACTTATACATGAAATCCGCACCGTCCGGTCCTCGGTATCCGACGTTTATCAACCCATTTGTCTCTTCATCACACGGAAAGACATTAGCGAAGTTGTACGAGTCCTCAATCGGTTCCACGGGGGTCTGCCACGGTCTAACGTAATCTCCTCGGTTGCCCTTTTGAATTTTTGAATTTTTTTATCAATTAAAAATCGTAACGTCGATTTGTGAGAAAAGAGGAAAAAATATTTTAAAATGCGACCAAGAAGTCTCGGACAATACCTTGGACAAAATTTTCATGATGGTCGGTTCGAGGGCGGTGAACAAAGCGGAGTGTTCGATTTTTCCAGTTATCAACAGCAATAGGTTTTCGGGACGGTAAAAAGCGTGATGGTATTGGCGTACCTGCGACGATTGAATTTAGATAACACAGAACACGTTAGTAGAAAGAAAAAAAAAACATTTATTTGAGGCGTCTAATTTGAAAACCGGCTAAGTGACCACACTGTATTGCACGGTACGTAAAAACTGTCTTATTGAACGTCCAAAAAAAGATTATAACCAACTCAAACTGTGTCTTGGTTGGTACGAAAATCGCCCATCCGAAGAAATTCTTTGTCGTTAGTGAACATATTCAAAAATTGCTTTTACCCGGTTTTCGAAACTAGACGCCTCTTTTGTACTATTAATTATTAGTACAGGGTGTCTCAAAAATAATGGTGGGGTTACAAACGGCTGTAGGTTGTAAAGTATTGGTTCTCTCTTTTATTCAAGCCCTGCCAGAGCGCTGTAGGGCCAATACTTCACAACTACCTACAGCTGTTTGAAACCCCACCATTATTTTTGGAACACCCTGTATATATTTCATAGTTAACAAGTACTACTAGGGCTAGCGGCAGAATTACTGGCAATATTTATTTTTTTTTTTATCTAGATACAGAGATAAATTAAAAATCGTCTTCTATTTAATCTTATTTGTTCATCGATTATTCATTAGAAAATTATTGTTCGTCGTTATTAGCATTTGAATATGTTTTTGCAACGAGCAAATTGCCTAAAAGCGTCAAATGAAAAAATTAGGTTATTGTTAGGTTCATTTAGGTTAGATTTGGATTAGATAACAAGTTGGATTTGGACCGAAGCCAAAAAGTCAAAAAGAGTTAGCTGGATTTAGTTTAAATTCTGTTTAGAAAGGTACGGTACGGTTAGATTGATAAGGCTAGGTTAGGTAGGTTAGGTTACATTTGGTTACAAGTTAGGTTCTTACACAGATTACTAGGTAGGTTATCATTTTTTATTAAAGACCTTAGTTTACCAATTAAATTTAAAATAAAAATTATTTTAACAGGGGTTAAGCTCTCCCCCCCCCCCTAAAAAAATGTCTACAAGCCAAGAATATATTTAAGCTATAAGAGTTCAGTGTTATTTTCGTAAGAGTTTTGAAGTGACTTTATTTAAAGGCAATGGAGATACTATACAAGAATGTCGAAATTATAGAGGAATAAAATTGACGAATATGGATAAGATTTAGGAAAGTACTACAGAAAAGAGTATTAGAAGTGAGACACATCAATATCTAAAAACCAATTTGGGTCTATGCTAGGGAAATCGTCGATGGAACCGGTGTTTTGCGTGAGACAGCTTGTAGTAAAGTATAGAGAGAAGAAGAAACCCCTATTTAATAGATTTAGAGAAGACTTATGACAGAGTACCGAGAGTGGTTTTGTACTGGGGTTAACGAAAGAAAGGGGGTTCCGAAATCTTATATTATTTTGACAGAGGATATATGTATGAAGGTTTTAGAGTTGGAGTAGGTGAGCACCAGAGTTCTGCTTAATGCCCTCGCCTATTTTCTGTTGTAATGTATGAAGCTACAAAGGACATACAGAAAGTGGAAGACCAAAAAAAAACAGATGGCTAGAATGCGATTGAGAATGATATGAGGACTACTGGTGTATGATAGGATGATGTAAGATGGTGTCAAGTGGTAGTTTAGGACAAGGTTGGCAACAAAGAAGAAGAAGGAATATTCTTCTTCTTCAAAAGTACATTTATTCATTTTTTTTTTCCAAATCGCTTCCAGTTGCAAAAAAACACCATTTTAGACATATTTTTTTCATCCTAGGTACTTGATTTGCTCAATTCAAAACTAGTCTCGGAATGAATGCATAATTTCTAGACAAGATTCTTACATCGTAATCGTTCGATTTGGACGCGGTTTAATTAACAAATTTACTTGCTAGACCTAACCCTTAGAGGTGGGGTGATTATCTGCCAGCCACCGACAAATGCCGCCAGCCCTATCAAAAGTATTGGTGGTACTTGTAAACCGTACTTTTTCATTGGTAGTCGATTCCCTTAGGTTCTTCATAATGCCTCCGGTCGCAGATTTATAACCGCATTCGCCAGGATACAAGCGGTTGAGCAGATCATAATTGATAATGCTCTCTCCGGAATTTTCTCTTCCCTGCATTTCGCAATAGACCACACCGCCGTCTTTGCCTTCGGACGTCACGTGGTGCACTTCCGTGACGAACGCGGCGTCCTAAGTGATAGCAATCGAAAAAAAACAACATGATAATTATGCATGCAAGCCCTTGAGTCGACTGAATCGAATCGAAGACCAAAATATAAATACTTTTAATGTCGGATACAAAATGTGATCGAGATAGATCGGAAGCAACGACAGAAATCCTTCACTTCCGGCCGTGGTGACGGTGTAACAAGTGTGATCAACGTCTTAGGGGAAAAAACACCATCACAATAATTCAATAACAATTAACAATACATGATTTTTTTTTGAAAAAAATATACCATTATAATTTAAAATAGCGAGAATCAAAAAGACCAATTGTAGGGGGGGGGGGGTGGCCTTCAGCGTGCTATCGGTAGGTCAGGTAGGATTAGGTCAAGTTAAGTGTTAGGTGAGCTGCTGAGGGGTCGAGTATTTGCGGTACGATACTGTTTTGGTTCTCGCTGTTCAAAATTTTAAATGCAATTTTTTTTTTATAATACCTGTCCTAGAGCGTACGACGTCTTAGAAAAACACAAGTAAAAAAAAAAAAAAAAAGCGATAAGAATTTTGAACATATTTTTTTATATATATAATACCTGTCCAAGCGTTCGTGCCGGACGCGAGACAACGATTGGCGACCAAATCTAATACGCCTTTAAACGGATAGTCTTCGGATCCAAGAAAGATCAAGTGTTCCAATGTGTGCGGAAGTCCGTCGTCGTCGTGCGCTTCGGTAGCTAAAGATAAGAAAAGTAGTACGTGGTTTTCAGTTTTTGAACATAACTCAGATGCAAACCACATTATAAAAAAAAAAAAAAAATACAAATTTACACTTTCCCTCGAATAAAACTCCCCCATTGATCATCACTAATCAGCTAATTTTTGTTATCATTAATTCTCTTATCAGCTGATTCTTTTATCTCATATCAGCTGATAACGTTATCAGTTACCATTTCCACTACACATCACTTCCCCCACTTAGCCACACGCTGAAAACGATTTTGTAAAAGCTATAAATTAAACTCTGTCAACTGTCGAATTGTATAAGGATCTAAATTGCTAAGTTAGGTTCACAAGAGGAATGTTTTAATATTTCTATTTGCAAGTAAAACATGAAACAAAATAGCAATACCGAGATCGTTTATGGAAGTTAATTTATTTAGAGAAACGAAATTTATTTTGGACACTGAAGTGCATTCACAGTTGCACTTAGACCCGGAATAAGCGGCATATAGTTACATTTGTCAATATTTTCCTTATGTTAGTTCTTTTTTCAGTTATTTGTCTTTACTTTTTTAAAAATCCTACCGTTAAAAAAAATATATTTGAGACTTTAAGTAAAATTAAAAGTTTTAATTAATGTTATACGAGCCTCCTTATCCCTTATGAAACTTCTTTATCTCTCATCACTTCTCATTAACACTGAGCGTTGTTATAAACTATCTGATGAATCGCATGAAATGTTCAGACAAAATTAAAAACAGGTAGGTGCCATAAAATACATTCATGAAATATAATACGTTTCTCGTTGAAAAGAAGGACATTTACTTTTATTAATTACCGAAAATTACTTTTTTTAAGTAGTAGTTATTATACTCATTGCACATTAAACATTTTTAACATCACACACCACATGTCTACACGTATGCATGAAACACAGGGATCTCTCGCAATGAGATGGCTGACTAATTTAATTTTCAGAATTTTGCCCCGGTTTGAGACAAAGTACAAGGATTAACCTTTAAATTTTGACTAAGTGTGATATGGATAAAAAACAAGCGTTAATAATATGAATTTCAAATTAAAAAAATAAACCCTTTCTTTTTCAATACAACTTTTCTCAAAATTGTGGAAGAAGGCATTTTTAAAAAAATTTCAATAGACTAAGACTTCAACTGTGTCAAAGAACTTTATTAATTTAATTTTAAAATTTTAGTAATTTTTAAGTTTTAAAAAATCAGTTTTTTTTTTTTACTAGTGTAAACCAAAAAACAATTATGTAATTAAAAAAAAAAGTCTTCGAGAAGACATAAATTATTACAAGTTTTGTACTCAGTTGCATTTCAACAGTGTTTATTGATTATATGATAAATATATTCAGAGATATTTACAAAAAGGCTGAATGAGCATAAAGATCATAAAAAAATTACTATACGACCAAAAAGTGAAATTTTACATTTTATTTATATTTTTTAAACATAATTAAGAAGTTTTTTTATGAATAATGAACATTTTTTTTATTTATCAAAACATACAATATTAATAAGTTCAAATTTTCCTAATCAATTATAACCTTCGCCCAGTCAATGCGGTCAATCTTAACAACAATCGTAAAAGTATTTTTATTTAATTTCTTAATGAGTACATGACCATATCTTAGTTTTGAGTGTGTGTTCTCAATTAACGCCATTAATGTCTAATAACCGGAAATTTGATAATTGAAATGTTAGCTGATTTTTTTTTAATCCATTAATTAGAGATATTTATTGGAAGAATACTTTTTATAAGGCGGGTAACTACTTTTTAATATGCTCAACGAATAAAAAAAGAAAAATTGTTATAAATTGATAAGAAAAGATGTTTATTATAATAATAGTATTATATATTATTATGTATAATATATAATTGAATTTGTATTATTATACTATTAGTATAGACGAATTTATTAATAAAACATAATAAGTCTGCCATTAAACAAGTCTCGGTATAAGTGTCAACTAAAAAATTGTTTTAAGTCATTACATAAATCAGATAAATAAATAATAAAAAAATGTATAAAAATATTGATATTTTTTTTATCGTATTAATTGACATTAAAAATGTACATTATTAAATGTATGTAATTTGTTTAAAAATATAATTTTAAAAATGTCTGTGCTTGGACATTTTAACCTAACCTCCTAACCAATGAGACACATCCAAAGTATCTTCAAGAATTGTTAAACACAATGGTGTAAGACAGCTTTTTGGTAATCCATGCTATCGTTTATTAAAATTGTTTCACAAAGAAATTCCATTAGAGTATGTAGTGTCTCAGCAAAGAATAATAGTAATAGATTAAGCGAAAGCAAGTAAGTAAAAGTTAAAGATAAATTAAAGATGAAAGACGTTACTGAAAAAAGTTAAACGAGAAGGTGAGTAGGGAAGTTGCAAAAAATTATGTGAACTCTTGCAAACTCAATGAAATATAAAAACGTTTTGATAAATTCACTTGATATATTTATAAAAAGGAGAAGTGATAAGAGATAAGAACGTGTGATAGCGAGGGCGATAAGAGATAATGCATGGTTAGTTGTAATGACTAATGAAGCGGCTTTGAAAAGAGATAGAAAACCGGTTATGCTTGGATTGCAAGTAGAATATAGAGTAGAGCAATTTAATAGGGATGGTAATAAGGGAAAATGTATAATCTCTTGATAACTTATAAGACAAGCGACTCGGCTTCCAAGTAATAAAGAGACAGTTATAAGAGTTACCGTCAAGAGACAGAAAATAAGCTGAACATAAGACATATTCATGAATTTCCATTAGGCAAAAGATTGATTTAATTTTTTTGTAATTTTAAAAACGGAGAGGAGGAGATGGAGGAAGGAAATCAATAATATCTTGATAACTGATAACAGATTATTGATAACAAATTCAGCTGATAAGAGACAATCGATTGGATAATGTCATAATAGTTATTGATGATGTAATGTTTTTCCCACAAAAGAAAACAAGTATTTCATTACAAATAACTAATTACAACAAATTTGTAGGTTTTAATAAACATTTTTTTCTTCAAATTTTTAACGATAAAGAAAAAACTTTTATAAAAATACATGTATTTAATTGTATTGCTAAAAATGGTACAATACAGTTTTTTTTTTTTTACACCTTTGTAGACGATTTGAACTGGTCCATTTGTACGAGTTAAAAGGAAACTAAAAACCGGTTTAACCAACAATTTAAAATTAATAACACTACTAAATTTTAAGGTCCTGCATAGGGTGGTCTAATTCGTACCGGTTTTACGGTTATATAAATCCTAGAATCTCAATTTTAACCTTAAAAACAGACAATTTTGAAATGGTAATTACTGGGTGACTTCAATGCAAAAATAGGACATGAAGAATGATACAAAGCGACAATTGGAAAACATATAGTCTACATGTCAACACAAATGATAATGGTACTAAACTAATTGATTTTGCTTTGGGAATGTATAAGTGAAGCATCAACGAAGGAACACTAGGGGAAAACATATCAAAGGCAAAACTGTGATTCGATAAGATATAAGTGAAGAAGCCGCACAAAGGAGAAAAAACTAGCAAGACAAGACAATGTTGACTGACACCAGTAATGAAGTAACGTTGACAAGGTTTAGAACTCGCCAAAGGGAAGTCAGCAACATACTGAGATGTGAAAAGAAAGAAAATGCCAGAAGAATGGAAGACAGCGGTGATTTGTCCAAGTAGATAAAAATGATAGCATACACAGAGAGCCTAAACAATACTATCATGAGGGTGTTCTATTTCCAGGACAAGCTAATACAACTGGTTGAGATAAACATTTTAGAAACGTTTGTCAAAGTCAATCTTATTCAAAATAGTGACAGAGAAAGTAATAAGAGAGATGAAAATTACACCTCAAGAAAGAGTTAAATTCCAAGGATGAATCACAAGATGGATTAAGATCTTTGTCATGTCGACTGGAAAAAGCTGCACTGAAAATTGGACTTGAGTGAGGGCAAAACGGAATACATGATTGTAGCAAGACAAGACAACACGAGATTATATCCAACTCTTTACGTCAACAACCGAAATTTCAAAAGAACATAGCAATTCCAATGCCTAGGATCAATACTGGTCGGTTTACCTAAGAAGACAAAGAAGACTAGATCTCATGAACCTATTTGCTGTGTTCAGCCGGTAAGATCGGATCAACTAACCGGTTCTACGTGTCCGAATAGAGTAAAACAAACATTTAGTATTTTTTTTTGGATAAAAAGCAATATACATGACCACGATTGAGTTTTAGTTTTTAATTTGTTTCATTTATAATTTATTAGTTTTCACATTATCATTTAAAAACGAGGTCTGAAACCTGGAAAATAAAAAATACCGGTCTCGTGTAACCGCAACTGCCGCTCAAACCGGAACATGTATTTTAAAGCACAGGATTTGTTAGCATGATAAATTAATAAATTTTGAATTAACAATTATTATAAACAAGTCTAGATACATAGATACATACTTACATCAGAGTTATGAGTTATAATTCCTATTATTTTTTTTTTAAAAAAACCATAACGAAGAAAATATATAATACGGTTTAATGTTGTTCTAATGCAATTTTGCTCAAATGGAAACTTCACAAATCTTGTGTTGCTTACCTGTCTTTAGTATTTTTTTAAAATTATTATTCTTTATATAAAATAGTATGCTACCTATAAAATAATGAAAAAATAAAAAATTATAGAATAAACCGGTTTTGTTGATCTAAAGTCTGGTTTCAACTATCACGATAACGTGGGAATAGCTTTAACCGGTGTTTTAAAATTTAAAAAATAACCGAATAGCAAACAACGTTAACACGGGAAAAAATGTATTCGGTTTGTCACCCTACATATGACTTCTTATTTTATTAACAAACAGACCATTGTTTTTTTCTTGCTATAAAGAATTTTTTTACGGGTTTAAATTTAAAGTTAGTCTGATAATCCCATTTTTGGGTTGCTTTTTAGTTATGTCAAATTGTATTGTTGGAACCGGTTTTAAGTTCTAACTCATACTCATAAGAATGGTCCTCCATAAATGAAACCAGTATCATTAATCTGTACCCCTTGAGTTAATAAAATATATCTTTTTTAACTGTGTCAATAAAACAAAAGATATTTAAAAACCGGTTTACATCGAAACCGGTAGCATTAAATCGGTTTGAGTCGCTGAAAATAATCACATTCCTAAAATAAAGACAATACAATATACAAAACTACAACTCATCTACTTAAAATCAATAAAAATAGTTATAAATCAATTTTCAATTTTTTTTTTTCATTAAGAAGTTTGTCAAATAAAATATAAAAAATTACAATTTTAATGGCCGTAGAAAATTTTAATTCAAATTTTCTTTATTTTTGTTCTGTATGCATCGTTAGTCAAACATATATATTCTAACGGCACACAATTTTCATTAATGTTTAAGTTAATTAAATTTTACTCATCAAGTAACAAATGTTTATAAAAATTAGAAAATCTAAATGTAAAAAAAAGAAAATTTTAATCCACCCTCGATTGATTTTTAACAAAATAAAGTATGTACATTGGAAGTTAAAACTAAAACAAATTTTCTATCTAATTAAACGCTATAAACAAAAAGCAAACGTCACCAAAATAAGTGCAGTTATTTTTTTTTTACAAAATAATTTTAAAATTGATTTTATTAGGAAATTTTGAACCGGTTTAACCTAAATTTCCTTGACTGTGAAACCGGTTTAAACCCCGAAGCTAAGGAAGCTTACGGGCAAAATGAAAAGACAACAACTAACAACTGACAGATCGGCTACAACAATTGTTCAATTGAGGTTTTGAAATTTAAAAAAAAATGTGTTATGTTATTCTAGTTTGTGTAATAAGAAGTTAACATTGCAATTGTGTTTGCAATTGTAGTTAATTAATTAAATTTCTATTTTGTATAAGGTACAATGGGAAACCGGATTGATTGAAACCGGTTTCACTGGAACCGATTCAAACCGGTAACGGAATTGTAACCGGTTCAGTAGCCGAACCAGTTATAGCAATCGTAACCGGTTCAGTAGCTGAAAACAAAAGGCCGAGAACCTGCCAGAATGGATCAACCGGTTTCGGGTAACGGATTAGACTGTCAATATTGGTATTAGGAAACCGGTTACTGACACCCAACCGAATCGGTGGAAAAAAATTGCCAATTTTGTTTTACGGCAGAACAATTTCGTAGATTCAACGAGTACATTAAAAAAAAGCGATAACAAATGGTTTAATTAACTTGATTTCCTGATTTTAGATTACACGTTGGACTTGCTACACAACGAAAAATACATCAAAACAAATGTGCACAACTATTTCTCCCATTTTCTGTTAGTATGTTGTACTTTAAATTTAAACTATACTATTTTAACTTTTCCCATACAATTGCAAATCGTTTGGCTTGTAATAAAATTGAAGAAAAAAAAAAAGCCTTTCAATCTAGCGAATAAAAATAGTTATCGTAAGCACAATATTAATACACGATTAAAAGCAATACGCTCTCGGCTCTGCGCTTAGATTAAAAACCTCGAAAAACACGAGACTTATTCAAATTTTTTTTGTACAAATCCTATGAAAAACATTCTTATCACACGACTGTTTCAAACGTTTTCCTCGTCGTACATTTTTCATCCGTCCACCAACTATGCAAGCAATAACCGACGCGTTCTCTCTCGTGTCGCCGACAAAAACAAAAATCCTCAATCGTCCGAATTATTATCGAAACAGCCACGGCGTAGGCACGACGAGCGTAGTAAACAAGCATACGTGTTAACGTATTATTATTATTATTATCAAAATTTACCCAGAGTGAAGTATCCGTTGACGACGGGCCCTTCGATGTCGCCGATGACTATGGTGATGCCGGTGCGCTTGCACTTGTACTTGTACACCGGTATGGTGTTCTCCAGCAGCGAGCAGTTGATCAGGGCGAATTTGTTGCCGTGCATCTCGTTGATGGCCACGTCGACCGGACAGGATTCCAATTGAACGTCGGAAGCGGACATGTTTTCAGAGAGAGAGAGAGAGAGAGAGAGACCGGTGGTGGCAAGTTAAAAAAAAAAAAAAAATGTTATGGACAAAAACAAAATAAATTCAAAAAATCCAAAGTGAGGAAGGCGAAGGTCGTGAGAAAACGCGGCGCGAGATAACGACGAGGGACGAGTGTCGAACGGTGACAAAACGGGTGTGAGCGAGTGAGTGAGTGAGTGAACGGGTGAGTAAACGGGTGAGTAAGTATGAGTACAAGTAAGTTTGGAAACGACGAGACGTACCGAAGACCAGTGAGGGGAACGCGTCGAAACGTGTGTGCGCCTAAACTGCCGGTACTATCAGGAGTGAACGGCCGTTAGGAAGTGTACGGCGGCCGTCGGCGAGTCGGTCGCGCCAGATCGCGCCATGCGCGCCTGTGCGGCACCGCGGCACCGCCGGGAGCGTAGCCGGGCGCCGCGGCCGGGCGACGTCTCCCCGTGCGTGCGTCATCCGCGCAAATTAAATTACGGCCAAAACGACGGCGGTGCGCCCGCGTTAAATTAATTTTCCCTCGACAAACGGCTCTTGCTGTTGATGATAACGATATTAAGTACGGCCACGGCTAGGGTCCGGAAAGAAGAAAAACGACAAATACGATAAATTTAATAAGTATATCCGGCCGGGGGGGGGGGGGGAGGAACGAGCGGCAGTCACTTTTATTATCAGCCGGTTTTGTTGAATTTAATTGTTTGTTCGACGTTTGATTTATCTTTTTTTGCAAAATGCACACACCGGATGTTTGTCGAAACAATATTTAACAAAACCCGGATACGGTGTACACGTTTGAATCGTCCCGTGTGTATAAGACACTAATTATTTTCTTGGAAAACTTCAAATATACTTTCGATAATATTTTTTTTCCGCCATACTCGTAGGTACATATTTCTCTATATTTTCTAATACTTAGAAGATAAATGTTTTTTTAAAATTAAATTTCAATGTAAAGAATAATACTTGCCTTTAATATTTTTTTTTTTTTTTGCTCCGACTATATACTCACATGATTGCTGAACAAGAGCTAATCACAGTAATAACACTAAAACTTGAAAGTTTGATCTGACAGTGTAGCCAATATGCCAATTTTGTCCAATATACATAAAAGTGTAGGGGAAAAAAATAATTTTCATAATATTCATACAGCCGGTTCCAAGCTGTTGTTTTTTATAATTTAATATAAACAAAAAAAAACTTAATAAACCCAAATTATGTGTCTACCATAATACTCATAAAAACAAATAATTTAACCGCCATAAAAGAGTGCCCTAATTAATGAACTAATAATATTGTACACACCACAGTATAACCTTTAAGTTAAGATTTTGTAAAAAAATTGCCTATACTTTACTCCTAAAAAATAGGCGGAGCGGCGTCCCCTTTTAAATTGGATCACGTCGACATTTTAGAAGACCGCAAGTCTACAGGAACTGTTCAATTCAGTTCAATTGAATTTATTTAATTTTTCGGACAGTGTCCAATATAAATACAATGCGATAGTAACAGTTATATAATACACAATATAGACAATTATATAAATCATTGAACAAAAGTTCAGTTAAATTCGCACAAAAGAATAAATAAAATAACAAATTATAACAAAAAAAAGAAAAAAATTAGAAATAATTGTGTTATGATTTTTAACACTACGAGTTGTGATAAGGAAAAACCGAATAACAGCTCAACTTGTATGTTATTAGTCTACTAAATGAGCAACCTAATATAGTAATCGAATTCAAAAACACTATGTTTTATACTTAATCTAATAGATGATCGATGATGGACGTATTAGATCACTAATCCCATTCGATCAAGTTCAAAAATACACCCAATTTTGAACACAACAAAACTATTTTTCTAGTTATATTCTTTTTTTTTTTTTAAAAACAAAAACTATAATTTCGTCTAATTTTGTTACTATTTAATTGGTTTGTTTTAATTTATAGAGTTTTAAATGTTTAATTTTAAATTGGGCCTTTGTTCTAATCAATACTTTTAAAATAGAAAGTTTATATTTATTTATTAAAAAAAAAAAATCACACTTGTTCCGTGTATGAAATTTAACATTTTTATTTAAAATCATGCAAAATATTATATTAACATGCTAAAGAAAAAAAAATTCAAAAAAGTGTCAGTATAGAAAACAATATTAACTTAGAGAACGTTTAACAACACTTAAACTTATTTTTATTTTTTAGTCCCAATAAAGCCTAAAGGTACTTAATAATTGTGAATAGATTGCTATAAATTAATTTTGGAAGATTTGAAAAAAATCCTTAAAAACAGACAGCGTGCAATTCCCTTTGAAAATATATTCAGCTTTTTATTATTAGTGTGTAGAAATTTGGTTTCTCACAACAAACTCTAAACAAGTTAACAATATCAATTTTTTTTTTGTCATTTCAACTACTGTCATACTTAGACCATTCCAAGCCATCACATAGGTACTTGATTTTTAAAAATTCAAGATTACATTTTTTCTTCACTATTATCATGGTCGTGTAGGTATGAACAAATGACGTCATACCTACCTACCAGAAAAGCTTAATACAATGATTATTATTCAAATAATTTTGTATATTTTGAACAAGCGAGAAGGATCCCTTAGGTAATCCTGGAAGAGTGATATTTCCCAGTATTGCTGCGACGTAGGGAAAGATGTAGTTCTTAATAATTTTCGAAAGAGCTTTTATTCGAGTAAACTGTTAAATATTTAAACGACCGTCTTTTGGCGCTAAACCGTTTTAACGGCGTTAAATATTTTATAATTGAGCGAGATGTCCGCTCAGTGAGATATGATGAACTAGTGTTAAATATTTAAACGGTTGGGAAATACAGAGGGAAATTTGTCGAGAATAATAAAACTTGTATTTTTTTATTTATTTAAAAAATAGTGTAAAATGAGTTCTATGATCTACTATTTGTCACTATAACATGAACTTGTCAAGTGGGATGTGCAATTAAAAACTTTTGCAATATATTTGACATTAGTTTTATATTGCTTACATTGTACATGAATTGAGAAATACCAGCCAAAACCAATTTTATCATATTATAATGTAATTACAATTTTTGTATACCACTGTAATGCAAAACATTTTATCACGACTGTAGTAATAAATTAAAAGCACAAATCAAATCATAATTGAAAAAAATTGTATTATTACAGTCTAATCAGCGCCCCTTTGTTTGGTTTAAAGACAAAATATGAACAACTCTGTATTTAACATTAGAAAGTATTTGTTGTTTATTTAAATTAATTATTCGTTTTCTACTTTAAAATGTATGCCCAATGCGTTTCCACATTTGAGAATAGCTTCTTACTTATCATTTATTTATTTTCTATTGCCTATTCGTTGGAATGCAAATTGAATTAAATTCGAATAAGTGCATAAACTTTTTTTTTTTTAGTACTTGACTATACGAAAAAAAAAACATTCAAAGTAGATAGGTGTATACAGGATGATTCATCGAGGATAACAGTTGAGACAATCGTTATTTCTTAAAATAATTGCAATTTTTTCGGTTTTTCTCCTAGACAACTTCAACCTATGACTTATGCAGCTAATATAACTCATTAATAGTATCGATCGATTAATTAACAATATTATCAAGTGTTGCGGGCAACACAAATAATAGTAGATACGGTTGTAAATAATTTATCGACACTCGGTTGTTACACGGTTGACTCGACTTGGTAAATAAACATTTAGTTCGGATGGAAAGCAATTATTTGCCAACGTCAGGACTTGGGATATATAATGGACCGGACCTGTTTGTTTTTCTTTGATGTGTACTTACTAAACCTAGATTATTTATAAACGTTGTCTTACAATACACTTAGTGCACGGTGTAACTCCACCGTTTACACAACTATTCGGTCGATCATTTGTTTTTAAATGTAATTTGTCTTTCGAGTCGGTCAAATAATCCTTCCTCTCAGCAAAAACAATTTCTACCTAATAATTCCATTTCGGATATTGCCATTCTATCTCTCTCTATCTCTCTCTCTCTCTCATTTACAATGTCCAACACACACACATTGACGTTTTTCACACAACAATACAGTTCAGAAAAATATTATGTTGTATATTAAGTTGCACTTGTCCATTCAAAAATTATATATTGTTCAGTATACAGGGTGATCCAACTAACGTCTCGGAAAATATGAATATTTTGAATGTTATTGTTTTCCTATTCTTTTAGGTATAAGTTTTACTATACAATTTCAATAGTTTGAAAATTTCAAAATCTCCATCCCTTATACGATAAAAAAAGGTCTAAGTTCACGTTTTCAAATTGCAACATATGTTTTTAATTTTCATCCATCTAGTCGTTAGCTATGACTTTGTAAAGATATTACATTTTCTCTTGAATGTTGTTTCATCTTATATATTTTTCTACTATCTATGTTCTACATTCAACAAGTAACAGCACAGTTCAACAGATTAATATGCTATTAATATAAAAATGATAATTTTTATAGTTTTTATAGGTAGTAAACAATAGCTTTAAAATTTCTCTTACAATCTCATAAGTGCATACATTTGAATGGACAACCGTCGCAAAACGTTACTATTATGAATGTTTAATTATGTTATTTAGTCAAAAAATGTTACTCTGTGCTCAAATAATTGTTTCAAACAATTTCCACTAAATAAGGAATTTTGCATTTAATTTGTTTACTATTTTAATTCTACAGTTAATAATTAAAGTGTTAAACTAAAGTGATTTTTTTATTTCACAACTTAATACCTACTGTTAGGTATATCTTGACAATCAGTGTAAACGGACTATGCTTGTATGGTTATAATAAACAGTATAGTGAGCATGTGATTGCTTGAACATAACTCCAGCGAATGCACAATAGAGTGCAGAATGGCCTAAATTTACTATAAATAAATAATGTCGAATAAAAGGCAACTATTGACTTTATGAACACTAGTGGTTCAGGCATAGGGCTTGGGCGGATTATAATAAGCCAATATAAAGAGGATAGTTAAAAGAAATAAAACCACTTCTAATCGAATTTTGTATACTGGTAAAAAACAACAAATGATTTTATAATCGTAAGTAAGACGGTTAATTGTAAGATACATTAAATCATGATAATTAGGACACAGGTGTGGTTAGGAATAATTATTATTTAAATATAATAACAATTGTACTGTATAATTTTTAATGAGTTAACTGTAAGATTCCTGGTATAAATTATAATAACTGAGAAGCAAGTGAATACTTTTTACTATATATTAATGATGCGTTTCTAATTCGTCTTCACTACTACTAGTACTGTGATCACTCAAATTAATCTTAGTCGTCAACCTCAGGGACATACTTAACGTCATCCCCTACGCAACTGACTATTATTGTTCTGTTTTCTAAATCAGTTAGATGACAATGATCACCTACAACTTCCGCTAGTTTTACTAACTGAGATCTTTTGTTGTACAATATACTTCTGTAAACACCTTTTAACCGGCACATCTGGTTACAGTTTCCGAAATCTTCGTGGCCTGGTCCTTAAAAAATAAAATAGGTATATATAAAAGTCTTAACTTACTAGTTACTACATTTATTCAGTGTTTAAGTCACGCCTACTATACGTGATCAATGCTATGTACAGATGATCCGTATGGTACAGCTTTGTTACTTTAAGAAAATAACATTTTCAAATGGTAGATAAAAAGACTGCAAACCTCGTACATCATAATCTATTAGGTAACCATTAACATTTTTTTTTTAGAAAACTAATTTCATATGTAAAAAAAATTACCTATTTGTATTTTCGAGTAACAGAAAGCTATTAAATAGAATTGTAATTTAAAAAGTTGGTTTTTTTGTGTTGCCTGAAATATGTGAATTCGTCTAATATGTTTCTAAAAAACTGAGACATAAAATATATAAATTTTAATCTTTAAATTTTGACTTTTTAGAAAAATCGAAAAAAACAGAAAATTATGATATTTTCACGCATGACTCTTTTGATTGCTGTAATAGTATTTTTTCGATTTTTTTACTTTCCTATAATTTTTTACCTCTTTTTTTTTTTTTAATTTACATATATAATGTAACATTTTTCCGGGTTAATATAAATAATATTAGGAAAATTCTCAAATTCTGGTCAACACGACAAATTCAACATTTTAGAATACAAACTAAATTTAACCACTGATTCTTAATGTTCCATACACAGACTGAAAAACACTGATAAACGAGCTATATGCAAATAAATGGGATAACATGTGAATCAACAAACTGTAATCATGTAAAACATGTGAAACCAAATCTTTAATAAAAAAAAAAACTCGATTCAATCATTTTCTGTTACTCGAAAAAACAAATAAATATTTTTTTCAGAGAGCTAAGACTACTTTACCACTGAAACTGATTTTTAAAAAATTATTTTAAAGATACTATAAAAAAAAATATTAAAACAAACAGCAAAGAAAAAACTTATTACAACTATGTCCAAGTTAATCGAAAACAAATTTAAGAACATTCTCCTTATCTTAACAAACATTAATTTTAACGATTTTGTCATGACTATATTTTTAATATATATGAAAATAACAATTTAATATACTCATGTATATAATCAAGGAATAAAAATCAAGCTTAAAAAAAAATGCTTTAAGTATACTTTATCTATAAAACGTTACTTTTAGTTTAAATAAGCCATAATAGTTTATAAAAAAATTTGATATATATATATATATATATATATGTATAGAAGACATATTGTGAAAAATGGTCTAGACGAATTTTAAAGTTGTCTGCACTTGACTGGCAGAATAACAATAGAAATAAAATATTTATTAACTTTCATTTATTATCTTTAACTCTTGCCTTAAATAATTTCTGTTTTTTGTTTAGTTAACAAAGAAAATAACACGTTTATGTATATATTAGGGTGGACCCCTTTATGTCCTACCTCTTTTTTTATATAAGGGTTGGAGATACAAACTGTGTACCGAAAATTAAAGCAAATTTTTTTTTTTTAATGTTCATATTTTCCAAGAAAATTAGTGTCTTACTCAAAATAAATTACTCTGTATATACATACACACACACACACACACACACGTATATATATATATACGTATAACAAAAATTAAACTGTTGCAATTTGATATAAGACTTACTTGATAGAGAATTTATATATAGTTTAAAAGCATCACGGAATAGCCTTTGTCTGATTAAGCCAAACGCATATTTAGGCTTCTTATCTGTATAATTTAATAAATAACCGTGTTAATTACAAAAATATTATACATAAAATACATATAGTTGCTCGTGTCATTGATGGAGTACAATTATGTAAGTTTTTGTTCAAATGTTCTTATGATGAACTAGTAGTAAATAATTTTCCTATGCTTGTGTATTAATTAAACAAGTATAATATGACTAACTACATTTAAGTTTGTTTCGCATATGCCATTTAGTAATTTTTTTTTTTTTTTCATTAAAAAAATATAAAGTAAGCATACTATTCAGCATTGTTGCTAAGCAACGATATATCACTGATTTATTTGCATAAATCAACATTAAATTATTTGATCACAATTAATAAAGTTTTATAAGCTTTAATTTTATGTTTTATATAATTATAATAATTACCCAACGAACCACCTGCACAACATAGTTTTCTTATTACAGTACGTATTGGACCCACACCTAGTAAAAACAAATTTTAAGTTCAGATAAAGAAAAGTTTCAAATAATAAAATTAGCATAAATAAAAATAAAATATGCAATAAATATTTTAAAAATAAATGGCGACACCATCTTAAATAATTTATCTTTATTTTGTTTTATATGAAGTTATAGCGGACCTATAAACCTATTGACACATATTATTTGACTAATATATTACTTTCGTCCGGATCAGGATCACCTGTAACAAAAATATTAAATAATTATACATTAAATAAAATCTAATTTTATATTTTGTCTATAATAGTATTTGAAACTACATTTATTTAGACTAGTTTGAATTAGCCGTTTAAATAATTATTTTACTTCGAACAATCTTTGAAACTTTTTGAGCAAGAAAACATACAGCTTTAAGATTTATGAACTCAAATTTTCATCTACATATTTTTGACATTAATGGAGTACTATTATGTTAGTTTTTGTTCAAATGTTCTTATGAAGAACTATGGTAGTAAGTAATTGCCCTATACTTGTGTGTTTTATATGAAGTTATAGCGGACCTATAAACCTATTGACACATATTATTTGACTAATATATTACTATTGTCAGGAACAGGGACACCTGTAAAAAAAATATTAAATAATTATACATTAAATAAAAACTAATTTTATATTTTGTCTATAACAGTATTTGAAACTACATTTATTTAGACTACTTTGAATTAGCCGTTTGAATAGTTATTATACTTCGAACAATTATCAAAACTTTTTGAGCAAGAAAACATATAGCTTTAAGATTTACGAACTCAAATTTTCATCTACATATTTTGCTTGGAATTAAATGATTATCATTTTTGAAATTGTATAATTACAAATCATTATATTTACCACACAAGTTGCTTATATCTGTCTGTAATTCAATTTCGACATCTTTGTATTCTAAAATTAAAAAAAAAAAAATTTGAATTAATTTTTTCATTATGTGTGTACATCTTTTATTGAGATAAAAATAAATATTCAAGTACATAATAAATCTTAATTTATATAAATTAAGCATGTATGTCTATACATGTAAATATTCTAAATTTAAATTTTATTAGAATAATTATTACTCTGCAGCGTTTCGGTCTCTCCGTTGGCTATTATTAGGAAGTTATTGTCATCTGAAATTTTGACGAGAACATTTTAAACTTAATATCAAATCACTATGTGCAGACACGTCCATATATTTGAGAAAAATTATTACGTGGTGCAGTAAACATAAACGACAGTTCATCTAAAATTTGCATAAAAAAACGTATAAGAGATATTATAACATAACACTTCAAAAATATAAGAATTGTTATAATTACCCATCGGTTTATCTCCACGAATATATTTTCTAATTACCGGTATCAAACGCACTAGAATTTAAAAAAAATGAGTTGACATAACAAATAAATTCTAAAAATAAGTGTACACTATACCATCACTACATTCCACCCTTTCGATTTGTCTATCTGTAATAAATAAATTGAAATAAATATATGCAAATATTTTCAAATTACAGTTAAATTTGTATGATAAAAAAAATTACTAACTTGTGAAGTTAATCTCCCTTATCCACTCATCTTTAAAAAGTTAATCATTAAATTATTTAAAGTTCTCCAATGAACACGAGTAGGTCAGTGTAAAAAATAAATACATAATAATTACCTATTGGAACTATTGCTAAAACATTTACCACAACGAATGAAATCAAAAAACAAAAACGTTTCATTTTTATCTGCAAACAATAATATAATTAAAAGCCTTTTTGTATTAGATATGGTCATCATTTGTTTTAAAAATTAATAAAAACACATCGTTGAAAAAAAGTGTCTTCTCAGCTTAGCATCAATGTTGAAATGAAATTATGCCTAGTGTTATTTTGCATGAAGTTTTTGAGGGTTTTTTTATTTGAAAGTATCAAATCTAAAGAATATTTTCATACCAATTGGCAATTAATTTGACTAGTTTTAAAATAATTATATTTATAAAACGCTAATCAAAAAAAAAACTGACATTTTACATAAACTTTTTAAATTAAAAAAAAATTGCATTTTTCATAAGTTGAGACATAATATACATTGTTGAAAAAAAAAATGATCCAAATAGATACTTCTTTCCTATGATAATATGTATATTTAAAAATGTTAGCTTTATGCTAAGTCTTAGTGAAACATTGCCTATAGACAGTGCACCTTAATATAAATGCTAGTGCAGGGCCCGTTAACATATAACATTTTAAAATAATGTTTTTTTTTAACTAAGTGTTTTGTATTTCATATGAAACATATACACATTTTTTAAAATTATTTTTCCTTGATTTTGAATGAAACTTTTTAAATATCGGGCCAAAAGAGACAAATATTAGGTTTGGATTTCTGATAAATACAAAACGGTGTACAATTTCTGTACTCTATAATTAATGAAATTAGCCGAGTGGTTAAAAGTTGATCGCAAATCTAAGCACGAAGATAAAAAAATAGTAAATAAAAAAATAACTTAATAAAAACGCATTAATTACTTACTAGCTTTGAATATTATTTTCTCGTGAACTTCTCTTTGTTAAAACAACCGTTTTAAAGTGATTCGTTTTGTGGCTTGTCTATGTGTAAATTTGGAATAAGTTTTGCAGTGTGCAAATATATTTTAATTATACAGGTGTAAAGAAATGTTTAGGCTATGGTTTTTTTTTTTCAATTAAGAACTGTGTGCTATTACTCATAATAATTTGTCGTTCACATCGAAACGAAACCCTAAAAATTAAGACATTAAATAAAATATATTAGATTATAAATAATATTATACTAGTACGTCTTTTTTCAAATCGATGCACACTCAAAGTAAATAAGACCCAAAGAAATGTGACCACTAGATATGTGTTGTTTGCACACTTTTACGTTTTTTGTAATATACTTGCGTAGTACATAGGAATAAAATTGTCAAAGTATAAAATAAAACCTAAGGTATATTATCAATTTGAATATTGAATTTGGGCCTCTGGTTAAAATATTCTGTACACGTGCAAGAAAATAATTGTAGGTACTGTTTGCTACAATTCCCAGATCCAATAAAAAAAAAATATTAATATATACAGGATGTTCAAAAAGTTTGGGACCCCTTGATTTCCAGATCCGCTTTTGTTTTTTTTTAATTTTTGTCTTTTATAAGGTGTAACTTTATGCATATTTTAAGCCTAAATACATAATTTTATCTTTTATTTTTCGAGATATTCTGTTGAATGATTTTTTTTTTTTATAATGGTGGTCAAATTTTACACTTGCTCCATGTTTAAATGGTTTAAACGTTATGAGACAGGTATATAATAATAATAGGCATTGTTGATTTGATATCTACTATTATTCGACAAATTGTTTGGATTTAAACGAATTTTTATTATAATACTAGATTTTTATTGTAATATTGATTAAAGTTGTCTCAAATATTTAAAGAGTTAATATTTTAATTTTATGAGCGTTGATAATAGTAGTTTACACACATAGTACAAAATACATTATATTATTAAAATTTTAATTTTACTCTTTATTTAATAGGTAAATTCAATTATGTATTTTTTATGTTTATTAATTATAATCATTATTTTTATAATATAATATTAATCAATTTGTTTGTTGTACACAGTACCTGTGTTAAACGTTAAAATGTGTTTAAATAGGCAGCTTAAAGAAACCAAGACTGTGAAAATACTCAAAAAAATCAAAATACTTAAATTTCTTTCTTTATTTTATTTTCTGTAGGAGTTTTTTTAATTTACATAAAGTTAAGTAAAATTCGTATTTTACACTTTTTTATAAACAAAAAAACCCTTGACCTCAAATAGTAGAGATTCCAACTCAAGTTATTTCTAATTAATACGAAATTAACGTTCCTTTGAACTTTATTTTGGTTTTCATTAAGTAGTTAAACTTAAAAATATATACTTTTTATTTTAAGGGGATTGCATGCGGCCTATTTTTATGGAGTTTTTTAGAGGCAATATTCAAGAAAAAAGTGGTTCTAATAAATGTTGGCCATGTCAATTATTTTACCGGTTAATTTGTAAAGAGTTGAGGTATTATTTTTAGTTTAAACAATAATTTGTCTATGAGTAACAGTGGTCGTTTTGGTTTATTTTAGATCACTTAAGATGATCCAAATTCAATTCTGTAAAGAGATTCGAGTTTTTTTGGCTACTTCACTATGTCATGTTTATTTAAAAATGTCAGTATCTTGTAGTGAAATAAATTAAATTTGCAATTTGTTTTATTACTTAAACCCAATTTTTTTTTAACTTTGTATTTATTTATCATTTTAGGCCCATATACCTTCAAAATCATTTGACCGATTTGTATCGTCTACACTCTACAGATATACATCAAAGTGTTTGTTAGAAAGTTTTTTTATCTCTACCACTGTAATATTATATCTGTTATTTTACCAATATTTGCTCTGTATGCAAATTCAACGGTTTGATGTTCGTTTGGCAAAAACGAATAACTTTATTTTTGCTTTAACATCGATTTGTGATACACAGCTGCAATGATATTCTCATAGTTTCATTTTTAATTTGTTGAAAACAATCTTGAGATTAAGAATACTAGTAATTGAAAAGCAGATGGAATATAGTAGGGATACATTTGTCGCGTTTATATGGACCTGAAAAAGGCTTTTTACACAGTTCCACTAAAAGAGCTCTTTCAAACACATAAAAAAATATGCGTTGATTTTAGAAACAGACGGATAACAAAATATCTTCAAGTTCTAACAATAACCCAACAGTGAAAAGAGTCCTATCAAAGTAGTGATAACTAAAATTGTGGCCAAGTCTGCTATTTCTTTAGTTCATAACCTCACTTCACTCCTATTTTCAAGAGCTAAACTGCTCTTTTATTTGTATTGCTTAATACTAGGCCAGTTTCTGAATGAAACGTTGCCTTTCTGAATGAGGCAAATAACAGATTTGGCCACAATGTAGACACCACTAATTTGATAGGCTTAATTTTTCTGGAGGGGTCTGGAATTTGGCTCTTTTTCACTGTAAGGTTATTGTTGGAGATATCATATTCCTTTTTGCTGGCTTCAGCATCGCGGGCGTCACTACATTCATTTTGAGTAAATTGCAACTTTCAGATTTTTTTCCTTTTTAGTTACAATATAAGACCTACTTTTGTGCCAAACTTCTCGTTTCTACCTATACGGGAAGTGTTTTATAATTTTGACGATGAGTGAGTCAGTGACAAAAGTGTAAACTTTGAAATGCTCCTCTTTTGATTTAGATATATGCACAAAATATATTATCTCTTTATCACAACTCGTGGGGTAGTTGGGCAGAATTAAAAAGAGCATAAATATTATTTGTGAAATTTCCAAAGAATACAATGTTATTCGATTTTGGAATTGTTAGTAATTCATAATTCAAACATTTAGTGGCTTTTAGTTGAATACGTGTTTTTTTTTCTTTCATAATAGTTAAAAATTGATAAATAAAGTACAAAATTATATAGCTAAATGGTGTAATATTTCTTACAATGAAGAAAAAAATGGCAAATACCTATAAAATAAAAAAAGGAGATATAAGATTGTATACGCTATAAAATTATTGAAATTGTATAATGCAAACATTAGTTCATCGAGTGGTTTTAAAACCAATAACTGTGAAACAATTAATTTAAATACTCCGCGTCAGACTTATGCAAACATATAATAATAATGGAAAAAAAATAAGATAGCTATGCCGCTAAATTTACATATGCATAATACAGGACAGTCACTCTAGTTTAGGTAAGATAATCATTTTCTCTTAAGAAAACTTAATTTTTGTTGTTTTTTTTTTGAAAAAAAAATGATTATGTAATTTTACAATATTACAAAATAAGTAAATGTTTTCCTTTTTATAAAGTATTTTCCGGTTGCTATATTAATTTATAAGTAGCTAATATAGGTATAATATTATATTTAACTGTTTGTAATGAGAATGATTTGCTAAACATTTTCATTGGTCATCCAGTTTTGAATAATTATTTCTAAAGATATTTAAGTTTAAAAGAAATGATTTAAAAACTGGTCAATCGTTCTACATTTATACAATTAATTATGTATATATATTTATACATTTTTAGCTTCAAAAATTGGTATACCAAAAACCAAAACTACAACATTTTAATTATTTTCGTCAATGCTTTTGGTTTTTCTTTTGGACAACTTTAACCTATGACTTATACAGCTAATATAACTTATTAATAGTATTGATTGAATAATTAACAATATTATCAAGTGCGTGGGCAACACAAATAATAATAATTGAGCGAGATGTGCGCTCAGTGAGATGATGATAAACTAGTGTTTAATGATTAAACGGTTGGAAAATACAGAGGGAAATCCTTTGAGAATAATAAAACTATACTTTATTATGACTGTAGTAATAAATGAAAAGCGCAAATCAAATCATAATCAAAATAATTGTATTATTACAATGGAATTAATGCCACTTTGTTTCGTTTCAAGACAAATAAACAACTCTGTATTTAACACTTTATTTAAATTAATTATTCATTCTCTACTTTAAAATGTATGCCCGATGCGTTTCCACATTTGAATAGCTTCTTACTTATCGTTTATTTACTTTCTATTGCCTATTCGTTGGAATGCAAATTGAATTATATTCGAATAAGTGCATAAACTTTTTTTTTAATACTTGACTATACCAAAAAAAAAACATTCAAAGTAGATAGGCATACAGGGTGATTGATTCATCGAGGATAACAGTTAGGACAACCGTTATTACTTAAAATAATTGCAGTTTTTTTGGTTTTTCTTTTGGACAACTTTAACCTATGACTTATACAGCCAATATAACTTAATAAAAGTATCGATCGATTAATTAACAATATTATCAAGTGTTGCGGGCAACACAAATAATAGTAGATACGGTTGTATATAATTTTTCGACACTAGGTTGATACACGGTTGACTCGACTTGGTAAATAAACATTTAGTTCGGACGGAAAGCAATTATTTGCCAACTAATATATACCAGACTAATATATATATATATATTATGTTGTACAATAGTATAATACAATAAAAGGCTCAATAGGGCTTGAATGGATTATAATAAGCCAATGTAAAGAGGATAGTTAAAAGAAATAAAACTATTTTCAAAACCACTTCTAATCGAATCTGTATACTGGTAAAAAACCACAAATGATTTTATAATCGTAAGTAAGATGGTTAATTGTAAGATACATTAAATCATGATAATTAGGATACAGGTGTGGTTAGGAATAATTATTGAAATATAATAACAATAGTACTGTATAATTTTTAATGAGTTAACTGTAAGATTCCTGGTATAAATTATAATAACTGAGAAGCAAGTGAATACTTTTTACTATATATTAATGATGCGTTTCTAATTAGTCTTCACTACTACTACTACTGTGATCATTCAAATAAATCGGAGTGTGAACCTCAGGGACAAACTTAACGTCATCCCCAACGCAACTGACTATTATTGTTCTGTTTTCTAAATCAGTTAGATGACAATGATCACCTACAACTTCCGCTAGTTTTACTATGTGAGATCTTGTGTAATACAATACACTTTTGTAAACACCTTTTAATCGGCACATCTGGTTACAGTCTCCGAAATCTTCATGGCCTGGTCCTTAAAAAATAAAAAAGGTATATATAAAAGTCTTAACTTACTAGTTACTAAATTTATTCAGTGTGTAAGCCACGCCTACTATACGTGATCAATGCTATATACAGATGATCCGTATGGTACAGCTTTGTTACTTTAAGAAAATAACATTTTCAAATAGAGATAAAAAAGACTGCAAACCTCGTATATCATAATCTATTAGGTAACCATCAACTTTTTTTTTTTTAGAAAACTAATTTCATATGTAAAAAAAATTACCTATTTGTATTTTCGAGTAACAGAAAGCTATTAAGTAGAGCTGTAATTTAAAAAGTTGGTTTTTTTGTGTTGCCTGAAATATGTGAATTCGTCTAATATGTTTCTAAAAAGCTGAAACATAAAATGTATAAATTTTAATCTTTAAATTTCGACTTTTTAGAAAAATCGAAAAAAAAACAGAAACAGATTTACATATATAATATAAAATTTTCCCGGGTTAATATAAAAAATATTAGGAAAATTCTCAAATTCTGGTCAACACGACAAAATCAACATTTTAGAATACAAACTAAATTTAACCACTGATTCTTAATGTTCCATACACAGACTCAAAAACACTGATAAACGAGCTATATGCAAATAAATGGGATAACATGTGAATCAACAAACTGAAATCATGTAAAACGTCAGTAACAAAATGGAACGCCACCCCACATATCTCGAGAAGAGAATTGGTATGCCCAGCAAGCTTCAAATTGGCCACTCAAACCTGAAATACGTGCACCTAATAACCAAATAGGAAAAACCCAAGTGTAAGACTGGCCCAGTCCCCAATCAAACACAATCACACACATAATCGAAGAAGCACTAGCTGACAACATCCAGAACATAAACAAAATAATACAATTTATGCAGAACACTAATTCAATTAAAACACTGTAAAATACATATTATACACCATTATTGTAAGTATCTAAAAATCATGTAAATCATACACGAACGACTAATGACTAATGTTGAAACCAAATCTTTAATAAAAAAAAAACTCGATTCAATCATTTTCTGTTACTCGAAAAAACAAATAAATATTGATTTCAGAGAGCTAAGATTACTTTACCGCTGAAACTGATTTTTAAAAAAATATTTTAAAGATACTATAAAAAAAAAATTATAAAAAAGCAAAGAAAAAACTTAATACAACTATGTCCAAATTAATCGAAAACTAAGATTAATCGAAATTTAAGAGCATTCTTCTTATCTTAACAAACATTAATTTTAACAATTTTGTCATGACTATATTTTTAATATACATGAAAATAACAATTTAATATACTCATGTATATAATCAAGGAATATTATTAAAGCTTAAAAAAAAATGCTTTAAGTATACTTTATCTTAAAACGTTACTTTTAGTTTGAATAAGTCATAATAGTTTATAAAAAAGTTTGATATATTTATATATATATATATATATATATGAATTTTAAAGTTGTCTGCACTTGACTGGCAGAATAACAATAGAAATAAAATATTTATTATCTTTGACTCTTGCCTTAAATAATTTCTGTTTTTTGTTTAGTTAACACAGGAAATAATACGTTTATGTATATATTAGGGTGGACCCCTTTATGCCCTACCTCTTTTTCTATATAAGGGTTGGAGATACAAACTTTTACAGTATTGAAAAATATAGTACAATGTGTACCGAAAATTAAAGCAAATTTTTTTTTTTTTTTTAATGTTCATATTTTCCAAGAAAATTAGTGTCTTACTCAAAATAAATTATCCTGTATATACATACACACACACACACACACACACACATATATATATATATACGTATAACAAAAATTCAACTGTTGCAACTTGATATAAAACTTACTTGATAGAGAATTTATATATAATTTTAAAGCATCCCGGAATCGCTTTGGTCTGACTAAAGCAGCCTTATACTCAGGAAACTTATCTGTATAATTTAACAAATAACCGTGTTAATTACAAAAATATTATACATAAAATACATATAGTTGCTCGTGTCATTGATGGAGTACAATTGTGTAAGTTTTTGTTCAAATGTTCTTATGATGAACTAGTAGTAAATAATTTTCCTATGCTTGTGTATTAATTAAACAAGTATAATATGACTAACTACATTTAAGTCCCAAGCGAAATGTTTTAAAATTATAGAAAAGTTTGTTTCGCATATGCCATTTAGTATTTTTTTTTTTTTTCATTAAAAAAATATAAAGTAAGCATAATATTCAGCATTGTCGCTAAGCAACGATACATCACTGATTTGTTTGCATAAATCAACATTAAATTATTTGATCACAATAAAGTTTTATAAGCTTTATTTTTATGTTTTATATAATTATTATAATTATCCAACGTACCACCTGCACGACCCAGTTTTCTTACCCATGCCCGTATTCGACCCACGCCTAGTAAAAACAAATTTTAAGTTCAGATAAAGAGAAGTTTCAAATAATAAAATTAGCATAAATAAAAATAAAATATGCAATAAATATTTTAATAATAAATGGCGACACCATCCTAAATGATTTATCTTTATTTTGTTTTATATGAAGTTATAGCGGACTTATAAACCTATAGACACATATTATTTGACTAATATATTACTTTCGTCCGGATCAGGATCACCTGTAACAAAAATATTAAATAATTATACATTAAATAAAAACTAATTTTATATTTTGTCTATAACAGTATTTGAAACTACATTTATTTAGACTAGTTTGAATTAGCCGTTTGAATAATTATTATACTTCGAACAATCTTTGAAACTTTTTGAGCAAGAAAACATATTGCTTTAAGATTTATGAACTCAAACTTTCATCTACATATTTTTGACATTAATGGAGTACTATTATGTAAGTTTTTGTTCAAATGTTCTTATGATGAACTATGGTAGTAAGTAATTGCCCTATACTTGTGTATTATTAATTAAACAAGTATATGCCTTGTAAATACTAACTACTTTTAAGTCCCAAGCAATATATGTTTTAAAATGATTGTGAAAAGTATATTTTTATCACAATTAATAAGCTTTATTTTTATATAATTATAATAATTACCCGACGAAGAACCACCAAATGCACAACCCACTTTTTTTATTGCAGTACGTATTAGACCCACACCTAGTAAAAACAAATTATAAGTTCAGATACAAAAAAGTTTCAAATAAAAAAATTAGCATAAATAAAAATAAAATATGCAACTTAATAATCGTCATTGTTTAATAATAAATGTAGCAAGCCAACGGAAAGCAGATGGTTTTTATTCAAATTTAATTTTCTGTTAAAACTCAAAACAAAATACGGTAGGTAGTAATATGTCTAGGTTTTAACAAATTTTTCAAAAAACAAGAAAAACGTTCAAAATGTGTTGCTAATTATATAACTTAAATAGTTAAAACATTATAAATTATTCCTCTTTATTTAGTACATTTATCTTTATTTTGTTTTATATGAAGTTATAGCGGACCTATAAACCTATTGACACATATTATTTGACTAATATATTACTTTCGTCAGGAACAGGGACACCTGTAACAAAAAAATTAAATAATTATACATTAAATAAAAACTAATTTTATATTTTGTCTATAACAGTATTTGAAACTACATTTATTTAGACTAGTTTGAATTAGCCGTTTGAATAATTATTATACTTTGAACAATCTTTGAAACTTTTTGAGCGAGAAAATATAGCTTTAAGATTTACGAACTCAAATTTTCACCTACGTATTTTGCTTGGAAATAAATGACTGTCATTTTTGAAATTGTACAATTACAAATTATTATATTTACCACACAAGGCGCTTATATCTGTTTGTAATTCAATTTCGGCATCTTTGTATTCTAAAATTAAAAAAAAAAAAAATTTGAATTAATTTATACAATGTTTGTGTACATATTTTCTTGAGATAAAACTAAATATGCAAGTACATAATAAATCTGATATTATATAAATTATGCATGTATAAGTATTAAGGTGTACCAAAAAAAAATTTTATTTTGTGTTTTTTGTTCTTTTCTTGACATTATGTTCCTTGGCGTAAAACAATATTTCCCTATTTTTTGCAGATTTTTAAAATTATTTTTAGAGGTTGCGAGCATACAATTTTTTTTTTGGTTTTTAATTTTTTTAATGTAAAATTTGCGAAAACATTGATATATATACCTTTAATAGTACCCTAAAATAGTATTTTTAGGGAACAAAATATTTTTTACTTATTCCTCATTTAGTTGCGAAGAATTCCGATATACTTACATTATTCTAACAATAGATCGAAAAAATAATTTTTTACTATTGTTAGAATAACGGTGTTAGTATATACAACTTATGTATTTCTATAAAAAGATTTTTTTTTATTTTATAAAATAATATTGTTTTTCGTTAATTACTTGTAAAAACTATTAAAAACTAAAAAAAAAAATAATTGTTAGGTAACAGTATTCAAAACTTGTTTGTTTTATTTTTTTTAATTAATTTTTTTTTGATCTATTGTTAGAATAATGTTTTATGTAAGTACATCGGAATTCTTCGCAACTAAATGAGGAATAAGTAAAAAATATTTTGTAGGGGTATATATATATATATATATATCAATGTTTTCGCAATTTTTACATTCTAAGGCCTAAGTTAGTTGGATAGTAGTTTTTTTTGTAATGATAATTTTGTATACAAGCAACATTTGTTTAAAATTGATATTTATATATTAAAAAAATTAAAAACTAAAAAAAAAAAATTATTTTGGAAAACTGATGCCCGCAACCTGTAAAAATAGTTTAAAAAATCTGAAAAAAATAGAGAAATATTATTTTACCCCAAGGAACATAATGTCAAGAGAAGAATAAAAAAAACAATTTTTATTTGGTACAACCTAATGTGAATACATGTAAATATTCTAAATTTAAAATTTCTAAGAGTAATTACGCTGCAGCAATTCTTCGGTGTTTGTACCAGGGCTGAATATTGTTCGCAATCTCGCATCTGAAATTTTAACGAGAACGTTTTATACTTAATGTCCAACCGCTATGTGCAGACACATATGTCCATATATTTGAGAAAAATTATTACGTGGTGCAGTAAACATAAACGACAGTTCTTCTAAAATTTGCATAAAAAAATGTAAAAGAGATATTATAAAATAACACTTTAAAATATAAGAATTGTTATAATTACCCATCGGTTTATCTCCACGAACATATTTTCTAATTACCGGTATCAAACGCACTAGAATTTAAAAAAAATGAGTTGACATAACAAATAAATTCTAAAAATAAGTGTACACTATACCATCACTACATTCCACCCGTTCGATTTGTCTATCTGTAATAAATAAATTGAAATAAATGTATGCGAATATTTTCAAATTACAGTTAAATTTGTATGATAAAAAAAAATTACTAACTTGTGAATTTAATCTCCCTTATCAACTCATCTTTAAAAAGTCAATCATTAAATTATTTAAAGATTTTTTAATTAACTCGAGTAGGTCAGTGTAAAAAATAAATATATAATAATTACTTTCATCAACTACTGCCAAAACATTTACAACAACGAATGAAATCAAAAAACAAAAACGTCTCATTTTAATCTGCAAACAATAATAAAATTAAAAGCCTTTTGTATTAGATATATGGTCATCAATAACATTCGGCTACGATGATATGCCGAGAAGGTTTTCGTTTTAAAATGATAACTTCTAAATCACTAAACCTATATCTTGATGTAGTTAATCGGTAGATAAGACATCAAACTTGGGAGATACTTCTCAGATAAAATGGTCAAAATAATATAAATCAATCCATACAAATTTGGAATTCATTTGATTTAAAAAAAAAAAAAAAGTTATAGAAAGGATGAACTTATTTTATTTGTTTCAAAAAGTCTTTTTAGCTTAGCATCAATGTTAAAATCAAGTTATGTGTTATTTTACATGAAGTTTTTTTATTTGAAAGTATCAAATCTAAAGAATATTTCATACCAATTGACAATGATTAATTTGACTAGTTTTAAAATAATGATATTTATAAAACGCTAATCAGAAAAAAAAATTTACATTTTTCATAAACTTTTTAAATTAAAAAAATAAAACTGCATTTTTCATAAGTTGAGACATATACATTGTTGAAAAAAAAATTATCCAAGGAGATACTTAGAAAAGAAGAGTCAATTCCATGGTAATATGTATGTTTAAAAACATGTTAGTTTTATGTTAAGTCTTAGTTAAAAATTTCCTATAGACAATACACCTTAATAAATGCTGAGTAGGGCCCGTAAACATATACAAATTTTAAAAAAATGTTTTTTTTAACTAAGTGTTTTGTATTTCATATGAAACGTACACACATTTTTTAAAAAAATTTTTCTGATTTTGAATAAAAATTTTTTAAATATCGGGCCAAAAGAGGCAAATATTAGGATTTGTGTTCTGATAAATGCAAAACTGTGTACAAATTCTGTACAAAATAACTTAATAAAAACGCATTAATTACTTACTAGCTTTGAATATTATTTTCTAGAACTCTCGTGAACTTCTGTTTGTTAAAACAACCGTTTTAAAGTGATTCGTTTTGTGGCTTGTCTATGTGTAAATTTGGAATAAGTATTGCAGTGTGCAAATATATATTTTATTTATACAGGTGTAAAGGAATGTTTAGGCTGTGGTTTTTATTTCCCAATACAGTACTGTGTTCTATTACTCATATAATATGTTGTTCACATCGAAACGAAACTTAAAAATTCATAAGACATTAAATCAAATGTATTAGATTATAAATAATATTATACTAGTACGTCTTTTTTCATATCGATGCGAACTCAAAGTAAATAAGACCCAAAGAAATGTGACCACTAGATATGTGTTGTTTGCACACTTTATCGTTTGTTGTAATATACTAGCGTATTTCATAGGAATAAAATGTTTAGAGTATAAAATAAAACCTAACGTATATTATCAATTTGAAACCTGAATTTGGGCCTCTGGTTAAAATATTCTGTACACGCGCAAGAAAATAATTGTACTGTTTGCTGCAATTCCCAGATCCAATAAAAAAATATTAATATGTACAGGGTGTTCAAAAAGTTTGGAACCCCTTGATTTCCAGATCCGCTTTTGATTTTTTTTTAATTTTTGTCTTTTATAAGGTGTAACTTTATGCATATTTTAAGCCTAAATACATAATTTTATCTTTTATTTTTCGAGATATTCTGTTGGATGATTTTTTTTTTTATAATGGTAGTCAAATTTTACACTTGCTCCATGTTTAAATGGTTTAAACGTTATGAGACAGGTATATAATAATAATAGGCATTGTTGATTTGATATCTACTATTATTCGACAAATTGTTTGGATTCAAACGAATTTTTATTATAATACAAGATTTTTATAATAATTGATTTAGGTTGTCTCAAATATTTAAAAAGTTAATATTTTATTTTTATGAGCGTTGATAATATAGTAGTTTACACACATATGACTTTATAAATTATATTATTAAAATTTTAATTTTACTCTTTATTTAATAGGTAAATTCAATTATGTATTTTTTATGTTTAATAATTATAATCATTATTTTTATAATATAATATTAATCAATTTGTTTGTTGTACACAGTACCTGTGTTAAACGTTAAAATGTGTTTAATTAGGCAGCTTAAAGAAACCAAGACTGTGAAAATACTCAAAAAAATCAAAATACTTAAATTTCTTTCTTTATTTTAATTTCTGTAGAGGTTTTTTTTATTCATATAAAGTTAAGTAAAATTGGTATTTTACACTTTTTGATAAACGAAAAATCTCAACCTCAAATAGTAGAGATTCCAACTCAAGTTTTTTCCAATTAATACGAAATCAACGTTCCTTTGAATTTTATTTTAGTTTTCAATAGAAAAAAAATTGGTTGAATGAGTTGAATTAAACTTGACGATAACCGGTCGAAATTAGTTTTCATTTAGCAGTTTAACTTTAAAAGATCTACTTTTTATTTTAAGGGGATCGCATGCGGTCTAGTTTTTATGGAGTTTTGTAAAGGCAATATTTAAGAAAAAATTGGTTCTAATAAATGTTGGCCATGTCAATTATTTTACCGGTTAATTCAAAGTTAAGGTATTATTTTTAATTTAAACAATCGTTTGTCTATGAGTAACAGTGGCCATTTTGGTTCATTTTAGGTCACTTAGGATAGTCCAAATTCAATTCTGTAAAGAGATTCGAGTTTTTTGGCTACTTTACTATGTTATGTAAGACGTCAATTTTCATTTAAAATTTTCAGTTTCTTGTAGTTAAATAAATGAAATTTGCAATTTGTTTTAATACTAAACCCAATTTTTTAAAATTAAAATTCTGTTTCCATAACCAAAATGAAACCAATTTTAGAATTTATTAAAAGAAATATTATTCGGATTTTACCGTCAAATCCGGGTAAAAAGAAAATCTACATACAAGGCATGTTTATCTGTTGTTAACTTTGTATTTATTTAGGCCCATATACCTTCAAAATCATTAGATCGATTTGTACCGTCTACAGATATATACATCAAAGTGTTTATTAGAAAGTTTTTTTATTTCTATCACTGTAATATTATATCTGTTATTTTACCAGCATCGCGGGCGTCACCACATTCATTTTGGGTAAATTGCAACAGATTTTTTTCCTTTTTAGTTACAATATAAGACCTACTTTTGTGCCAAACTTCTCGTTTCTACCCATACGGGAAGTGTTTTATAATTTTCACGATGAGTGAGTCAGTGACAAAAATGTAACCTTTGAAATGCTCCTCTTTTGATTTAGATAAATGCACAAAATATATTATCTCTTTATCACAACTAGTGGGGTAGTTGGGCAGAATTAAAAAGAGCATAAATATTATTTGTGAAATTTCCAAAGAATACAATGTTATTCGATTTTGGAATTGTTAGTAATTCATAATTCAAACATTTAGTGGCTTTTAGTTGAATACGTGTTTTTTTTTCTTTCATAATAGTTAAAAATTGATAAATAAAGTACAAAATTATATAGCTAAATGGTGTAATATTTCTTACAATGAAGAAAAAAATGGCAAATACCTATAAAATAAAAAAAGGAGATATAAGATTGTATACGCTATAAAATTATTGAAATTGTATAATGCAAACATTAGTTCAACGAGTGGTTTTAAAACCAATAACTGCGAAACAATTAATTTAAATACTCCGCGTCAGACTTATGCAAACATATAATAATAATGAAAAAAAAATAAGATAGCTATGCCGCTAAATTTACATATGCATAATATAGGACAGTCACTCTAGTTTAGGTAAGATAATCATTTTCTCATAAGACAACTTAATTTTTGTTGTTTTTTTTTTTTGAAAAAAAAAATGATTATGTAATTTTACAATATTACAAAATAAGTAAATGTTTTCCTTTTTATAGAGTATTTTCTGGTTGCTATATTAAGTTTATAAGTAGCTAAAATATGTATAATATTATATTTAACTGTTTGTAATGAGAATGATTTGCTAAACATTTTCATTGGTCATCCAGTTTTGAATAATTATTTCTAAAGATATTTAAGTTTAAAAGACATGATTTAAAAATTGGTCAATCGTTCTACATTTATATAATTATATTATGTATATATATTTATAAATATTGAGCTTCAAAAATTGGTATACAAAAAACAAAAACGACAACATTTCAATTATTTTCGTACAAAATGAAGTTAAACGGATCACTCTGTATGTCTGCAGTTAGATAAATAGTGGGACAGCGGTTATGTGTGTAGGCTTTATTATTTTAATAATTGGTAATCATTAAATTTTATTTTTTATATTCTTTGCACTTGAGCTACCTACATAATAAAAACACTGAGAGGTACACTGGCTATGATATTAGCAATAGTATTTAACTCTAATTAGTTTGCAACGTGTATTGACAAGATCGAGATATATTATAAGTATTTAATTTCGTCAATTAACAATTGTTAATTAAAAAATTATACTTTATAAGTGTGGAAGGGGGCGTGGAGTGGTGGAAATTACTATACCCGACTGAAGTATGTTAAGTAAGCAAGTTGAGGCTGTACTTACAAATCCAAGGGTCGAGAGCTATAATTACTGACCAATTAGCACTAAAAGTACAACCAACACTCGAGTCTACAATATATATTACTACAACTTATTCGAATATTATACAGATTAAGCCCAATAACACATTGAGAAATGGGATTTAAAATTCCAGGAAAAATGTACAACATTTAAGTCTTGTTGAAGAAATATTGTTTTGAGTTTAAAACCGTTGAACACTTGAAAGGATAAGGTAAGGAAAGGGTACAGGGAAATTGGCAAACACAATAAATGCTTTTTTTTTCTTCAAAAAATAGCCATCTTGAAAAAGTGATTTTCTAGGTTTCCTCTTGAAAATTACACAATATTATTATTACTTTTTTTATTCACTTTTATGTTATGCTTTTTGTTCTTTAGTTTTACACACAATAGCACTTTGTGTGCAGCTTGCCAGTTTACAGTAATTATTACAACATTGGAATTAGTCCAAACCTAGCAAGCGCTATAGATCATCCCAGTAAGAAAGTATTAAAGCGAAGTGCAGTGTTTACAAACTAGCATCAAAGCTTAGGAAAGGGATTTGGGTAACCCGTTGAGTTGTGTATGTAATAAGGGTCTAGTCCAATGCTATGTTCAAATATTGTATTATATTTACATAAAACATTTTAGTATAAATTGAAAATAATTTACAATTTTTTTCAGTTAATAACCTACAAAGGGAGATGAACCACATTTATAGCTTTCCAAGTACTAATTAAAATAGTTAATACTACTAGTAACTAATAGTTTTTAAATATTCTAAAATACATTATTCATTAAGGTTATCAGGAAAACCTAAATCCAAATAGTAAGTACTGATGACACGTTTAACGAGATCTTCGATTTGAGATCCAAAATGACGTATGATATCGGTTTTTTTGAGCTGTGGAAAGTCAAATTTATATTTCTTAAGTATTTCTCCGATGTGCCATTTGTCCTTCTCTGGGAGTGTGCAATACTTGTTTACAAACGGTTTCCACCTTGAGACGTTCTTGCGCATAATGGAAGTGAGCAACTTTGTGGAAAACAGACCAACTTTATGCTTGTAGTCAACATCGTCTTGGCCTATATAAGTCGGCAGGAGGTGAATTAAATTTTTCGATACGTCTCTGTACCACTGCATCATTTGTAATATGTTTAGTATGTCTTTGATGAAAACCAAATGAAAACCATTTTTCACGGGCGGCATCGAACTTAGTAAATAACTTAATGCGTCATACATGTATTTAAACATCGGCTGGCCGTTCAATAATTGTTGATAGGTAAAATTAAAAATTTTCCACGGAATTTCATAGTCAACAAGATCATCGTAATGCAATGGTTGTTCGTGGGAGTTATCTTGGACAATAATTCCATTCGGTTCACTTTCTTTCTGAACAACCGATGTGCGCACATCTCTTTCCGAATCATCTCTATTATGTCCATGCCATTGATCGTGTAGTTCCGTTTTCAAGCGCTTACTTTGCATTTGTTGACGACCCTCATATACCAGCTGGGGTTTCATCTT